TTTTGTATGCACAAGCTGAGAAAACACAAAAAATTCTTAATTACGTAGTTAAGCACACTTAGTTATACACAATAAATAAATTTAATTGCGAAAAATTATAAAAAAGAATGCCATTTGCTAAAATATTTAAGTAAGAATTTTCTAGTTTGCTGACTGAGAGAATCCGATGATAAAAAAATCAGTAGCCTTCAAAAGCTAAGTAATCAATCAGAGATAAGGCATTTGTAAAATATTAATTCTAGGTTGCGCTGGCCACAGATCTGATAAGCACTTATAACATTACAATAGAAATAACCAGCTTTTAATATAACCAAATAGTGTATATTACAATCTGATGAGAATTTGTGAGGCTAAAAACCCGTTCTAGCTAATCCATCGCTGAAATTCGTTAGATTTATCAAATTAAATCTAATCCTCATCACTACGCTTTATAAATCAGCAATTTTACTTATTCATATTTTAATGCTCATATGTTACACTACATATTTTCATTTTCAATTAAATTCTTAGATAATCTAAAAGAAATTAAGAGCCTAAATCAAAGAAAAATCAAATACCTCCCTCCCAATACAATCATACATACACACCTAGTTTCCTTTCAATCTAATAACATTAATCAAACTAAGAAATTCAATTAACCATATCAAAATTAATAAAATTATCAAACAAGCAAATACTCAAGATTATTAAAATATATAATTTGATTGATTATTATTAATAGATAAATAGATAGATTCTTTAAAATTTTCAATATTTTCTAACCCCATTCTAATTTTTATCGCATTTCTTCAAGCAAGCAAACAAACAAACATAGGTATGATTAAAATTTTGAAATAATCCTATAAATAAACTTGATTGCTTACTACAAAAATATTCAGAGGCCGTAAACATTACTCTCTAACTCGCACAAAAAAACTTATAAAACATATGTAAGATTAATCTTAAGTCTTATTAATTTGTAATAGGGAACTTTAGAACTCACTCGTTCACAAGGTTACTAAAAAACATAGTCTAACATTCCCCAGCTCATGCAGTGAAAGGTATTAAAATTACTCCTTTGTACTTTTAGCTAATATTCAGTTCTTATGCTGGGGAAAATAGCAAATAGCATAGGAAGCTCAAATAAAAATCAAAAAGAATATTTATTTAGTTATAAAGTGTAAAATAAAATTATCTAAAAATTTCTTTAAATAATGACAAAGAGATGCTTACAAAAATTTCTTGTAACAGATTTCTGTTTCAAATAAATAAAATCAACAACAAAAAGTTTAGAATAATTATGAATTATTTTGTAGCATTTATCTCGCTATTTGATTGGAAAATCCCCCTATTACAAAATTTATTAATGTTTTATGCTTTTAACTAAAAATTTTTTTCAAAAAAAATAAAATATGAGTCAAGAATCTAAAAAAATTTATAGAATATCTGTCAATGCTGTTTACAATCCAAATCTATATAAATTTTTCATTCAGAATTTAGAAAAGTGAATTACTATTTACATTTTCATCTTTTTTTTCTTAAAAAATTTTATTTCCCTTTTCTAATTAATTCGGTTATTATTACTGAGGTATTCAAATCGCAAAAACAAATGAACATCATCGCTTATTTTATCTATTTTTCAACTAAGATCTTTTTTTATTTTAGTTAATCTGCTTAATAAATTAATCATTCACTTTTAACTAATAAATTCAATCAAATTATCTTTAATTAATTTCTGCTTTCAAATTTACTTATATTAATTTATTTTTGATTGCTTGCTTATCTATTTATTTATCAATTTATCCAGCCTCTATTAATCTTTCAATTTCATATTTTTATTTTACAATTTTAAAAAATATCATAACAAACAAGATAGCAAATATAATTTTTTTATATTCATAAGCATATAATTTAATATTGATTTATGCTTAAATCAATCTTTTTATTTATATAAATGTAAGATAAAAACCACCCTTTATTTTACATGTTACTCAATTTTTCATTAAATTTTTGATATTTTTAATCTATTTGCATGTCTTTAGTAAAATTAACTATCAAATTTCATATGAAGCTATTCCTAAAATGTCAATTATTTTTGGACCTTTGTATTGAAAAAATCAAGCATTTTATTTTATTCATACTATTTTACATTTTTTAAGTTTTTATCTTTCAACCTTAAGCTATTTTAATATTCTCTTTACAAAGCTTACTTTTTAACTATAACAATAATTTAGAATCTCACAAATTCTAATTAAATTTTAAATTAACTAAACCAAAAGAATCAACTTACTTGTATTAGCAAAGAGCTTACTTTATTCTTTTTTTTTTAAAGAAAAAATAAAGGAATACAAAAGCATAATAATAAATATATTATTAATTTAGAAGTAAATATCTAGAAAAGTGATAAATTATTAAACTGTTACTGTAAGATATTTTTTTACATAAAATTCATCATTTTAACATTACTTTCAATTAAAATATCACCATTCGATCATTTATATTTTACACTTAAAATATAGAATTCTATAAACATAGCAATTTTCAAGCAAATTATATTTATATGTATAAATACGACCAAAAATAAATTGCTTTTTTAACAGAAATTTTATATTGTAATCAAAAGAATTTTAATGTTAATTGTTAAATTAATTTATTAAGAAGTGTAAAACATAAAAATTAAGGTTGAAGTGTCATTACTAAAGACCCAAATTTTTATTTTAACATTTAATTCATATTAAAATACTATTGAAACTTTTCTCAAATTTATAAAAAAACAAACATAAATTTATAAAATTAAAATTCAAGTTAAAAAAGTAATTTTCTTTAAAGGTTATAAAAATTTTGTTATTTAATTTATAAAGAAAGAGATAGTTCTTCGCCTTACTAATTTACATATAATAATGATGCAATTATTTGTATTAAAGTAAAACCCATGAAAATTAATACTTTGTTGAGCATTTAAATTTGATGAAAGAAAATGTAATTTATTATTAAACGATAAATCATTTTTATCAGGGAAAATCTTTTCTCAATACATAAGAAAAACAAATTTTAAGTTATTAATTATTTGTAACTACCATACTGATTGGCATTTTATAACAATAAATCGGGAAGAATATATTTTATTGTATGCTACAAATAAGTAATAAATTAGTTTATTAAATAAACAAAAACAGTCAATAATAATAATTTTAGTCTTTTAAAATTATATCCACAATGTTTTAATATAATAGCTTATTATATATATCAACAAATAGTGTTGAATTTTTCTAAATAATAAAAAGAGAATAATTCATTTACTTTACTTTCTGTAGCTTAAGGAAAGTAATAAACTAATAAAAAAAAAATCATATATTACAAGAACTATTCACTTAAGAAGTCAATAGTATAATATTTGTGTCTTAAATCTATATCCACTAATTCTTAATAATGTTAATTAATAATACTAAAAAAATATTTAAATCCCAACGATTTAAATATAGCACATATGAATGTTTGAGTATAATCGTAAATTAAATTTTTGTCCTATAAAATTATTAAGATTAAATTATTTAGCATAATAATACTATTACTATTAATAAATTAGTAACAGCCATATATTTAATAATTACTAAATATATAAAATACTCTTCTATACGCTATAAAATATTCAACATTTATTTTAATTCTGTTTTTATTCTTTCTTTGTTGAATAGTATTTTATTAAAATCTTTAAATATAATATAATATTTTTATTAAAAATTTCTACCACTAATTGATTATAATTTTTTAATGTTATAGTGGCAATTTACTCAATTAAATATTACAAATTTAATATTAATATATCTCTTAATTCTCACTATTACAGAAATAATTTAAATTTTCTCATTTGCCATAAGTAATTAAAAAATCTAGTAAATTTTTGATGTTCTTTCATCCATGATTTTTGTTTTGTTTTTTTGAATATGAATTTTCTATCAAGCAAGCGAACTATTGATAATATTTTTATATTAAATATTTCCAAACATTTAAAAATATTTTTACAAGAACAAAATGACTATTAATTATTTACTTATCTATCTATCTACTTATAAGTTTAAAATTTAGTATTATTATATTAATTATGATCTAGAAAAATCATAAATTTTTAACATTTTTTAGAAATTCTTGCTCAAACAATTTTTAAAGCTTTGTTTTTTATTTATTTTCAATTAAAAAAAATAATTTTAAACTTTTTTAAAAAATCAAATAACTTAAAAAATAAGTTTTCGATCTTAATTGATGAAAAAATGCAGTATTTAGTATTTAAAATTCAGTTTGTAAACATATATAAACAAAATTTTACTTTAATAAATAATTAATTTTTTAATAAGATGAACTAAATTACTAAATTATAAAGTAGGATTATAAAATAAGAATTTCAAAATTGATAATATTCTCTCTTTAAAACAAAATGAACAGAGAAATTATTTTTTGATGATTTTCTTTAACTAAAGTCTTAAAATTCTAAAAAATGTGTATTTAAAATTCATAATCCAATGATTTTAATGATTTGAATTCCTCAATCAAATATCTTGATAAAAAAATTAATTTTTTATCATTTAATAGTTCAAGTTTTATTTATTTTAATTTTTTTTCAGCTTTTAGATTTAAATAAAATAAGTAAAATTTATGTAAACCAAAATCATTTTTTATAACATTATTTATCAAACTACTTGCTTATTTGCTTATGCTTTAAAATTTATCTACTTAATTTTTTATTGAAGATATTTATTCTTATTGCTAAGTTTACATTCTATAATTTTTATGATTTTTCAAATTTTTTAAAACAAGTTCTACAAGAAAATTTATTTAATTGTTGAAATTTTATTTAGTTTTTTAAAGAACTCTAATTTATTAAAAGTATTTGTTGAATAATCAAAAATATGGAAAATTAATAAATTTTTTGCAATGATTTTTATAGTTTTGTTTTATTTTTAAATAAATATATTTTCTTATTAAAAACACTAATAAAATATATATCTCATTTAATACTTTATGCTTCAGAATATTTCATTTTATTAATTGAGAAAGGTTTTAGGGATTGGGATACATGAAGTCTGACCACTAAGAGGTTAATATTATGATGCACTACATGGATAGCAGCGATCTTAGTTCTTATTAGCATTGTATGTATTTGGAGGGCAAGGTATTGGATCTAAATTTCTAGAAGGACATTGATAACCTTCAGGACATTCGTTGCAAAAGCTCATACCTTATTAAGTTTGGTATCTACCAGGATCACATTAATAGCATTAATCTTATTTAGTATTACGGTTATACGTGCCTGGAGGACAAGGAATAGGTTCTTGATCCTATCTAGGACAATAATTACCTGCTGGACAACGCTCACAAAAAGACTAACCATAATTAGTTTGATATAAACCTAAATCGCAAATATAGCACTAAGTTTATTTTTTATTTGAATTGTAGTAACCAGGTGGACATGGAATTGGACTTTAATCTTTTGCAGGACATTTGAATCCTTCTGGGCAAAGATCACAAGAAGATTATCCAGATTATGTTTAATAAGATCCAGGATCACACAAGTAGCATTAATCCTCTTTAAAACGAGGATTATATGTGCCAGGCATACATGGGATTGGTTAGATCATACCAGGTGTTGGGCATTAATAACCTGGAGGACATTGCTTGCAAATACTTTAACCTTTTTCGTTTTAAAAAAATCTGCTACTGCATTTTTAACATTACTAACTTTTTGGATCATTATTAAAAGTTCCTTCAGGACACTCTATTTTAACACCATTCACACAATAAGAGCCAAGTTAGCAATCTTAGCACATCAAGCTACCTAAATCAGCAAATTTTCCTTAACCACAACTATCACAATTTCCAGTTTACTAATTTGGAATAGATCCTAATCTACAAGTGTAAGGTCCAAGAAAACTTGAAGTACAACCAAAATTAGGAGGACAAGATTAACATGCATTGTAATATAAATTAAAATATTAATTGTATTAACATTATCTGATTGAATAAAAGAGCCAAGCAAATTTTTCTAAGAATTAGTCAGTGATTTATTTGAGATTCTATTCTATTTGATCGATTTTTTTCAATCTTTCTTATTCTTAAGAATTAAAGATATAATTTATTCTTTCATATAAATGAGCTTTTACAAATAATGTAATGCATGTATCGCTACCTAATTATTAACCTATACCTTTAATATCAAAAAAGCTATACACAGCATCCATTTACTTAGTTGGATATCGTTGACTGAGGTAATCATTAATAGTTTCCTAAATTATGATTTTCTTTTGCATCATCGTTGCTCTCAATAATGGATTAATTTTGTCCACAAAACTATCATCTAAATAAGGATTGTGAATTTCGCAGTGCTTAATCCATGAGTTATTTGAGCAAGTAAGAAGAGCCAAAGTAGCACCAACAGAGTGACCACAAACTATAACATCAAATCCTTATTTAGAAAAATCTGTCATATTGTGACTCATAATTTAAGCGATATCATATGAATAAATAGGCATATTGCTAAGCCATGTTTAAGAATCTTACTCCAAACTAACTTTGAGCGTATCTGTGCCTCTAATAGCAAGGAAAACTTATCTCTGATCCTTATTTATAATTATAGCATACCTTTCAGATGCCTGTAATACTTATAAGCCTTTAACAACATCTATAGTTTAAGGATATTAATTTTAAATTTAAAGGAGCCTTTGTTATATTCTTATAACCTCTGTTTAACCATAGGTTTCATCTAAAGCACTATAAATTGCATCATTTAAAACAGATATTACTTCAGTGTATTCTGTTTTAACAAATCCTTATTAGCAAACTATCAGATTTAGGTAATAAATCGCAATAACTAGTGTATAAAATTGTTTTTTCATTAGCGATAATCAATGATTTAAAAGTAACCTAAATGAATTTATTTATATTTTATTATCTTTGTTAATTGATTTATTTATTTTTTATCTTTATTCTTATCCTGATATATTTATAAAACAAAATTTAGATATATATTTTTCAAAATCCCTTTTCTCAAGTCAAATAAAAAAAAAGATATTTTTGATGATATAAATAATCAATTATGACCAGAAATGCTATCAAAAAATTTCTAATTCCCTGATTTGATATTTATAAAATTTATTTATATTTATCAGAAACAAATATTTTGTTGGTGAAAAACTTATCAAGAATGATTTTCTTGAATAAAAAATTTTTATAAAAATTGGTATTTGAAAATCTGGCTAGACCACTTTTTTGTATTAAATAAAACTACTTTATATATAAAGTTCCTGATAAGTTTTTATAAAAAGTATTTTACTAGATATATTATGTAATAAAATTATATTTGTATTTTTTTTACATTTTTGAATTTTATAGCATTTTTCCAACAAATTATTTTTAAATAAATACACGTTATAATAAATTTAATTCAAATTTATTTATATTTCTAAGAAAATAAATACTAATTTTTTTAACACAAAAAAATATAAAATATACTTATAATAATAAACTTACTTATTTCTTTATAATGTAAATTGTATAGTTAATCGTAAAAATATCATCGGCATTATCTTTGATTTTGATTTTACATCATTGGTTAAATATCAAGTTAAATACCTTATGTTTCAAATTGTTAAATGGTATTTAATTATTATTAAGTTTCTAATTTTTATTTAGTTTCAATTTGCTATTAAGTATTATTCTATCCTTAGTCTAGTTATTTCATATTTTCTTTTAGCATTTTTTATTCATAATCTTAGTTATCAATAAAATTACTAACAGTATGCATGCCCTAAACTTATAATTCTTTATTAACATTAAATTCTTATTGAGAGAAAAAATTCTATTTGTGTAATTAATAATTAAGCATTTAAAATTTGTTAAACTAAGTTGGTTGCAACTCAACTGGACTCCAATTTTTAAAGCAAGATAGCTACTCTAGCGGAGGAATTTATTAATCTCGATTTTAGCTTAGCTTAGGATTAATAAAAATTTCTACACCTACTGCAGCATCATCACTGACATACCAAAAAGAATCTATTATAGGAACAACAATTATATTATACTCTTGGTTAAATAGAAAACCATTGCTAGTTAAGTTAATACCTTCAGGTATTTAAAATTAAATTGGAAGATTAATTGAGGTGGAATTTTAAGTTTTTAGACTTATAGGTTTTATATCTTTAGATTCAAAATGATTGATAAATTATTTTTACTCTTAATCTTTCTTTGAATTCATGAATAATCTTCCTTAAAATTATACATTAAAATGCAAGATTTTCTTTTTAAATTAACTTATATCTATATCAAAATTAACATGTAGTTATTCGCCTGGAGAAAATGATCTTGAATCTGTTGTCATTTTGTATTTTATTTTTCCTGTTCCGCAACAAAGACCAAAACAAATACTAGGCGATTAAATTGCATCTGCTTATTTAGGGTAATCTTCAGTTGAAACTATTTACTTGATTGCTATATTTTAAAAAGAGCTAATTGGTTCCTCTTACGCTTGTGATGGTAGCAGTTCAGCTTATAAAATGTATTTTATTGAACAATAATTATATTAATCTAATTTATATGTTAATGATGATGGCAATACTTAGGCAACATCTAATTAAAAAGGAATTACTGCTTAACGAGGTTAAATTATAAAATTCGAAGAATTAGATCCATTAGAAAAATCATATAGAGGGATAGAAAATTTTAGAAAACGGTTAATCTCATTAACATAGAGTATTGTTCTTGTTTTATGACCTTCAGCAAAAGCACCATAGTTGAAATGTATCTCTTCAATTCCATAGAGAGTCAATTATAAAAATTATCCTTAGAAAGGCCTCTCTAAATTGATATTGACAGTTCCTTTAATAGATTCATTAGAGGTAAAAGATTTTTTTGGTAATTAAATCTAAATAGATTAATTAGTTGATACAGGTACACCTTTTAGAGGGCTTTATCCCATATTTTTGCAATAAATAATTTTATATTTATATTTATTTTGTTTTTATTATTTCAAATAATTTTATAAATTATTAATGCCTTATCCCTACTAATTATAGCAAATTAACGAGTTAGCTTCGAAACTAATTTATTGATTCAGATTTATTTTCCCATAAAATAAAAAAAATAATTAAATTAGTTTCGAACCATTTAATTAAAGTGAATAAATTAGGGTTTGTTATTATTTTACAGTTTAAAAATGTAAAACAAACTAATAAATTTTATTTACTTTATTTCTATATAAATCTACTGTGTATCCTAATTAACTAAGAATCTCAGATTTCTAATTTTTTATCTTATTTGTTATGTCTTAATGTCTTAAGACTAAAAACTTCGTAAAAATTAGGAGGAATTGTGGCCTAAATTAATGATAATTTACAATATATCATAAAAAATAAATTTAATATTATTACCAATATTTTAATAGGAAATCACTAATAAATTTAGTAGAGTAAATATTTATATGAATAAAAAGTTAAGAAAATATGTTCTGATTAATCTATTAATAACTAACTGTTTTGCTAGTTTTCAAATATTTTTATTGTTTAAGATAAAAAAGTTAATTTAGTATTTCGATTCGCAAGAAATATTATTAATTGTAAAAACCAATATATAACAAACGAATTTTATTATAAGTAATTATTATAGTTAGTTTTCATATTTAATTATTTGAATGAAGATAGTCTTTAATCAATTTAATCAAACTTAAAATGTAATTAATCACTCGACAATTGGTTCACCCCAAGAACAGTCAGTTTCAATGGCTAAATTTTATTTGTGCATTTGAATTCTGAAGAAACCATTTTCGCCCCAGTAGGTACCCCAAGAGTTTCTACCAATCCAATATTCAACACCAGTTTGAGGATCAGTACCCCAACCAACGACAGCGATTTCGTGGTTGATCATAGGGAATGCAGTGCTTTCTTTGTAGATACCACCAGTATAGGCTTCGAACTTGTTGGTTACATAGATACCACAAGAGATAGGACCTCTAGCATAAATTTCAGCCTTCATCTTGTCAGCACCAGTGACGCTACCATATTAAGAGACCTTCCAGTTAGGATATTATTTAACAGCCCAACAAGTTCCAGGATTAACTGTGGTGTTGGTGGGAATAGGGCTTGTGCAGTCAAGACAACGTTAAGTATCTTTAAATTAAATAATAATAAATTAATAACTTTTTATAAGAAAGTAAAGGTTTAAAATTTTAAGAGTAGCTTTTTCTCAATGTTCAAAACTATAAATTTGATTACCTGAACAAGTAGCTTTCTTGGGATCAGCAGCAAGATAGTTTTGGCATGATTCTTCAGGGATACCTTATTTATTAGCGAATTGGTAAACACCCATAGGTTAGCCACCATTGCATGAACCACCAGCTTAGCAGTTAAGAACAACCTAAACGCTCAAAGCAATATCAGGCCAAGTTCTATTTCTAGCAATGTTGATTCTATCAGCAAGGGAAGAAGTAGTACCGTGAGCCCAGCCTATATTAAATTAATGAGATTTAGAAATTAAGTTATAAAATAAAATTAAAAAATATTTCAATTTATAAAATATAAAATATAGATTGATAAAGTGCAATTTATGAGTAAAATTATAAATATTAATTTAAGCAATTACATGAACCACAGTATTGAGGAATATGTTGGTTTCTGGTGAAGGAGAGATAGTTAACTCCATTGATGTTTCTCCAATCCCAGTTAGCAGGAAGAGAGGCAGCATTGATGTATTCATGAGGAAGAGGACCAGTAATGAGTTAGGTAGAATTCTTGTTAGATTCACGAATGCAAGTGGTATGTCTGAAATTGTTTGTGTGGTTGTTAGAGACTTCAGTAACCTTAGTAGTATTTCTGACGTCATTAGTCCAGGTATCCAAAGGAACAGCCCAGTTACAATTGCTGCTTTCGATGTTAAGCATGTTAACTCCTCTCAATTATCTGTAGAAACCCTTTTCACCCCAATAACTAATTTAATTTAAAGAGAAATTAGAAAATTTTAAAAGTAAAAAAATTGATTTCATTATGATTATTATTGTAAAACAAATAAATAAATATATGCAATTTGAAAATGTGTAAAAATAAATTACGATCCCCAAGAATTTCTGATAATCCAATACTTTTCATTATTTTCTTCACCCCAACCAACAACTTCGATAACGTGATTGGTTCCTGGATATGAACTGGTGTCATTGTAAATACCGCCAGTGTAGTTGTATCTCAAATATTCAGTAGCGTAGATATAACAAGCAATAGGACCTCTGTTGAAGATTTCTTACATCATTTAAGCTTCTCCTTTAACATCACCGTATTCAGCAACAGTGTAGACCTTAGCATTTTCTTAGGCCCAGCAACCCTTGTTAGGCATGCAGTTCTTACACATGATTTAAGCAGAGCAACCAAGTCCGTTATCGTGACCGTAGGCTTGATAAGGAGAGCAGGTTTCATCAGTAATGTTGTGTTCTTTAATCCATTAGAAGGCAGTACCAGAGTTACCTCCGTGACATCCGTTGGAGTATTCATCACAAGAAACTAAGACTTAAGGAGCAATAACAACATCAGGCCATTAAGCTTTTCTGGCAATTTTAATTCTATCAGCAAGAGTGCTGGAAGCAGCTTGAGCCCAGCAAGAACCACAATATTGAGGGATATGTTAATTTCTAACTAAAGTCAAATAGTCAGTTCCATTAACATTTTGCCAAGTGAAGTTGGAAGGGAGAACAGAGTTAAATTCTGCATTGGAAATAACATAAGGCTTGTAACTCTTATGGGGAGGAAGTGCTTCGTTTTGGAGTTAGCCAAATACAGCACAAACCAAAGTAATTAAAACAAGTTGTTTTAACATTTGCTTTCAAAAGATTTTTCTAAGTTATTAATTGTTAATATATCTTTTTTTTTTTGAACTGAATGATAGGATTTTGCTTTTAATCAATTTAAAAGAAATAACTCATAATTTCTTAAGAATATCAATGAGCAAATAAGTAAATAATCATCCAATAATCAATCAATACTAAATTCGGTTATAAAAGAATTTCTGAAATTTCACTTACTATCTTTCTACCTCTCATTATACTTCTAATGCATTATTTAAAATTGAGTTTTGGTTTTCTTATAATACTCATGCACTCCTAAAAAAATTAGTTACTTATAATAATAATTTACATTAGCAATGTACCTTAGCAATTTAGTTTAATGCATCATGTTTATAGCTATGCTTTCCTTAAAAAAAAAAATACTTGATTAAATAAACATTTAATTGAGCATTTTACTTTTTTGAACTCATTTGACGTATTTTAAGTCATTTAAATAAAAAGAAAGTCTTGTTTCTATGAAAATTGATTTGCTAATTATATTTTATTTTGATTTCAATTTTAATATACTAATAATAAAGAAAAAGATACACAAAACTTATTGAAGGAGTGATTGATAAATAAATTTTTTAAAAAACATAAATTAGTCAATTTTTATTTAAAGATCTATTCATGATATTTAAAATTCTAAATTTATCTACCATTAAAAAACTATAAAATAAAAATAAAAAGCCCTCTTTAATAACATATTATTATCTTCAAAACAAATTTATCTTTCTTAAAATAGTTTAAATAATATTAAAAATATTAATCAAATAATTAATACAGTCAAAATTTCAAATTAGATAATACCCTTTTAAACTGATCACTCATTAATAATGGGTAAGACTTTGTCTAAAATTTAATTTTTTAATTATATAAAACATCTATAAATTGAGCACTTGTATACTTTGAGCAAAATTTTAGGTCCCATAAGTGCCCAGTATAGAAAGGCTTGAAATTTTATTTACAATTATTAAAAACATTTAATTAGTTTAAAGAACTAAAATAATTATTCACTTTTACTTTATTTTATTATAAATTAGCATCCAATATAATTAGTACTTGTTTTTTAAAAGTTGAAATTTTCACTCAAAAATTATGATAAAATTTATTTTTCAAAAATGAGTTTTTTTAAGTTAAGAATTTTGACTAAATATATTGAAAAGAAGTTTAAATAACTTATTTACTTATTTTAATAGCAAATATAAATATTTGATTTACACTTTAAAGCTAAATATTTTAGTGAAAATAAAAATATCTTAAATCCAGTAATTCCAAATATTTAATTAATTAAATCAATAAATAAATGAATGACCTACCTACCTACTTACTTCTCTATTTTAAATAAATAGCCTAACTAATTCAGTTTTTAATATTTTTTGAAAATGAAAATTAAATATAATTTGTAAAAAGTATTTAATTATGAACAACGAAATGTAACATAAATTAAAATTAATTATATAAAATATTTTATTTTTATAATCAAACTCATTTTTCTACAACTGGAACACCCCAAGAGCAGTCAGTTTCAATTTTAAGATTTTCTGAGTGCATTTTAATTCTGAAGAAACCATCTTCACCCCAGTAAGTACCCCAAGAATTTCTACCAATCCAATACTCAGTGTTAGTGGTTTCATCAACACCCCAACCAACAACAGCAATTTCGTGATTGATACGAGTAAGGCTCTTTTCAGAGTAAACACCACCAGTGTAAGCTTCGAACTTATTAGTGACAGCAATACCGCAGGAAATTGGACCTCTAGCAAAGATTTCAGCCTTCATCTTATCAGCTCCAGAAACTGTGCCATATTCACCAACCTTCCAGTTTTCGTAGTTATCAACAGCCCAACATCTACCAGGGTTAACTGTAGTATTAGTAGGAGCAGGCTTGGTGCAATCCATACATCTTTAAATATCTAATTTTTAAATCCAAATTAAAATTATTCATATAAAATGTTTTTTGTAATTACCAGAACAAGAGAACTTTTAAGGATTCTTAGCAACATAGTTTTGGCAAGATTCTTCAGGAACACCCTTCTTATGTGCAAATGAGTAAACAGAAATGGGTTAACCACCATTGCAAGAACCACCAGCTTTACAATTAATAATGGCTTGAACTGATAATTCAATATCAGGGAAAGTTCTGTTTCTAGCAATATTGATTCTATCAGCAATAGAAGATGTGGTACCGTGAGCCCAGCCTGTATTTATAAATAATCATTAAAATTTATTTTGAAAAAAATCTAACTAAATTTATTAGTTGTTATATTAAAACCTAATATTGAAGAAGTATAACAAAAAATATTTATAAAATATAATTTATGTGTTTTAAATTAATGAAAAATAAAAAAATATTTTGTTTTCTCTTAAGTATAAATTAAGAAAATTTGTTTGAAGATATTACTATCGTCTGATGAATATTTAATAGTATGTAATAAAATGCTATCTTTCAGAGAATTAAGCTCAAAATTAAATAAATAAATATCTTTTCAATTTCAATATCTTTGAAGATATTAAAAAATAAAATAAAGGTGTTTAATAAAAAATTAATTAATTAATTACAAGAACCGCAGTATTAAGGAATGTGCTAGTTACGAGTGACTGAGAGATAGTTAACTCCAGAAATATTTCTCCAGTCCCAGCTTTTAGGAAGAACGGCTCCATTTAAATATTAGTGAGGAAGAGGACTAAGAATGACTTGGTCTTTTTGATTATTTTCTTGTCTAACACAATCATGTAATTATCTGAAGTTAGATTAGCTGTTGGTGTTGCTAGCAGTAGTATTTCTAACATCATTAGTCCAGGTATCTTTAGGAACAGCCCATGCACAATCACTTTCGATATTCAAAGAATTAATACCTCTAACTAATCTGAAGTAGCCCTTTTCACCCCAATAGCTTTTTTTAAAAATTTTTATTATTTAAAACGTCAATTTCTAATTCAATAAACATCCAAAAATGTTTTGCTGATAACTATTTTTAGGATCAAGCTGAAATAAAAAGTAAGCAATTTATAAGAAAAGGTTATACAGAATACAAACGTTTGGCTGTAAAAAAGAAAGAAAATTAAAAGAATAAGAAAAATCAATCTAAGATATTAATTTCTTTTTCTTTCCTTATTATTTTCCTTAAAAAATAATTAATTAGCTAAAAAAACAAAAACAAAACTTTATAAAATTACATGGATGTCAATTAAAACTTATCAAACAAATAAATCTGAATGAAAATGAATGAATAATTATATAAATTAATAAATAAATAATACCTTCCCCAAGAGTTTCTGACAATCCAGTACTTGGTTCCATTTTCAACACCCCAACCTACAACAGAGATAGCGTGATTATGGTAGTCTACTTCAGTAGTATTGACGTAAATACCTCCTGTGTAGTTATATCTTAAATAGTCATTTGAAGCGATTCCGCAACCAATAGGACCTCTATTGAATATTTCTTACATCATATTTTCTTCACCATTAACTTGACCATGTTCTTCAACTGAATAAATCTTAGCGTTATCTTAAGCCCAACAACCTTTACCTGGTAAACAGTTCTTACATTTAATTTATGCGGAACATCCAACTCCGTTATCGTGTCCATAAGCTTGGTAAGGAGAACAAGTTTCATCAGTAATGTTGTTTTATGCGATCCATTAGTAAGAAGTAAGAATGTTACCACCGTGACAACCATTGCTGAAGTCATCGCAGGAAATCAAAACTTAAGGAGAAATTAAAATGTCAGGGAAAGCAGCTTTTCTGGCAATTTTAATTCTATCAGAAAGAGTACTGGTAGCAGTGAAAGCCCAGCATGAACCACAGTATTAGGGAATATGTTGATTTTTAGTTACAGTCAAGTAGTTAACTCCATCAACATCACCCCAGAAAAAGTTTTCGGGAAGTTCAGAGTTGAAGCTCATTTCACTCTTGATCAAGGGCTTGTAGTTTTTGCTATTGTCAATCCAGTCATCGACACAAATAGCTCCAACTATTAACAGAGATAAAATCAATATATTTAGTTTCATTTTATTTATGAATTTATTTTTACTCAAAATATTATTTGGCAAATTTTAATTAAATTAGATATTCAAAACAAAAACCTTTAAACCACTGACCAAGAAGAAATTTTGATGAAATTTCTTTTATTAATCATTTCTAGCTCCTCATAAACAAAATTATTGTGAAAAATTTATCTTTCATTTGATTACTCTCAAATTAATTTGTTAATTTAAGACGATAAAAGAATTTTTGCAAAAGTCTACCTTGTTTTAATGTTCTAGCTTTACTCTTAAAAATTATTCAAAATACTTTTAAATCTATTTATTTGAATACATTTTATTTATTAAAAAACATATTATAAAATACCAAAAACTTCTGTAGATGTAATCAAATTTCAAATGACCAAAAAAAATAAATGAATAAATCTTTTATAAATAAATGAAAATAATTAGAAAAAAAGAAAGAAAGATAAATTTATTAAATCATTAATTTATTCATTAAAATATTTGTTATTTTCAAATTAATTTAGTTGCAATTAAATTTAACAACTTAATTCAATTTATAATTAAAAGAATTAAAATATTTATTTTAAAAAAAATTATTAGAAGATAGGTTTCCTTTCATCAAACTATCAAAATATAGTAAAAACTCTGTCAATATATCAAATGCACTACTATCTAATTTATTTTTTAAAGCTCAACATAATTATTTTAATGCCTATTTTGGATTTTATTAATCTTATTACTAATTTTATATTTGAATTTATAGTTAGTTATATATGTATATATATATATTTTATTCAAATTTATTTTTAATAATACATAATTAATTGGATTACATCAAATAATTGTTTGATTTTTACCTTTATTATATATAAATTAAACATATTTTTTCATTTTTTAAAAGAGAAAATTAACAATAACTGTTTAAGTATTTTAAATAATAATTAAAAGTTTCTTTATTAAAGAATTTCACTTTTTAATTATTTATATATTAAAATGAATTTAAAAATCCCTTTATTTAGTTCAATATTTATATATACAATTTAAAATATAAACAAAAAATATTGTCTTTCAACTAATTGCTCTATCTATAAAAAAATTATTAATTTGTTTGCTATTTTTCATATTTCGAAAATTTACTTCAAAGATTTTTTTCTTTTTTCATCAAGTCAAGATACTTTAAATATAATCAAACTAATTTTATTTATTAAATATTAATTATGTTTAAAATATTAAAGAATGAAATAATCTAGTGAGTATTATGATACATACAGATATTAGTATTTGAATTATTTGAATTAGATATATTTGAAAAAATTCAATATTAATGTAAATTTTAATATAAAATAAATTAGTTTATTTACTTAAAAGAATACCTACTCTAAATAATCCTACTTAAGAATTATGAATAGTTAAAAAAATCTGATCAAAGAAATTTTTGTTGAAAATATAATTAAGTGTTTGTTTGCTAATATTTAGTATAGCAAATTATACATACACTATTTACTAATTTTAAGAATGATTAGTAGATCAAAAAGTATTTATTAGCTAATAATATACCATCAAAAATATAAAAAATTTAATTAAATTAATTATAGATTCTTTGAGCAAATATATTAAGTAAAATTATTGCTAATTTAAATGGAGATAGAAGATATCAGGGATTACGAAGAATTAGAAAATTTTGAAAAGGTTGAAGAGATTCCTTTATAGGATGAGCTTTTTGAAATTTAGAAGATTGTTGATATTTCTAAGATCTTATCTGTTAAAAGATTAAAACATAGTAAAGTGTTAATCATGAAAAAATACTATTTTCAGATTCCTAATTATTTTGAGTAAGAAAATTTGGATGGAGAAGCTACATTTATGAATCAAGAAGGAAAGGATGAGCTTGATATCATAGAAAATGGTGACGGTACTGCTTAAATAGTTAGAATCGATTAGCTTTATAAAGTTTTAACTTTTTTTAACGTAGAAATCTAGATTTAAGCTGAAGTATACAGATAACATTTTAATTTAAAGCCAATTTATACTTAAGAAGTGAGATAGTTATGTCATTACAGAGAAATTATCAACTGCATCAAAGAATGTACTAAGGGATATATCTAAGAATAATTTGAAAACAATAATTTGCAAAATAAAAACTAGATAGAAATCAGAAATAAAATTTGTGACATTTTATTTAAATAGACTTAAATTCACTAAGATATATTTGATATTTAATTTAAAAATAAGGATTTAGATTTGTTTGAAAAAATGATTATTAATAATTAAATAGATTAGATTACGTCTAATTAGATTAGGCAGTTTAAAATTTGGAGATAATTTAATTCTCTCCCTATAACAACAGTGAATAAGTGTTTCTGTGAAAAATATCAAAGCAGAAGCTAATTAAGTGCTTCTTAGGTTTAAGAAATATTAGATAGAGTTCAAAATTAATTGTTTTTCAATAAAGATAATGATTTAAGTAACTATATCTAATGTGAAGAGGTATACTTCAATATATCACAAAGGACAAGAGACTTCAAATTTAGTAATAAAATATACTTAAAAGTAGGACAGAAAGATGGAAACCCATTTTTCTTTACAAAAGATAATAGTGAATAATTTATTGGTAATTTGTTTACAAAATACCTCAACTCATTAAATTGTGTGAGCATAGAAATCGATGATAATTAAAATTTATTTAATGAAACTGTAAAGATTGTAAAAGAATAGAAAACATGCTAACTATTTTTGTTTTAAATAAAAGACTTTTTAATGAATGTTGATTACAAAATTTTAGATTTACTAGGATTTAATAGACTAGCAAGATACCTTAAATAAAGGACGATATATTATTATGACCCAATCACTAAATTAGAGACAAAAATTAATAATAAAAACGGAACCAAAGGAATATTCTTTGGAGAGGTATTTGCTTCAGATGTGTGCCTTATTGTATGTCAAGTTATATCTAGCTTTATTGAGAAGGACCCTACACTTTAGAAAATCGATTTTTAAATTAAAGTGCTATTTAATTACTCATCTTTTCTTATCAAATTGACACCTAAGAATAACTAGAATCTGGTAACTCAAAGTGAAGATATACCTAAACCTTAGTTTTTTATGAAATTAGTTAGCGAAATTTTACATAGTTTTGGTTTTGAGGAGCAGAAATCTTCAGTAAGATACTATTCATGCGACTAAAACAAAAATATTATACTTCAGAAACTAGATGAAAAAGATTAATTTATTGAGGCAAGTGATTTTTATTTTTATAGACAGGATTTGATAAAGACAAATGAGAACTATAAAGAATTTAGCACAGAATAAATAAATTATTTAAAACACCTGTTAAATGACTCAGAAATTATTAAAGAAAATGACCTACTGAACTCTCCTTAGTAATAAATTATTCATTACATAAATTTGAGACTCATTAAAAGATACATCAAAAAAGGAAATGGAAATCTGTTAGACAAAGAAGATTTAAATCTTTTGTATAAGCACATTTATCAATTTGTGGAACTTCCTTTTTTTGTTAATAAAATTCCATTTTTAAACTGACAATAAAAGCCTTTATTATAAAAAGTTATGTATGTATTTATATTTTAATCTTAAAAATTAATTTTTCATTTAATTTTCAAAAAAAATTTTTATTTTTTTAAACTTGCTTTTACAGAGTTATTGATATTTTTAAATTAAATGTATTTGACTAATTTAAATTAATTAATAAATTTTTCTAAACTATTTTATACGATTTACCTTAAAAAAATATTATTTAGTTGCTTTATTGAGAATGATCCAACACTTTAGAAATGAGATTTTTAAATTTAAGTTCTATTTTATTATATAAATTTATTATAATTTAATTTAAAATAAAAATAATTAAAACAATAAACATTCATTTTTATCATTTAACTAAATTCAAAATTTAACAAATTCAATTTTTTCAAGTCAAAAAAACGTGTAAAATGAAAAAAATATTGAAATGATAATTGATAACCAACTGAAATATATATGAAAATAAAGATAATTTTTTCCTTAATAAAGCACTAAATAGGGCATAAAAATAACATACCTCTTTGAAAAATCTATCTTTGTAAAAATATCAATGTCGAATACTATAAGATTAATAGAAGTGAATTGTATTTATGTAATTTAAATATAAAACTTAGTGATATTATGTTAATAATTTAAAATAGTACATAGTCTTATATCTAAAAATCTAAGAAATGCTATTAAAAAACAAATTAATTAAAATATATAAAAGAGATATAATTATCAAATCATTTTAATTCATTTCTTAATAAAAATAATTAATCATTTTTTATCTAATCATACAAAAAATATAAAAAAATAGTTAAATTAAAATTGTTTTCAAATAAGTATTTAAATATAAGATCAAATAAAAATAAATAACTTATTTATAGCTAGCTGTTTAGTTTTATATTATTTATTCAATAAGTTAATAGATATAGTATTATTCTTATTTTTAAAAATGGATATTATAGTATAATACATTATTGACATAAAATAATAAGATATTTTTTTATACAAATGAATTTAACTAATATAATTGCTAAAAATGCATTAGCCAACTTGCTTAAGAAGCTACTCATTTTAACAAAAATAAGGTGAGCAATCCCTTTCATCAAATTTTTTGTATGAAAACAAATAATTATTTATTTATTTATCAACGCATACTTTTTTGTAAAGAAAGACTTAAATTTAAAAATTTTTACTTAAGCTACTCTAAATCAACTTGCTTGTCAGATCCTTAAACATAAATACCTTTTTACCACAATCCATATTTTATGGTACCATTTTATTATTTAAGGATACCTTCACCATCTTATTAGCTTGTTTAAAACATACCTTCGTAAATAGAACCACTAAAATAGTCATAATATTTTCCATATCCTTATCTTTGGTGATTAACCCATTATCCTTCATAATAACTACCTATATTCCAGTATAATTTTCCATAACCATGAAACTTATTGTATTTCATCTATCCAAAATATTCACTTCCTTCTTAGAGTTTAAATTGCCCTAAACCATCAATTTGATTATTTTAGAATTTTCCTTTGAATACTTGATTTACCTTCCAAAATAATTCACCATAGCCATGCTATTAACTATCCTTTAAATTTCCTTTAAATAAGTTCTCATTATTTTTATAATAAATTTCTGAATAGCCTTAGAATTTTTTATTTATATAAGTTACTTTCCATTAGCTACCATCAATGAAGTAGGTTCCTTAGATAGCTTTTTGATCATTTGAATATACTCCTTCGATCATACATTATGATTTTTTCCAATACATAATATAATTATTATCTCTCTTATCTGAAATGTCACCATTTTAATAATAAGTTACTCCATTCCCAGTATATTTATCATTCTCCCAAACTCCAAATACCAAATCACCAATAAAATATTTGAAAACACCTTTTCCATGTTTTTTATTATTTTACATCTCTCCTTCATAAGTATTTAAACCAAACAAAAAAGATTAATAGATTCCTTCAAAATAATCTAATTTTTCTAAAGTAAATTATAAATTAAAAAGTCTGAGATTATCCTAGTCAACAAGATTGTTGGCTATTTATTACAAATAATAAGATCTTTTCGTGTTGTATCTTAGTTATTGATCTAAATTTTATTCTTTTTCTCTTAACAAATCGCATAGGCTAATTATTAAAACTCCTGCCCTGTACAAATCTTAGCTCTGCATCTCTTCAATAGAAACATTCAAATTTTCAAAAATATTTTTTTCTTGATTAAAATGATTTTATTCTTTTTCCAAGAAAAAATCATCACTATCTTGTATACAATAATCCGTAAGCAAAATAGATTCATTTTAATCCATAAGAACATTTTCAATTTTAAATCTTCCATGAAAAAGTTTATTTTTATGTAAGCAATCTAATCCTATAAGTATTTTACAGGCTAATCTTTAAACTATATCTATATTTAATTGCTTTTTTTACTAATAATTTTTTAAATTTCCATTTTTTTGAAAGCTATTTGAATATACTATCAATCCATTATCAATTATTTCTGGTGGTTTATCATATTTTTGAATAAACTTTGTTTCAAAATTTTAAACCATTTTAATTCGATCTATTGTTTATTGTGGATTTCTAACCTCTATTACCTTGATAAATGCTTATTATTTTTTTTAACTATTCCAAGCTTGGATTAAATTCTTAGTATCTTTTGAATATTAATCTTGTTGATTTGCTTAGAATTGAATCTTATTAAAACCATTTTTTTCCAAATAATTTGTAATATTTTACTTTGAATCAAACATTTTTTATTTTCAAATTAATATGAATTTTTTATATTAATTAAGTAAAAATAAAGAAAAGAAAAGAGATTTGATTTAATTAAGGTATAGCTGTGTATTTCAGATTTACATTAAATAATATAGTTTTGAATCACAATGCTTTTTTTTTACAAAATAAATTATGAATTTATTTACAAAATTTTTAAATTGATATTGTAATGTCTATCTATGAAAAAAAAATGTTATCATAAGATAAGGAGTTCTATCAAAAATGTAGATTTCTTCATTAAAAAATTAAATACTTGATTAAATATTATATAAATGATAATGAGTATACGAAATTACTAGAATAGAAATAAATTTTAGATGTATTTACACTCATTTTTTAATTTTACTTAAAAATTTCTGTCCATTTTTAACGAGTGCTCAGTTTAAAAAGTTTTTAGCTATATTTGTTTAATTTAAAATATTTTTTTAATTAATTACAACAACAATAAGTTATATTTAATTCAATTAAAAAACATGAGATTATTTATTTTTTAAAATGAGTTTTTTACATATTTGGATAATATTTTATTAAGAATGAATTTACCAGAATAATATTAATTTAATTTTAAGACTTAATATAATTAGATATTTTGAAGGTTTTTTATATTTTTTAATATATTCTTCCATTTCTATTAAATTTTATTTTGAGGACCAGCTTATTTTGTATTTATTTCTTATTGATGACATTTTTCAAAACTGAAATATTGATTAAGATATTCTAAATAGATAAAAGATTAAGTAATTTATTTAATAAAATTTCATTTGCAAAGGAATTATATAAATAGATAGATATATATTAGCGAATTTAGTTAGATTGTTTATAATTAGAAGATGAAACTGAAAGTATAAGTAGAAGATTTAAAATTGAATATTAATGTTGGACAGGGGTTAAATGACTTTGTTTGGTTAGCATTAGCTGCTGCCAAGCTATATGGTAAAACAAAGTATCCTCCTGGAAATTATTTGCCAGCAATTCTCAAAATATTTGATTATGTGCCTAATCCAAGGTAGAGAATTCTTCAAAATCATATTGCTTCTTTAAATATTAAAAACAGAATTCATAAATATAATTCACTTTTAAATTCATTTAAGACAAAAAATTTGCAACATGTTCAAAGATGAAAAAGATATTAATGATGAGAGTTAAATTACTGTTGAATTGTACAAACCAAATATGATTTAGACTGATGAGCATAAAAGTAAATAAATTCTTTTTTCTAGTTTTTGCGAATTTCTAACATCATTTATGAACAAACATAAAAGAATGGTTTGAAATGGCTTTTGGAAAAGAGAGAAATAAAATGAATGTAAGTTTCAATTGGTGGACAGATAAGCCAAAAGATAAGAGAAAAGACATTACTACTTCTTACTTTCTCAGACTAAAATATGGTCTTTACAAAGAAGTAAGTAACCTCATTTATTTTTTAATCCCAACATAATCTATCAATCAATCAATCATAATAATTATTTATATTTTGCTTCAATTTTATTCAAATTAAAAATAGCTTAGAATAGAATTTAATCCTTCTGACTACCGCTCTCCCATTAACGTACCTTTGGTTGAATAAGAGTATTTAAATTCCCATTACAATTATAAATTATACAAAAATCTTTTCTTATTATTTTCCCTTTTAAAAAAAAATTAATTTTAAAAGGCTTGGAAATATAATGACTTATAATGCTGAAATGAATTTGCCTTTTGGAGAAATTACTTTTGAAGTTATTTAGGTTTAGAGAGATGAAAAAACTGAGGAAGGTAACTACTTGCCTTTAATTTTTATCAACTAAGCAAAATAAATGTATTTTTTTTCAAAGATAGTTAAAACTATCAGCCATGTTATTTAAACAATTAAGTATTCAATTAAGATTATTTATTTTTTTTAAATAAAAGAAAAACAAACTACTGTTTAAAGCTAGAATTTTAAATTTGAAGTCAGTCCAAGTCCTATTTCTCAAGAAGAAATTCTTAAGAAAATTAAAGATGGAATGAAGATTCCTGAGCATCTTTCCCAATAATTATAATAACAAGAAGCTGAAATTAAAAAGGAAGCTTAAACAGGAAGCTTTTGTCCTTTTACCTTTGATACTCTGTGGGTTGTCATAGAGAACAATCCTAAAGCATAATAATTCTTAGAATTCGTAAAAAGTTTGTTGCACAATTAATTATTTTAAATTATGTTTTATATTAATAATAGTAAGACAAGATAAAAGAAAAGATAAACCAAACAATTAGCGAAAACATGAACAAAATCTATGAAATATTTTTCTAGTACTCAATGCTTTATATTTAAAAAACTGATAAAAAAGATGAAATTGCTATTCCAATTTAAGATGTCATGCATTTTTTGAAGTTTTATGAAGTCATGAAAGATAGCTAAAATGTCTTTTCCTTTATCGAATTCTATGGAATGGATGACAAAAGAAATAACTCACCACAAGCATCTTTAGATTTATCGAATGGTGTCAAATTCCCAGAATTTATATTTATTATTTTGAAAGCAACTGAATACATTTAGACTACCAACTTGATGAGTGATGGAGAAAGTAAAAAAAAATAAATAATTTTCAAATTATTTAGTGTTTTCAATAAATTTTTTTATTTAAATAGGTTTCGATATGAGTTTAGATACTTTAGTCAAAAGAATTGTGAGCATAGACAATAACGAAGATGAATTTAATGAATTCTAAAAGCACATGAAATATAACATCACACTTATGAATTTTATCAGAGTATTTATTGATATTTAATTTATTTCTAATAAAACTTGTTTGATAAAAAAAATAATGAATTTTTATATTAATCTTACTCAATATTTAGCATTTTTAAAATTTAAAATATATTAGGAAAACTCTTAAAATTTGGTTCAGATATTTGTAGAGAAATTGTAGGATTCTTTGTAAATTGCAGATAAGAAATTCCACATGCTTAAAGAAGAAGTAAAAACTTTAATTACAGAAGCAGGATTTAAAGGTGATAATTTAGACGAAATTGTGAATACATGCTTTTAAGAATTACTGGCTGAAGACAAATATTAAGGATTTGAGGGTATATTCTTTTATGAATACTTACAAGTTATGTAATGGCTTAGTCTCGTTTTGATTGCAGACAGTGAAGAAGATAGAGAATATGAAAATGATAATCCATAGGATGAAGTAGAAGAAGGTGTTGACATTCTTATAGAAAAGTTTAGATTTTTCTTAAGTCAATTCAAATGATTAATCTTATATAAATATTACTTGTATTTTTTACATTTTCTTTAAATTGTTTTGCTAATATCATATGACTATCTTGCTTGCTTCAAATTTCTAACTGTCCTACATATTTTTTATCTATTTATTTACTTCTTATTTTATATTTATTTATTCTTTCTTAATTTAAACCGCTCAGAAAATATTTTATTATTAAAAATCAAAATGAAATTCAATTTATTTTTCTTTTTATTTGAAAAAAAACTTTTCTTGATTTAATCAATTGAAAAGCTTTTCTTATTTGCTTCGAATTTTTTAATTTGATTTTAATTAAAATATAAAATGGAATTTTAAATTAAATAAAGCTTAATTCAACTAAATTAATTCTTAATTTCAAGAACATGCAAAAGAGAACAATATGATATTACTCATATAATTATTAAATCATATAAAAATTAAATTAAGAGAGTTAGACAGAAATTGTAGGCAAATAAAAATCAAGTTACAGCAATAAAAAGCATAAAAATATAAAATAATATTAAGGGATAGCATGAATTAAAAATTAATTTTTAGAAATTTAATCAGTTGTAAGAGACGGGAAGAGAAACACCTTTAGATTTAAGATATTCTTATATGGCTTTAACAAGAGTTAAGATATCTTCTTCATAAATTTCACCAATAGATCCAATTCTGAAAGAGTCGGCCTTAGTTAACTTACCAGGATAAATAACCAAACCTTAACTGGCCAAAAAGTTGTACATTTCTGATTTAAGATAAGAATAAGGTTAGAATATATAATTTTTAAAAAGTCTAAATTACCTTCGAATTTGAAGCTGGGATGAGTAGGAGTTAAGAAAGTAGTAATGATACAACCTTAGAAAGCTTAATCAATGTATAACTTGAAACCTAATTCGGTCATTTTCTAAACAAGAAGCCTATTTATAAAAATTAATGTTTATTCCTATAAATTATTTAACTGATAATAATAATAATTTATCACTTTTAGTTGTTATTGTATCTCTTGAATCTAGCAGGAAGACCTCCTAAAGCTAAGTATTCATCGATAGCGACCTTAGTGGCTTTTAAGACATGAGTGGGAGGTGTGAATCTGAATTGTCCGTTTGATTCAAGTCCTTACCATTGATCATACAAGTCAAGAACAAGAGATCTGGCATTACCTTTAATTTAATATATATATTTTTATTTATATTTACTTTATTTTAATTAATATGTTTATAAATACCTTTAGTAGCTAAAAGAACATCAGTCTTAACTACTGCAAAAGAGAATCCAGGAATACCCTAAAGATTCTTGTTAGAGGAGGCAACAACGTAATCAATACCAGCTTCCTTAGGATTGATTCTGTAAGCACCAAAACTGCTCATAGCATCAACTAAGAAGATAATCTATTGCATAAAACAATTTAATTTAATTAATTAGTATTTTATAAGAATTATATTATACATTTTAATTGAAAGCCTTAACGACCTTAGCAACTTCTTCGATAGGATTAATAAGTCCTAATTTAATTAATAATTAAAAGATTAATTAAGCATTTTATAAAAAATTAAATATGATTTAAATTTTTAAATATCTTCAGAATTTCTAGAATAAATCTAATTAAATTAATATCTTTTATTCTTTTAATTAAAATGTTTGTTTGCTTTTTTTTCTAAATAAATTACCTGAGGTAGTTTCAGAGTGGATCATACTGACATGAGTAACATCTGGATTTTCTTGTAATTTCTTTGCTACATCTTCAGCTACAACAACTTGATTGTCGTCATAGTCGATTGTGATGTAATTGATATTATTGTATTGAGCAATCTTTTGTTATCTAATGCCATAAGCACCATTAGCAATAATTAATAACTTATGGTTAGTTTTAGGGATAGCTGTGGTGAGGGCTGCTTCTATTCCATAAGTACCGCTACCTTGAATGAGGACACATTCATATTCACCTTTTTAAACTTCGCAAATACTTAAGATATCGTTTCTAATGTCTTTAACAACTTTAATGAATTAAGGATCTCTTGAACCATAGTCATAATTCATAGATCTTTTGACAGTCTTAGATGTCAACAAAGGACCAGGAGTGAAAAGCTTAGGTTATATTTGGCCTGCATTTTCACATTCTTCCTAGACCTTAGGTTCAGTCTTTTTAGTGCATTCGGCTACTTTAGTTGTTTCTGCCTTTTCTTGCTTGATTAACTTGTTTATTCCTTAGATGAAAAGCATTTATTAATTAAGTTGAATGAAAATTCTTTTTATTTTTTGAAAATATAATTATTTTGATTTGTTAAATTATTGATTATTAATTGTTTATAAATAATTGGACAGGCAGGCAGACCAAGTATTAATTTATAGAAATATATTTATTTATATATTTTTCTTTCGTTAATTATGTTATTTGATATTTTATTAATATTAAGATTAATTACTATTTTTTCTTTCTTTAGAATGATTGAAGATCAATCAATCAGTCATTAACTCATTAAAAATATCTACAAAAAATTAATATTTATTTTAAAAAGCTTTTAAGTTGATATAAAATATTATATAATCATTACAAGATGTATTTATAAACATTTTTTTCAAAACTCAAAATAATCTAAAGCCATGTCATGTGTTTATTTTTTTAACATTTTATATTTATCTCAATTTAATTAATACAAACTTAACTAAAAATTTATTGACAATTGTCAAATATTATGAAATCTGATTTAATGTGATGCACATTCGAAGTAAATACCTTCTGGAAAAATTCTTTTTCGATGCACAAATAATTGAAATAGATTATCTTTTTTGGTAGATTTTTGGAAGATCAAATATGACAAAAGAGATAACTTGTGCTATCATTCAATCAAATATTTCGCTTTCTAAAGATAAAATTATCTCTTGAATAATACAGTTTTAATTAAAAGCTCATTAATAGGAAACCATCATTTCAAGTTCGAAGATTTCAATGTCAGATTTTGAAAGATGATTCACAACTGCAAATCTAACATTAACTTTTCCCAGCTAGTTATTTTCATAAGCTGATAATATTTGAACTTTAGATTGCACATCAGTCCACTTAATATTTGTATATTCTATGCTTTCATAAAGCAATCTACCTTTGATCACAGATGTTCCTTTTGACAGCAAAAAGTCAGGTGCTTGCTTTTCCCATATTTTAAGAGTTTCTGAATATCCACTTTTCAACTCGAGCAGCTTTATTTTGTGGTCTCCTCCAAAAACGAGAATCCAAACAGTCCTTTACTTTTTTCTAGGCTCAATTAGAATCATGTCTTTTATTGTATTATTAGCTTGCTCTGTTAAAACTGGTATAACAGCTTCCTCTGTTAATCTTATATTGTTCTATGCTGTTCTTAATATTACTAAGCATCCTTCTTTATAATCTTCTTTGTCATCGAACCTTAAGTTCCCACATATTAAATGCTGAAATTTCAAATAGCTTTCTTCCTAATTAAAACCTGTTGTCATGGTCAGGCAGTTGATGTCATGTGTACCTATTATTACAACAGATAACTTACTTAATTCAAAAAATAAAATTTCTCATGAAATTCCCAAAAAATATCTTTTAGATATATTGTTAAATTCTGATTTGAAAATTTTAATGTTGCAAAATAAAATTCTAATCATAGTCCAAGAAATTTTAAGTTACAAAAATGTAAATTAGATAAAAATTCAATTTAAAGGCTCACAAACAAAATAAGATTTGTTTGAATGAAAATCATTTTATTTTTAAACAATTTTAATAAAAATGTAAAAATGTTGTTTTGGAAAGCAATTTCATAAATTTTATAATAAAAAATAAATAAATAAATTCTAAAATTGCTTTGAAAATGAATGAATACCTGAATAAAAAGATGTGACATCTTATTCAACTCTCATATGATTTATCATTTTTATAGTATGGAATCTTATTTTTTCGTTGCTTGCTGATACAAAAAATTTTCCTTCTTCAACAGTGTAAAGATTTGTGATTGGTGAATCGTATACGAATGGTAAGATATTTATAGGCAGAGAATTCTCAACGCTGAAAATAGCTATTGATCCAGAAGAATATCCAACGATAAAGAATTCGTTTAAATACAACTAAGCAAGACAAGTTACAGCCTCAGTGGTTTTCTTTTCGAAGGTCCTAAAGTTTTTTATAGATAAATTGATGGGCTCTTGTCCATCGAATCTTCTCAATATGTCCAGCTTGTAGCTTAGTATTGTGGATTCATCACTATATGTGCCAACAATTAATATTGGAGACCATTCAGCAACTTCATCTTGCTCCTTTCGTATAATTAGCATACTTTTAACTCCTTACTAAGCTTTTGTATCTATTTTTGTAATAACTTATTTATCTTAAATCCTATAAAACTCAATATACTAGTTAAATCTGCCTCCAATTGCGACTATATCTTCACTAATCACACACAAACAAGAAAGATCTTTTATTGAGGATTTTATAGTTGATAATTTTATTATATTTCCATTTGTGACAGTTTTGAAAATTCTACCTAATAAGCACTTTTTCCTAGCACTATCGACACTGCATTATAAAAACTCTCCACCCTGCACATAATCTCCAAGTCTTGGAGCATAAATTTATATTGAGCCTTGCTAAAGTGGTCCCTAAGAGCTGTTTCCTTATAAATTTAAGCCAAAAATATTGGGCATAGATGACGTGGAGATAGAGTTACCAATTTTAGACTTCTCTGCCATGTATAAATCGACAGCATCTTTGCTCCCCACTCCATTAATTTATTTACCAGTTTGACGATAATTTGAATTATCATCGTATATACTTAAATTTGCTGGCCTTTTTCTAACTTAAGTTTCCAATAATGTTGGTTTCAAATATTCTATTTAATTTACAAAGTCTTTTTTTCCTCCTCCAAATTTAATCTAAAAGACATCTCCTGGCTTAAAATCTTGCTGAGGAGGTTTTAAATAAAGCGAATTAGAATTTGTTGTTGTTTATATTCTGCTAACCTAACTCATTCCAGGAATGTTAGTGTCAATTGAAAAAATATCATCAAGTTTTTATCTAAAATCCTTTTTAAATTTACTCTAAACAGCTAAAGTAGCAACATCAAATTCAGGAACTTTAGGACTTAATTTGTGCAAATCAATGCTATCTTAAACAATTTATTGTTACTGAGTTAAATGCAATTTGACCTATTTGGATATATCTTTCATGTCTGCTTAGAATTCATTAGATATCCTAAAAGCCGTTTCATAGTCTCTAAGCACTAATTCTTTCTTATTATTTGAAGAAAAAGTACCTCCATCACTTAATTAAGCTACTGTATTTGCTATATATTTGGCAAAATGGTCTCTTCTAATATGTTATTTATGCATTAATTTATGAATAACTACATCACTTTTTATCATCCTATCTTCAAATTCATTTTCGAATATATTATAATACTTATGGACTGATGCGACAAATATAGAAAAATGATCAATAAGAGAATCAACAAATTCCTTCGCCATTGAGATCAACAAATCGCGATATCTTGCACAATTTTCCACTTCATTCTTTAAAATAGATTTTTTATCAGTCTACGATTAAATCAAATCACTAATGAAACTTCTTAAACTAACAATCTTAGTGGGATGATTAGAATGTCGAAGATGAATACATCTAGGACAAGTTAATCCTTTTCTTGGACAATTTTAATCCAAACAAACTTAATCTAATTATAAATCATCATGTCCAATTTCATCACAATTAAAAAATGGTAAAAAAGAATCAATTTCTTTTTCTGTAATCTTCTTTCCTATAAAATGAAAATGCTCCTTAAGACTGCTTTCAGTATATTGCCCTGGTTTATTTAATTAAATCTCCATATTATCAAACCCAAATTATTGTAGAAATAATATTTTTTTTAATTTCTGATTTCTTAAATAGTTAACTTGATTAATAAAATAAAATGGCTATCTGAGTGAATTAATATCTTATAATCTATATCTCAAATGGAATTTTGGGTTGTATTGTCTTATTTATATTATATTTAAGCCTATTTTGTTATTCTACTGGATATTTTGTATTTAATACAACTTAAAAAATAATAAGTAACTTTTATTAAATCAAGCAAATAAATACTACCACTAACTAATAAATATCAAATAATATAGAATCAAATATGTAGATATTATTTAAGGACTAAAGTTTTATAAGATAAATATTATTTTATTTTAAATTAATTTTCAGTAGCTCTTAAAAATTGTTTTAAATCATTAAATTAATTTTTTTGTAAAATATTATGAAAAAATACATAAATTTACAATAAATGATAAATAATTACTATTAATTCTATGTTTTAGCAATGTAAATAAATATTTTTTCTCAATACTTTTTATAAAAACATAATTTTTAATGGTTTCTAAAAATGTGTTAATTTTGTTAAATCAGGTTGATAAAAGAGAAATAATATTTATGATGAAATAAGTAAATAAATTTATTTTAATAAATTAGAATTGATCCAAAAAATACATTTGGATCTAATATAAATTATTTTAATTTAAAGATATTTATTTAATTTTAATAGTCAACATATTATTTTTTTAACTTAATAATAAAAAATTAGTCATTTATTTTAAATAATAAATTTAAAAGAAAATAATATTTCAAAATATTTTTTAATTAATTTTAAAAAATAAATTTTTGTTTCTGTTAAATAAATTTAAAGCAGAAAATTATTGTAGTCATAAAATGATTCAAAATTTTTTCATGCAGATTATTTTTGAAAGAATTTTATTGAATCAATATCTTGCTGTTCCAGAAATAGGATAAGAATTAATATGATGGCTTAAGCTTTAAATTTAAATAGGACTTTTTTAAAGAATATTTAGAATTTGTCATCAAATATTATTTGTAACGTCATTTATTTAAGATAATTAGATGATTTTAACATATACATGGATAGATATTGATTAGGTAATATTTGTAATTTGATTGTTGTAATTTTAAAAAAGAAATATAAAAACTAAAAAAAATTTGGTATCCTTAAAAAAAAGTATTACAAATTGCTCACTTAAATTAACTTTTGTTTTTAAATCAATTTCTGAATTATTATAAACAAACTAAGTGATTGATGATTATTTTTTAATCAACTCTTAAATAGTAAAAATTGAATACTTTTAATATAGTTTTTTTGTTAGATCAATAAGATTTATGCATATTTATTAACTTGTAATTAAATTTTATTTTACAATTAAATTCATTTAGCTAATAAAAATAAATAAATAAATAAATATGAAATTTAATTTCAATTATCTAGAAAAATAACCTATGACTAATTTAACTAATTGATATTAAATAGATTATCTTGAGATTTAATTTTAATTTATATCTCCTAGGAGCTATGTATTTCTATTTTAACTTCTTTTTATTTATTTTAATCTTAAAATAAAATATTTATAAAAAATTAATAGTTAATTTATTTAAGATTTTAAGATTAATAAAAAAAGATTTTATTTCAAATAAATCTTCAATTTTTTATTCAGATATTTTTTAAAAATTTAAATATTTCTTGTTTTATGCATTTTTTTGTTTACAAATTGTATGATTTAGTCTGATCTCATTAATAATCTATTTTTAATGTTACAATTTTTCTATTTATTAATATTCAATACCTCTGTTATTAATTTCTTCTTCAATTTTAGATTGATAAAATCTAAAATTCAATTTGTATACTTCCAAAAAAACTAACAAAATTTGTGGTTTTTAATTTAATGAATGCAATAACTTGCAAAATAATTAAAGTAAGACAATCGTAATTACATTTAATTAATTAGGTAATTAATAATGTTTATAGAAATCTTTTTCACGAAATAAACAATTAAATATATATTTAGATATTAATTAAAAGATTAATAATCTATAGAGAATATTAAAGAAGTATAATAAGTTAATAAGTAACATAAATAAATGTCTTTCAATAAAAGGAGAAATTAATTTTTACTTTTATTGTGCTACTTATTTATTTTTTAATTAGCACAAACTGAAGATTCTGATTAAATTCTTTTAAATGACTTACGAGATTAAGAATTGAAATCTAATTATGAAAATTCTAAGTTTTTAGTTGAAAAATCAGATAAAATAAATAAATTTATTGATATTTACTACAAGAATACCTAAAACTAATATATTGAGTTTTTCATCAACTAATCCGATGTCTTAGAATAAATATAATCGACCGAAACATAATTTATCATTTATTTTGAAGACTTTCTAATGATATGTTAGTAAAAATTTTTAATTTATAGTTATTTGTAAGACAATATTTTAAATTTTAAATTTATTGTTTTATTAATAAATTAGAAAAAATGGAAGACATTATTAAATAAACAATTCGAAGTAAATATAAAATGAAAGCGCTAAAAATCTATTTATTAGAGCTTACTGTTTAGATTAATATCTGGTTTTTACCTTTTTAAGTTAAGAAAGTCAGCCATTTTTGAAAGAAACTTAAATTAAAGAAGAATAGAGCATAATAATAAGTTTATTAAAAATTCCAACTAGAATTGAAGGCTAAAAAATATTGTATTTTTCTTAATCTATTTATATTTATTTAAACCATATATTTTTTTTAATAATAGAGGATATTTAATCTCTGATGAGGGAAATCATTCAAATTATGAATCACCCAAAAAACCTGATGATAATTAATTTATCGAGGTTTTCACTAATTAATTTTATATCAGATAGTAATTAATTTCAACTTATAAAAGAAATAAAGAAGATAATTCATAAAATAGTATTGCTTTTTCTTTTCTAAAAGGTAGAAATTTAGGTTGTAGGAGTTGTAATAACAACAATAATGGCAATAATGGCAGTAACTACAATAATGGTAATAACGGTAATAACTACAATAATAATAACTATAATAATAATAATAATTCTTGCAAACCTTCTGAATACTATGATCCTAAAAATTGGAATAAGTAAGGTAGATCTTACTCTCACTGCTTTCCTTGCGATTAAAGCTGTGCTACCTGCAGCGGAAGTGGTCCAAATGCATGTTCAAGTTGCAAAAATTTATATTTTTTGGCTAATAACTAATGCCAATTGTGTCAAGTAAAGAATGGAAAATATTATGATTAAAAGTAATAGACTTGTAATAATTGCATACCCAATTGCTAAATATGTTAAGATAATTCTACTTGCTAAACATGTAATTCTGGTTATTAATTAAATTCTAATAAAAATTCTTGTGACTAAATCTAAAATAGTTGCCCAAAAACTAATTAGTATAAGTATTAAGGTACTTGTTAAGATTGCGATTAATCATGTTAATAATGCTCTGGATCTGGACCTACAAATTGTACATAATGTAAACCTAACTAATATTTAGATTCTGATAATTCATGTAAGGACTGTGATCAATCTTGCAATTCATGTACAGGTTCAGGATCAAAAAACTGTGTTTAGTGTTACACTGCATATTTTTTAACTTAAGATAATGAATGTGTGACATGTAACAGTCCTGGATTCTATATAAGCTAATAAAACTGTTTAAAATGTGATTCCTCTTGCTTATAATGCTCGGAATCTTCCAATAATTGTATTGCTTGTTAATCAAATTTACTTTACAATTCTTCAAATAAAACATGCAAAAGTGAATGTGATGATGGATTTTTTCAATCAGGATCAGAATGCTTGCCTTGTGATTAATCTTGCAGCACTTGTTCAGGCTCACAAACATAATGTACATAATGTGCTCCTAACTACTTCTAATTCGATGGGAGCACTCTCTGCAGATAATGCTAAAGCAATTAAGTTTAATAAATCTAAAATTGTGTTAAAGTATCATAATAATGTTAATTAAATTAAATAACTCAAAAATATGAACAAGTTTCAATTTGCAACTAATGCGCTGGCACTATGGTGTTATAAAATAACTAATGCATTTAGTCTTGCTCTCTAATAGCTCAAAACTATGTTTACAATGAAACTCTATAAAGCTGTCAATGCTCTAGTTCTTATCCATTTTAATATAAATAACCAGACGGTTCTATTTTGTGCAGTGCTAATTAAATGTAGGGATCCTTTTGCAATAGCAGCAAAATCTGTTCTCCTTGCTCTATATAAAATTGCTAGACATGCAATTCAGATATAAGTATTTGTGATCTTTGTCAAAATAATTACTATCTTTGGTAGAGCAATTGCAAACCTAGCTGTGATTCAAGCAACGGTCTTCAAATTTCAGCTTCAAAAACCTAATGTGAATGTCTTAAAAACTATTTTTTTTCAGCAACTTAAAAATCTTGTATATTAAGACTAGCGATAACTTAAATAAAATTATCAAATAATTCCGAATACAACATAATAACTGTTGTTTTTAATAGAATTCCTTTCCCTGAAGAAAAAAGTTTAATGAGTTTACTTATAGACCCTAATAAACTCACATTAAACAAAGATTATGTGATAGTTTCTTAATAGTTGGTTGACTAAAACCTTATTTTTTAAGTCAGCGTATAAAATAACTTGAAAGTTAGCTAATTTGTAATCAATTATAATAATTAGCAAGAAAAGTATGAAGTGCAAAATACAATATTAACATCTCAGTATGTTAATTAGAAATTACAAGGTATGCAAGACACCATGTAAAGTGTTAATAGTGCTGGATAAACCCTTTCTCCTTAAGAAGGTGCTGCTTTCATGATAGTAAAAACACTAAAAAACTTTTAAATTTTGTGTTTGCTTTCTAATTTTGTTTAGATATTAGGTCCTCTGATCATTTTCAAAGCTTATTTGCCACAGCTTGCTTATGTAGGTACTCTGCTGGGGGCATCATTTATATTTAATAAGATTCCAGACTCAAGTGTTCTTAGTAACAAACAGAGCTCATCATAGAGCAACGATGTATAACAAACAAGTTAATCCTTATTTGAGTAAATAGGCTTTAGCGATAATATATATTAGAGTTTACTCATTCCTCATCTACTTCTTATTTTAGCAGTTGTCATCACTTTACTATGTTTATTTGCTAGATGGGTTATGAGAGGAAAACAATATACAATAACAGTAGTAAATATTTTAATTAATACCATGTCTTCACTGCACTAAGGATACATAACCTGTACCTTATTCAGTATTTTCTATGCACTTCAAAATTCTTCTCAAAAGCAATATGCTATTTTATAATTAATATTCCACATAGTCTTCGTCATCTTAATTGCTTGCATTATGTTTAAGCTTGATGGATTACAAATATAAAATAACATGCCAAACTTTATACTTAATTTGAATGTCAAATCAAAAGGATGGAAAAGTTATTTGCTTATGAGCTATGCTAAAAAATATGCATGTATCCTTTTAATACTTTTTCTCTAGTAAAATCCTTTCTTTTGTGGAATAATTATATCAATCATATTCTCCTGCTTTGCTTTATATCTACTCTATTTTAGATTTTTCACTCATCCCTTTTTTACAGTTTATAAAATTATTTAAGAATTAGTTATTTCTTTGGCATTTATTTTGTTCTCAATTTGTGTTAAAAAACAAATAGACATGCTAAATGAAGATGTTATCTCTGATGAAGATATTATTAATGTAAGTAAATTTAGCTTAATTGTGCTTATTTTATTTGGAGTTTGCTTAATAATAAGTTTTCTCTTATTCTTAATTAGAACTACAGTATAAATCATTACTGTTGTTTAGTAAATAAGAAAATATTTTGATGAAAGAAAAAAGAGAAGATTAAGTAATTTTGATGTAGAATCTTTGCTTCAATCAATAGAAAATTAAAAATAAAACACAACCCTTGGCAATAATATTAATTCTACTTCAAAATATAAACCAAAGCTAGCAAATCAATAATATCTAACTAATGAATCATTATGATGATGCTATTAAAAAATTTAAAGAAATATTTTTCCAATTTAGAAATATTCTAAATTAAAAAGATTTTTTAAAAAATCTTACATTTATAACAAAGTTAATTCAAATATATCTAAAAGTATGTATCAAATATTAAACTTAAAAAAAGTTAATTAATTATCAAAGTTAAATAAATTAATGTCTTTTGTAATATTCATACTCTAACAAATAACAAGTATATACTTAAAAAATAATTATAAAAATATATTTTAATTCATTTCTGTTAAATTTTATGATATTTTAATTTCTTTATTTTTAAAAAGAAAATTACATAAACTAATAACGAAATGATTTCAGAAATTAGTTCAATACAGTTTCCATAAATGAAGGGAAAAATTAAATTAATAAATTTCATTCAGAAGTTAGATAATGCTTGATGACTCTAAAGGTGTACAATTATTTGTTCGAGGCGGTTCTGTTTCCTGATGAAGAATTCGATAATCATGTACTTTTCCTTGAAAATGAATTTCAAGTAGATGTGCTGTTTCCTGAAAATTAAGATTCTAACTTCTCCCTTAGAGAGGATTAGAGGTTGCTGAGGAGGAAGGGCATCCAGTTTGGACTATGTAAAACGTAGTTGAAGGTGATGAATTTCCTGCTTAATTAGTCTGAAAGTTACAATTAGCTAAGTCTGTAGCAGAAGTAGTAGTTTGATCACAGAGAAAATTTGTTTGGGTTAATATGATTTTTGTAATATTTTAATAATAAATTTTATTTTATTATTAATGTCAAAATTTCAATTACTATTTTTCTATTAACATTTTAATTTAAAAAGCAAATATTATTATTTTATATATCATGTTTTAACTAAAAGTTAATAATAGAAATTCTTACTTATGATAGACGAGTTTGAAGATTAATTTGAATAAGAAATCAAATTAGATGAAGAAGAAGAACTAATTCAAAAATTATTATTAGAAAAAAAGAATCAATCTCACATCAGACATTATAAAAAGCTGTAAGTTGTAATAATTAAAAATTAATCATAAAATCAGTAAATGTTTACTCTCTCTCAAATTTTTTAGAAATTCTTAAAATTGTATTATAAATTTAATTAAAAATTTTTATTTTTTTTACCAAAATAGTTGCATCAAGGGTTGTTAGTGATTTATTGGAACTACTCCCCTCCTAACGTAATTTCTTTATGAAAAAATTTAATATTTGATTAAATCTTCTTTATTTTTTATTTTACTAAGTTCGAAACCCTTTTCTAAGCAATTTTAGTAATATGAGAATAATTTAGGGTTTTGGAAATTTTATATTAATCTTTTAGAAATCAATTTTATGAATAATAATTTGATTTGTTATTTAATAAAATAAGGTTTTTGACTTTTATTTTACTTTTAAATGTAAAATTTTATATTAACAAAATATTTGATTAAAAATTAATAAATAAATAAAGACAATCTAAAATAAATAAAAATAATTTTGTATATTTTATTTAATACTTAAAAAATTAGAGATATTTACATTTTTTGTGTTTTCTCATAATTGGGGTTTATTAAGCAGAAAATGTTTATACTTTATAATTAAAGATTACTATTGTTACTATATAATTAATTGAGTAGGATTTACAAAAAATAATTAAAAAAAGATCAAACATTGTTTACTTTGTTTAAGATATAATTATCAATAGTATTAATAATTAATTGTATATTTATTGCAAATATGTTTTTATTTTAATATTTTAATTAATAAATAATTTATTTTAGATTTCTTTTTAATAGTCTTCCCATGAGCTAACATCAAAATGAATTATGTTAAATTTTATAAAATTAAAATTAGATATTAAGACATAAAATATTTACTTTGTTTATTGCTTTAATTAATATAGTAAAAATTTATATATGGTTAAGTAAGCTAAATGAAATATTTGTATAATGAATCTTTCTAAACCTAAATTTCGAATTAAAATATATAAAAGAAAATTTCTTTAATTTATCAATATTTGATGCTTATTTTTCTATTTCTTGCAAAAATATTTGTGGTAAAAAAAGTTAAGTAAATTTTTTTCCAAATTTTTATATATTAACCATTAATTTGCTAAATATGTATTTTTAGTGTAAATCTAAAGCAATAATTACTAATTGTTAGAATTAGATTACAATTTATTACAAGAAGTAAATCAAATAGGAAAAATTTTAATATTAACTATTATAATGAGTTAAAAAAATTATCCTTTTGTTATCTAGAAAATAAAAATAACTAGAATTATTTTTATTTAATAATTAATGGAAATAAATAGATTTGACTATAAAGTGCATGAATATCCTTTTAGCTTACATTTAATACTTTTAAAAACTAATTAATTTTAGAATTGAACTTAATTTTTTGAGCTTTTCTTTTTATCATTTTTATTTTGAAAATTAATAAAATAAATCTAAATTTATTTATTGAAGGATATAAATTACTTATTAATAGATCCTGTTCTATAATTTTACTATTTTTTAATAAGAATTATTTTAGAAAAAAGTTTCTATTTATTTTGTAGTTAATATATATTTTTTAAATAAAACACAATCACAATTAATTGAATGATTTAAGACAGTAATTTTTCTTTTATAACATTCCAATATTAAAGTATAAGATTGAATTTAAAAAGATGCAAAAATATTTTGAATTCAACATATCTATATTATAACTAAGTAACCAAAATGTCAATTAATGGTAGAATTTAAATTTCAAATTAAAAATATCTATTTAAGATGAATAAATATTAATCAAAAAATCTTCAATAATAGAAAAAGCTATCACTAATAGTCATAACAAAATAGCAAAATTATTAACTATTGATCAGATTAGATATATGTAATAAGAAGTAATAATTAATTTCATAATCAATAAAAAATTTATAATTAATTAAATAAATAAATGATTATTTAGTTTTTTTTATAATATTTGATTAACTAAATTGAGTTTAAGTAACAAAACAAAAATAATTTAATAAAAGTTTGTTTTTAAAATGAATATAAATATTTTATTGATATTTATAACTACTTTATTTACCAGTTTTATTTTATGCTAGGATAATAATGAACAACAACAACAACAACTATAAAAATAATTACAATATCATGAATTTAAATAATTCCAGAAATAAAAAAACTCAATAAAAGATATTTAGGTATAAAGAGGAATTGAATTTTATTATTTGGAAGAAAAAAATCAAAAGCTAATATAATTACGAAATTTAGACTTTGGTGATTTTGGGGATTATCAATTATTAGGTTTCTATTTTGAAGATTCAATTTCAGCTTGTAGGTAAATAATTTGATTTATTTTGCTTGGAAGCAAAATTTAATTTTTGAATTCATCTTATTACTTACAGATTACTTTTCTTTTTTAATAAATTAATTAGTCAGTTTGATAATTAGATCTTATCAGATATTCATATTTTCTTAAATAATTACTAAATTCATGAGGTTAGATGTATTAATTAATACATTTTCATAAAAGTTTATCAAACTTTAAATGAAGAGCAAATATTAGTTTATCCACTTATAAAGCAGTTTGAATTAATTGAAAAGCAGTTAAATCTTAGCAAATCGTAAGAGTAAGAATAGATAAAAAAAACTACTCATGCAAAGATAGAGTAAATTTATTTTTATTTTAATCATAACCTTATCTAATTGCTTGTATTTATTAAAATAATAGAGGATACGCTTTGCTTCTAAATAAAATATAACCACATAACCAAGTTTTTTAGAATCAATAAAGACCTGAAATCAAAATAAATTATTCCAATTAAGCCTTAACAATTAATCAAAAATTATTATAAAATAATTAATCCTAATTAAGATTTGTTGGATTTGAGAATCAGTAATCAGGTAAGAGATTATTGGCTAGTAAGTGTACTGAAGGATGTAAAAACTGTATAGGAAAATTTTGTGTTGCAGGTTAGTGTAAATAAGGCTATTATTATAATAATAATATCTTAAATATTTAATGCCTGAATTGTGATTAAAGTTGCTTAGAATGTAATGGAGCTGGAAATAGTAAATGCACCTCTTGTAGAGATAATTTTTAATTATAAAATGGTTAATGTATTTCATGTAAAATAAATAATGGTGAGTTTTATGACTCAAGTAAGAAAAAATGCCAACCATGCTCTCCTAACTGCTTAGCTTGCTCTGATCAAAATACTTGCACACAATGTGCCAATAATTTTCAACTAACTGGCAAAATATGTTCTTAGGCATGCGATAAAATAGATTAGTTTTAGGATAAAACAAGTTAATGTAAGTAATGTCATCCCTCTTGTTAAACTTGTGTTAACGCTGCTACAATCTGCACATCATGCCATACTAATTTTTATTTAAATACTCTGAGCTAAACATGTTAAAGTTAATGTGATTAGCCTGGGTTTTTCATTTAGTAAAATAACTGTATTCCTTGTGATTCTTCATGCCTAACTTGCACAGGAACATCTACGAATTGCACTTCATGCTAACCTGATTTATTTTTAAATGTTTTATAATCTACTTGCTCACCCAAATGTCCTGAAAATGGTTTTTATATTTCAGGTTAAAGCTGTATGCCATGTGACCCTTCATGTGCTACTTGTTCAGGACCACTTTAAACTTAGTGTAATTCTTGCTAATCAAATTTTTTTTTATCTGGTGATGATAAAATTTGTAAAGCTTGTCCAAATTCATCAATTGATCCCTCAATCATAGCTTAAAAAATGTAAAATTGCTCTTAAATTACTCAAAAATGTTTGCTTAATTCTTAGACAAATAAATATGAATTAACAGCCATATGTAATTAGTGCTAAAGTCCTCAAGTATTATCTAATAATAATTGTGTTTAAACATGCTCAGAAGTAGCCTAAGACTATTCTTATAACTAATTTCTAGGATAATGCTAGTGTATACCATCTAGCCCATTCTAACACAATTTATAGAATGATAATATATTATGTAGTAGCTTTTAGTTATCTGGGTATTACTGTGATTAAAATAAAATATGTAATCCTTGCTTATAGTCTAAATGTTAAATCTGTTCTAATCAGTAAGTTTGCACTACTTGTGAGTAAAGTTATTACCTGTGGTAGAATAATTGTATAAATGCTTGCGAATCTGACTTAGGTTTAGAAGTTTCATAGTCAAATAAGGAATGCATTTGTAAACCAAACTACATATTTTATGCTTAGAAATAAATTTGTATTTTAGAGTTATAAATTAGCTCAATTAAACTGACTAAAGATTCATAATATAATATTATAACTGTTGTTTTCAATAGAGCTCCTTATCCGGATGAATTAAAAACAATGAGCTTGAAAATTGATCCTAATAAGTTAATTCCAAATACAGACTACACAATAGTCTCTTAATAGTAAAACGATAAAAACTTAATTTTTTAAGTCTCAACAAATTAAAATATCAAAATAAGCTAAATAGTTATCAATTATAATAGTAAATAAGCTATTTATAAAGTTTAAAATACAATTCTTACATCTGAGGAAGCCAATTAGCATCTATAAAGTTAACAAAGTACAATGAATAGCATGAATAGTTTGGGTCAAACTTTAAGTCCATAAGAAGGTACTGCATAGTCTATAGTTAACATCCTTAAAAATTTTTAAATAATATGTTTGTTGTCTAATTTTGTTTAACTTTTAGGTCCTCTAATTGTTTTCAAAGATTATCTACCACAACCTCTATATGTTGGAGCTCTGTTGGGAGCATCTTTCATTTTCACTGAAATTCCAAATTCTGATGAACTAAGTGCAAATCTAATTGATTCTAATAATAATAGCTCAGAACAAAACAGCTAATAATCTTTACTTGAGCATCTAGGATTTAGTGAAAATATTTACTCAAATTTACCTATTCCTCATTTGCTTCTTATAGTTTGTGTTGTAATAAGTTTAATTTGCTTATTTGCAAGATGGATTATGAAAGGTAAGCAATACACTATGACAATAGTAAATTTTTTAGTCAATGCTATGTCATAGTTGCATCAAGGATATATTACATGCAGCCTTTTTAGTATATTTTACTCTTTATAGTACTCTTCATAAAGATTTGTTGCTGTAATCTAATTATTAATGCATATCATATTTTTAATATTGATTTGTGTCATAATATTTAAAAAAGATATTGCATATATCAAAAATAATATACCAAATTTTATGCTTAACTTGAATATTAAATCAAGAGGTTGGAAGAGCTATTTAATTATGAGCTATCTGAAGAAATACATATGTATAACTATCATATATGCATTTTATTATAACCCATTAGCATGTTGCATAGTAATATCAGTAAATTTTGTTTGCTTTGCTATGTATTTGCTATACTTCAGATTCTTTACTTTAAAAATTTGCAATATTTATAAGATATTTTAAGAGCTAGTTATATCATTAACATTTATTTTATTTACTGTTAGCGTTAAAAAATAATAGTAAATGATGCAAAATGATATAATATCAAATGAAGAGTTGATTAGTACAATCGAATTTAGTCTAATAGTCTTGTATATGGTTATTTCATGCTTAATTATAAGCTTTTTTATTTTCATAGCAAGAACTTGTATTTAAATCTTTCTAATAGTTCAAAAAGCAAGGAAATATTTTTAAGAAAAAAGAAATTTTAAAACTCCTAGCCAAGAGCTAGATTATTTATTAAACCAAATATGCACTTAGAAAAAGCAGAATGTAGAGTTATCAGTCATAAAAATACAACTTAGACCTTCCTAAAAAAATAAAAGTTGTAGTAACAACAACACTGTAAAAAATAATTTAAATAATGAAAGTTTCAAAGAAGAAATTATTTGATTTTTAAAAATCATAAAATATAAATAAATTTTTTCATAATAAAGATTTAACTAAAAAATAAATTAATAAATATCTATATTGAAATTACTTTTAAAATAAAAATTCAATTATTTATTCGTATTCACTAATATATATATCTATCTACTTAATTATTTTCTTAAATTAATGAATTTTTAAATAAATATATTTATTTATTGTAATTTTTTTATTGTATTTAATTTACTCACATTTTTTACAAGCCTAGCCATTTTATGGTTAGTTTGATTTAATATTCTTTATTTTTATTTACAAGATTTGAAACCTTTTTCTAAGCATTTATAGTATAGCTATTGTATGAAACTAATGCATGAATTTGTATTAATCTTTTCGAAATCAATTTTATCTAAAATAATTTGATTTGCATAATTTGTTATTTAATACTTAAAAAATTAGAGATATCTAACTCTCTTGAGTTTTTTTATAATTTGGTTTTATTTAGTAGCAAATTTTGATATTTTATAATGAATATATTACTATAATTATTCTAAAATTAAGTAGAATTTAGAAAAAATAATTAATAAATGATTGAAATTTGCTTACTTTGTTTATGAAAAAAATATCAATCATTATTACTAATTAATTTTATGTTTATTGTATTAAATATGTTTTTATTTTAATATTTTAAGTAATTAAGAATTTTCTTTAGATTTCTTATGAGTTAACATCAAAATGGATTATGTTAAATTTCATATAATTAAAATTAGAATTTAAAGTAAAAAGCATTTACTATTTTTTTGTGAACTGATTGCTTTAATAAATATAGTAAGGTTAAGTAAGCTAAATGAATATTTGAATAATGAATCTTTAAATACTCTAATTTAATTTTATTTCGAATTAAATTATATAAAAGAAATTTTCTTTTATTTAATAAATATTAGATTTTCTTTTTTATATTTTCTTGCAAAAACATTTGTGGTAATTAAAAGTTAAGTAAAAATTTTAATATATCAACTTTTAATATAATAAATAATTATTTTTAGTGTAAATCTAAAGCAATAAATACTAATTATTAATATTAGATTACAATTTTTAACAAGAAGCAAACCATTATTTTAATAAAAACTGTTACTATGAGTAAAAAGTTATTTTTAATTCATTTAAAAAAAAATAAGAAGAATTATAAATATTTAATAATTAATGGAAATAAATATTTTTGACATTGAATTACATAAATATACTTTTTACTTACATAAATATACTTTTTACTTACATTTAATAACCTTTAAAAGCTAATAGATTTTGGAATTGTAATTAGTTTTTGAGCATTTTTCAAAATTAAAAAAATATATCTAAATTTATTAATTGAAGGATAAAAGTTACATATTAATATATCCTGTTATCTATAATTTTACTATTTTTTTGATAATAATTATTTTTAAGGTTAGACAAAAGTTTCTATTTAGTGATTTATTATCAAAAATATATTTTTTTAAAAATAAAAAGACAAACATTGTTGAGTAATTTAATAGAGCAATTTTTCTTTTTAGAATATTCTCATATTAAAATATAGGATTGAATTTAAGCACATAAAAAATATTTTGAATTCAAGATATAAAAACTAAGTAACTAACATATGTGTCAATTAATGAAAGAATTTTAAATTTAAATAAAAAAATCAATGATAGATAATTAAATATTAATAAAAGAATCTTCAATTACAGAACAAACTATCACTAATAGTCATAATAAAATAGAAAAGTCGTTAACTATATATCAGATTAGATGTATATAATAATAAGAAGTACGAATTAATTTCATAATCAATAAAAAATAAATTATTAAATAAATAAATGATTATCAAGATTATTTATAATATTTGATAAACTAAATAAAATCAATTTAAGTAACAAAGCAAAAATAATTAAATAAAAGTCTATTACGAAAATGAATATAAATATTGTATTGATGTTGATAACTATTTTATTTATCAGTTTTATTTTATGCTAGGATAATGATGAAAAATAATAATAATAACAATATCTTGAATTTAAATCATTCTAAAAGTAAAAAATTTCAATAAAAGATATTTAGGTATTAAGAGGAATTGAATTTTATTATTTGGAAGAAAAAAATCAAAAGCATATATAATTAAGAAATTTAGACTTTGGTGATTTTGGGGATAATCAATTATTGGGTTTCTATTTTGAAGATTTAATTTCAGCTTGTAGGTAAATAATTTGATTATTTTACTTGAAATCAAAATTTAATTTTTTGAATTAATCTTATTACTTACAAATTACTTTTTCTTTATAATAAATTAATTAGTCAATTTGATAATTAGATCTTATCAGATATTCATATTTTCTTATATAATTACCAAATTCAAGAGGTTAGATGTATTAATTAATACATATTCATAACAGTTTATCAAACTTTAAATGAAGAGCAAAGATTAGTTTATCCACTTTTAAAGAAGTTTGAAATAATAGAAAAGCAGCTAAATCATAGCAAATAGTAAGAATAATTAAAGTAGCTAACTCATGCTAAGATAGAGTAAATTTATTTTTAATTTAATCATAAATTTATCTAATTTGCTTAAATTTATTAAAATAATAGAGGATACGCTTTGCTTCTAAATAAAATATAACCACATAACCAAGTTTTTTAGAATCAATAAAGACCTGAAATCTAAATAAATTATTCCAATTAAGCCTTAACAATTAATCAAAAATTATTATAAAATAATTAATCCTAATTAAGATTAGTTGGATTTGAGAATCAGTAATCAGGTAAGAGATTATTGGCTAGTTAATGTACTGAGGGATGTAAAAACTGTATAGGAAAATGGTGTGTTGCAAATTAGTGTAAAAAAGGCTATTATTATAATAATAATTTCTTCAATGTTTAATGCCTTAATTGTGATTAAAGTTGCTTAGAATGTAATGGATCTGGAAATAGTAAATGCACCTCTTGTAGAGATAATCTTAAATTATAAAATGGTCAATGTATTTCATGTAAAATAAATAATGGTGAGTTTTATGACTCAAGTTTGAAAAAATGCCAACCATGCTCTCCTAATTGCTTAGTTTGTTCTGATCAAAATACTTGCACACAGTGTGCCAGTAATTTTCAATTAACTGACAAAATATGTTCTTAGGCATGCATTCAAAAAAATTAATTTCTGGATAAAACGAATTAATGTTAAGATTGTGATTCCTCTTGTTAAACTTGTGTTAACGCTGCTACAATCTGTACATCATGCCCTAGTAATTTTTATTTAAATACTCAGAGCTAAAAATGTTAAATTTAATGTGATTAGCCTGGGTTTTTCATTTAGCAAAATAACTGTTTTCCTTGTGATTCTTCATGTCTAACTTGCACAGGAACATCTACAAATTGCACTTCATGCTAACCTGATTTATTTTTAAATGTTTCTCAATCTACTTGCTTACCCAGTTGTCCTGAAAATGGTTTTTATGTTTCAGGTTAAAGCTGTATGCCATGTGATCCTACATGTGCTACTTGTTCAGGACCACTTTAAACTTAGTGTAATTCTTGTTAATCAAATTTATTTTAATATGATGATGATAAAATGTGTAAGGCTTGTCCAAATTCATCGATTGATCCCTCAATCATAGCTTAAAAAATGTAAAATTGCTCTTAAATTACTTAAAAATGTTTACTTAGTTCTTAGACAAATAAATATGAATTAACAGCCATATGTAATTAATGCTAAAGTCCTTAAGTATTATCTAATAATAATTGTGTTTAAACATGCTCAGAAGTAGCCTAAGACTATATCTTTAACTAATCTCTTGGATATTGTTAGTGTATACCATCTAGTCCATACTAACACAACTTACCGAATGGTAATATATTATGTAATAGCTTTTAGTTATCTGGATATTACTGTGATCAAAATAAAATATGTAATCCTTGCTAATAGTCTAAATGTTAAATCTGTGCTAATCAGTAAATTTGCACTGCTTGTGAGTAAAGTTATTACATGTGGTAGAATAATTGCATAAATGCTTGCGAATCTGACTTAGGTTTAGAAGTTTCATAGTCAAATAAGGAATGCATTTGTAAACCAAACTACATATTTTATGCTTAGAAATAAATTTGTATTTTATAGTTATAAATTAACTCAATAAAACTGACTAAAGATTTATAATATAATATTATAACTGTTGTTTTCAATAGATCTCCTTATCCGGATGAGTTAAAAACTATAAGCTTGTAAATTGATCCCAATAAGTTAATTCCAAATACAGACTACAGAATAGTCTCTTAATAGTAAAACGATAAAAACTTAATTTTTTAAGTCTCAACAAATTAAAATATCAAAATAAGCTAAATAGTTATCAATTATAATAGTAAATAAGCTATTTATAAAGTTTAAAATACAATTCTTACATCTGAGGAAGCCAATTAGCATCTATAAAGTTAACAAAGTACAATGAATAGCATGAATAGTTTGGGTCAAACTTTAAGTCCATAAGAAGGTACTGCATAGTCTATAGTTAACATCCTTAAAAATTTTTAAATAATATGTTTGTTGTCTAATTTTGTTTAACTTTTAGGTCCTCTAATTGTTTTCAAAGATTATCTACCACAACCTCTATATGTTGGAGCTCTGTTGGGAGCATCTTTCATTTTCACTGAAATTCCAAATTCTGAGGAACTGAGTGCAAATCTAATTAATTCTAATAGTAACAATTAAGAGTAAAGCAGCTAACAATCTTTACTTGAGCATTTAGGTTTTAGTGAAAATATTTACTCTAACTTACCTATTCCTCATTTGCTTCTTATAGTTTGTGTTGTAATAAGTTTACTTTGCTTATTTGCAAGATGGATTATGAAAGGTAAGCAATACACTATGACAATAGTGAATCTTTTAGTTAATGCTATGTCATCATTTCATCAAGGATATATTACATGTAGCCTTTTTAGTATATTTTACTCTTTATAGTACTCTTCATAAAGATTAGTTGCTGTAATCTAGTTATCAATGCACATCATATTTTTAATACTTATTTGTGTGATTGTAATTAAAAAAGATATTGCATATATCAAAAATAATATACCAAATTTTATGCTTAACTTGAACATTAAATCAAGAGGTTGGAAGAGCTATTTAATTATGAGCTATCTGAAGAAATACATTTGTATAACTATCATATATGCAATTTATTATAACCCATTAGCATGTTGCATAGCAATATCAGTTAATTTTGTTTGCTTTGCTATGTATTTGCTATACTTCAGATTCTTCACTTCAAAAATTTGCAATATTTATAAGATATTTTAAGAGCTAGTTATATCATTAACATTTATTTTATTTGCTGTTAGTGTTAAAAAATAATAGTAAATGATGCAAAAAGATATAATCTCAAACGAAGAGATGATTAGCACAATCGATTTTAGTCTAATAGTCTTGTTTATGATCATTTCATGCTTAGCTTTAAGCTTTTTTATTTTCATAGCAAGAACTAGTGTTTAAATCTTTATGATAGTTCTAAAAATAAGGAAATATTTTTAAGAAAAAAAAAAATTTAAAACTCCTAGCTAAGAACTTGATTTTTTATTCACTTAGAAAAAGCAGAATCTAGAGTTACCAGTTATAAAAATACAAATTAGATCCTCATATATAAATAAAACTAGTAGTAACAACAACTCTGTAAAAAATAATTTAAAGAATGATAGTTTAAAAGAAGAAATTATTTGATTTTAAAAAATCTTAAAACAAAAATTAATTTTCTAATGATTATATAATAAAATGAATGAATTAATAAATAAATATCTATATTTAAATAATTATTTTTAAATTAATAAAGTAATTTATTTATATTCATCAACATCTCTAATAAATTCTTTTCTTAAATTAATGAATATTTAAAAAATAAATATATTTATTGTATTTATATTTTATAAAATTTAAATCCCACAAATTTTTAAGAAGCCCAACCATTTAATATAATTTTACTACTTTGTTAAAAGTATAATTTTAGGATTCGAAAAAAGATTATATTTTGTGGTTTATAAACAAAAAAATATTTTTTTTAAATAAAAAGGCAAACATAATTGTATTATTTAAAAAAGTAATTTTCTTTTATGAAAATTCTAATATTAAAATATACAATTGAATTTAAGTAAATAATAAAAAATTTTGAATTCAAAATATCAATATTAATACTAAGTAAACCAAGTGCCAACTAATACCTGAATTTGAAATTTCAAATAAAAAAATATCTATTTATAAGTATTAATCATAGAATCTTCAATTACAGTAGAAACTGTCAGAAATTGTCATAACAAAATAGCAAATTATTGATTATACAATAAATTATGTATATTTAATAAGAATTATGAATTAATTTCATAATCAATAAAAAAATAATAATTAAATAAATAAATATTTTGTTTTCTAGTTTATTTATAATTAATATTTAATTAAATAAATAAAATATAAGTAACAAAAAATAAATAATTCAATAAAAGTTTATTATTAAAATGAACATATATATAATAAATATTGTTTTGATTTTGATAACTATTTTACTTGCCAGTTGCTAGGATATAGCCTAACAACAATAATAATTACAATATCTTGAATTTAAATCTTTCTAAAGCTAAAAAATTTCAATAAAAGATATTTAGGTATTAAGAGAAATTGAATTTTATTATTTGGAAGAAAAAAATCAAAAGCAAATATTATTACGAAATTTAGAGTTTGATGATTTTGGGGATTTTCAATTATTGGGTTTCTATTTTGAAGATTCAATTTCCGCTTGTAGGTAAATAATTTGATTTATTTTGCTTAAAAGCAATATTTAATTTTTTGAATTAATCTAATCACTTATAGTTTAGTTTTTCTTTTTATAAATTAATTAGTCAATTTGATAATTAGATCTTATCAGATATTCCTATTTTCTTAAATAATTAACAAATTCATGAGGTTAGATGTATTAATTAATACATATTCATAACAGTTTATCAAACTATAAATGAAGAGCAAATATTAATTTATCCACTTTTATAGCAGTTTGAATTAATTTAAAAACAGCTAAACCATATCCAATAGTAAGAATAGTTAAAAAAACCTACTCATACTAAGATAGAGTAAATTTATTTTTAGTTTAATCATTACTTTTTCTAATTAGCTTGAATTTATTAAAATAATAGTGGATACGCTTTGCTTCTAAGTAATTAATTACAACCACATAATCAAGTTTTTCAGAATCAATAAAGACCTTAAATCAAAAAATATTCTTCCAAAAAAGATTTAGTAATTAATCAAAATTTATTATAAAAAAATTAATCTTTATTAAGATTCATTGAATTTTAGAAATAGTAATCAGTTAAGAGATTATTGGCTAGTATGTGTACTGACGGATGTAAAAATTGTATTGGAAAATTTTGTATTGCAGGTTAGTGTAAATAAGGTTATTATTATAATAATAATATCCTCAATGTTTAATGCCTGAATTGCGATTAAAGTTGCTTAGAATGTAATGGAGCTGGAAATAGTAAATGCACCTCTTGCAGAGATAATTTTTAATTTTTAAATGGTTAATGTATTTCATGCAAAATAAATAATGGCGAATTTTATGACTCAAGTGACAAAAAATGCCATCCATGCTCTCTTAACTGCTTAACTTGCTCTGATCAAAATACTTGCACATAGTGTGTAAATAATTTTGTTCTAATTGATAAAATATGTTCTTAAACATGCCCTCAAAAAAATTAGTTTTATGATAAAAATAATATATGTTTAAATTGTGATTCCTCTTGTTAAACTTGTATTTACGCTGCTACAATCTGCACATCATGCCCTATTAATTTTTATTTAAATACCAAGAGCTAAAAATGTTAAATTAAATGTGATTAGCCTGGGTTTTTCATTTAATAAAATAATTGTATGCCGTGTGATTCTTCGTGCCTAACTTGCAAAGAAACACCTACAAATTGCACTTCATGCTAACCTTATTAATTTTTAAATGTATTATAATATACTTGCTCACCCAAATGTCCTGAAAATGGTTTTTATATTTCAGGTTAAAGATGTATGCCATGCCATCCTTCATGCGCTACTTGTTCAGGACCATTATAAACTTAGTGCAATTCTTGTTAATCAAATTTATTTAAATATGGTGATGATAAAATTTGCAAGACTTGTCCGAATTCATCTATTGATCACTCAATTACAGTTTAAAAAATGTAAAATTGCTATCAAGTTTCTCAAAAATGTTTACTTAATTTTTAGACATATAAATATGAATTAATAGTTATATGTAGCTAGTGCTAAAATCCTTATGTATTATCTAATAATAATTGTGTTAAAACATGCTCAGAAGTAGCCTAAGACTATAGCTTTAACAATTAACTTGGATATTGTTAGTGTATACCATCTAGTCCATTCTAACACAATTTATAGAATGATAATATATTATGTAGTAGCTTTTAGTTATCTGGATATTATTGTGATTAAAATAAAATATGCAATCCCTGCTAATAGTCTAAATGTTAAATCTGTGTAAATCTGTAAGTTTGTACTACTTGTGAGTAAGGTTATTACTTGTGGTAGAATAATTGTATAAATGCTTGCGAATCTGACTTAGGTTTAGAAGTTTCATAGTCAAATAATCAATGCGTTTGTAAACGAAGCTACATATTTTAAGCTTAGAAATAAATTTGTATTTTATAATTATAAATAAGCTCAATAAAACTCACAAAAGATTCATAATATAATATTATAACTGTTGTTTTCAATAGATCTCCTTATCCTGATGAATTAAAAACAATGAGCTTGCAAATTGACCCCAATAAGTTAATTCCAATTATAGACTACACAATAGTCACATAATACTAAAATGAAAAGAATTTAGTTTTTTATATCTCAACACATTAAAATATCAAAATAAGCTAAATAGTGATCTATTATATCAACATATAAGTTATTTATAAAGTTTAAAATACAGTTCTTACATCTGAGGAAACTAATTATAATCTATAAAGCAGACAAAGTTTAACAAGTTACATGAATAGTTTGGGTCAAACTTTAAGTCCCTAAGAAGGTGCTGCATAGACAATAGTTAACATCCTTAAAAATTTTTAAATAATATGTTTGTTGTTTAATTTCGTATAACTTTTAGGCCCACTAATTGTTTTCAAAGATTATCTACCATAACCTTTATATGTTGGAGCTCTGTTGGGAGCATCTTTCATTTTCACTGAAATTCCAAATTCTGATGAATTAAGTGCAAATCTAATTGGTTCGAATAATAACAATTAAGAATAAAGCAGCTAACAATCTTTGCTTGAGCATCTAGGATTTAATGAAAATATTTACTCTAATTTACCTGTTCCACATTTGCTTCTTATAGCTTGTGTAGTAATAAGTTTACTTTGCTTATGTGCAAGATGGACTATGAAAGGTAAGCAATATACTATGACAATAGTGAATTTTTTAGTCAATGCTATGTCATTGTTACATCAAAGATTTATTACATGCAGCCTTTTTAGTATATTTTACTCTTTAGAGTACTCTTCATAAAGACTAGTTGCTGTAATCTAGTTATTAATGCATATCATATTTTTAATACTTATTTGTGGTATTGTAATTAAAAAAGATATTGAATACATCAAAAATAATATACCCAATTTAATACTTAACTTGAACATCAAATCAAGAGGCTGGAAAAGCTATATAATTATGAATTATCTGAAGAAATACATATGTATAACTATCATATATGCATTTTATCATTACCCTTTAGAATGTTGCATAGTAATATCAGTTAAATTTTTTTGCTTTGCTATGTATTTGCTATATTTTAGATTCTTCACTTTAAAAATTTGCAATATTTATAAGATATTTTAAGAGCTAATTATATCAATAACATTTGTTTTATTTACTCTTAGTGTTAAAAAATAATAGTAAATGATGCAAAAGGATATAATCTCAAATGAAGAGATGATTAGTACAATCGATTTTAGTCTAATAGTCTTGTATATGATCATTTCATGCTTAGCTATAGGCCTTCTTATTTTTATAGCTAAAACTAGTATTTATATCATTATAAAAATTCAAAAAATAAGGAAATATGTTTAAGAAAAAAGAAATTTTAAAACTCCTAGCTAAGAACTTGATTTTTTATTAAACCAAGTGCACACTTAGAATAAGCAGAATCTAGAGTTACCAGTCATAAAAATACAACTTGGATCTTCGTATATAAATAAAATTTGTAAGAGCAGCAACTCTGTAAAAAATAATTTAAAGAATGAAAATTTAAAATAAGAAATTATTTGATTTAATAAGAATTGGAAAATAAATATATTCATTAATATTTCTACTTAATTAATTTTCTTAAATTAATGAATTTTTAAAAATAAATATATTTATTGTATTTATATTTTAGAGTTCTTAAATCCTTCACATTTTTTACTAGCCCATTCATTTTATGAATAAAGAATAGTAAATGAATTAAAAAAAGTAAATAATCAATTTTTATATAAGCATAAAATGGCTGAGCTTCAAAAAATTTGCAGGATTTTAGAATAGTCAATATAACATTTTTAGTGCTTTTAATATCAAAATTTATAAATTTAGATATTGAATGTTTGATATTAAGTTTATTTTAAATTATATAAATTCTAAACTTTTTCTTCATTAAATAAATTGAATAAGATAATAAATAATTTTTTATTAATATTAAGGAAATACAAATTTTAAAAAATAAAAAGTAAGAAAAGGTGTTAAATAAATCCAAAAATAAGATAACATTAATCTGACTAATGGATTTTCAAAAACAAAAAAACAAACAAAACAACTGTAGATGATACAAAAATGAAAAATAATAAATTTAATTTTAATATAATTTATTTTATTTGATTGAAATAAAAATATTTTATTTTAACTTTAGGCACTTTCTTTTAGTAGTGATAGTTAGTTTTGTTTCCAATATTTTATATTTTTTTATAAAATTATAATACAATCAATCCTCATTGATTAAGACCTGCCCCGCCTCCCGTTGAGATCCTAATAATTTTATTTAGAAATAATAAAACTTTTTTTTAAGAGGGATGTCTTTTTTTATGAAAATTGGTCTAATATTTGTGTTTTTATTTTATTAAATTTAATATATAAATTTGATGGTATAACAAATTAATATAAAAAATATTTATCAATCAAGAATTTAAAATGCTTTTATAAAATAGAAATAATTCATATAAAAGTCTTAAAATAAAGCTTCTATTGTAAATTTTATTTAAGATAAATTTTTCTTGAGAAGAAATAAATTTTATAAAAGATTTAGTATTTTTCTTCCTCTTCTTATCACATTTCTAATAGATTTCTTATGATAAAAATAGGTATTTTTGTATTCAAATTATATTTATATTATTTAATATTAAATTTGATTCTAATTTTAATAAAGTAATAATATTTAAATAAAAATATAAATAATAATTAGGATAACTCATGAACAAAATAATTGCTTTAGCTATCATATTAGGCATTACTAATTGCAGCATGCAATTTATGAATGCTTCTTCAGAAAATGGCGTCAAAAATGATTCTTCTAACTCTTTAAAAATAGAATTAAATGAAGATTTTTAATCGATGATGAAAATTGATACTATTGGAGATGTACTAGTACAGTTTGACTTAAATACTGAAATTACTTACTTTACTTCGATTGAATGTGAGGATTGCCTTTATTTTGGAGATTAAAAAGCAACTAGATTCACTTGCTTAAAAGAATTAAGCTGTGTCTAATAAGGCGCATTTGAGTCATTTTCGGATGTTTAAATCAGTTAAGACTATTTTGCTAGTGGGGATATTATTGATGTAAGGATGGTCTTGGGTGATGTGCATTTCTATTTACCTGAAGTTTATTTAGTCAAATCACTTTATACTAAAAATTAAAATCCCTCAAAATATGTTTACCAAAAAATTGGCTTACTTCTAGCTGGTGATAATTCATAAAAATTTGAAAGTCAAATTTTTACTTCTCTCTATAAATAAGGAAAAATAGATAAAATAAGCTACTCACTTTATTATGATGAAAATGTTAAAAATTATTATTTGACCATCCCTGATTATGATTCAAGACTTATACCATCAAGAATATCTCTTTTTAATTTAACTTTAAGTTGGAATGCTGTTTTTGATTATAAGAAAGAGTAATATTTTACTGGATAATTGGATTTTTGTGGCGAACAAATGCTAAAGTAAATTATCCTTAATATTCATTTAGATCCTACTGTGAATGATTAAGTGTTTTAACTAGATGAATCATATTTTGAAGATTTCAATAGATTTATGATTGAACATAGAATGGAACCTGATTTATCTTTATTTACAAAAGAAAAACCTGGAGAATGGTCAACAGACAAGAATTTTTCTATTGATATTAAAATAGATATTGATCAAAATGGAAAACTGCCGAAGCCAAAATAATTTGATGTACAATTTTCTAAGGATGATGTAATTCAAAAAATAGATAATTATTATACTCTTAATATTAATTTCATTAAAGGTCATTAATTCACTCTAGGAAAAAGAATTTTTAGCAGATATTTGTACTACCTATACTAAAATGATAATGGATAGTATAAGGTTGCTTTAGCCCCCTTAAAACAAAAATAATCCTTAAGATAAGAAAAATAATATTATTGAAAAAACCAAATTAAATAATTATACTCTAGCTCCTCAGTAATTAGAAATCACATATTATAAATATAAAGTGCTAAAAGAATTTTATTTTTTAAATGACAAGTTTTTTAAAAATATTTATTTGGTATTTCACTAAAACTTCCTCCTGCTATATATATTTTTTATCTTTATTTTTTGAGCTAAGTTTATGTATCCCTTTTTCTTATTATGATAATTTTAGTTTTATATATTAGGTAACAAAATTTAATTTCTAATCAATTATCAGAAAAATAATATTACTATCATGTCATTTAATTTTGACTAAGCTTTTGATTAAAAGTAAAATTAAGATTGACAAAAAATTTATGTGACGTGATATTTTAGATAGAATAATGTTTCTTTTCTCTTTTTAATAAAACCTTATTTTTAAAATGCTTTATTTTTCTTCTTAGATAAAAAAAATATTTTATTGCATTTCTTTTTAAATATCGAAAAAATTAAAAGAAAAAGAAATATATTTCTATTTTTGATGCAGTGTCTAAGAATAAGATAGATAAATAAGTGTATCAAACCCAAAATTTGAAATAAGCAGGTTTTTTTAAATTATTAAACTAAAAAAAGAAATCTTTTTAGTCCAAATTATTACTTAGTCTCTTACTACTTTCATTTAAATTAATCGTTATAGCTAGTTTTCTGTTAATTTAAAAGGCACTCAGTATCACAATAAAAGCTTATTATTTCCCTCCAAATATAATTTTTTTTATTTTATTTATACTGAGCTTTTCCTAATTATTGTGATCGTTGTATTTTCAAACTTCTATTATTGCATTACGTCATAATGTAAATTTTGGATTATATAGAATATCTAAATTTAACTTAATCTACATCAGCTTAAATAACATTAGTAGCTTTTCAATATAAAAATTTGAATCTTATAAAAAAATTTGTAAAAAAACCTTTAGATAGTTTAAAGGTGGTTTTTGATAATTATTATTATACAAGCTAAGTTAATCAGTTTATTATTATTTAATTTTTTATCCTTTACGCACCTAAAGGGATTTGTTTATTTACAATTTAATTTAAGGTATTACAGCTAATTCATCCTGAGTAACTCACGCAATTATTTATCAATCAAGATATTTTAAAGTTCTAAAAATACTTATGAATCAAAATTTTAAATTTAAAATGTTATAATTATTTTGACATTTAATTTTAATTTTTCTTTTTATATTAGAACATATTTATTTTATTTTTAATATTTTTAAAGTTAATATGATTTCTATTATAAAAATTTACAAAAAATGATATATAAATAAATATAAAAAAAAGAAACTTAAATAATATTTTATATTTAATTTAATTGGTTATATGCCCTTTAATAATATATAATGTTATTTAGTAATCTAAAATTATGATTGTTTTTGCAATATGGATGGACACCTAACAGGAGTTTAAATGACATAATAAGGCTTTCGTTATCAATTTTATTAAAATAGTTCAAATTAATTTAATTAATTATATCTTATTTTTGCCCCACTTCTCCTATTGTTTATTGAATAGATAGATATCATATTTTTAAAATTATTTAGAATATTCATAATTAAATTAGAATCTAATTTTAATAAAGTGATAATCATTAAATAAAAAATATTAGATAATAATTTGGATAGCTATGAAGAAAATAATAGCTTTAGCTCTTTTATTAAGTATAGTTAATTGCAGTATGCAATTTATTAATGCTTCTTCAGGAAAATAAACCTTAACTGATTTTTCTAACTCTTTAAAAATAGAATTAAATGGAGAATTTTAAACCATGATGAAAATTGATTCAATTGGAGATGCACTAGTACAGTTTGATTTAAATACTTAAATCACTTACTTTACTTCAATCGAATGTTAGGATTGCCTTTATTTTGGAGATTAAATAGCCACTAGATTCACTTGCTTAAAAGAATAAAGCTGTGTCTAATCAGGTACATTTTAGGATGAGTAAATCAGCTATGATTATTTTGCTAGTGGGGATATAATTGATGTAAGGATGGTCTTGGAAGGTGTACATTTTTATTTGCGTGGAGTATATTTAGTCAAATCACTTTATACTCTAAATTAAAATCCCTCAAAATATCCCTACCAGAGAATTGGTTTACTTCTAGCTAGTTCATTTGGTGAAATATATGAGAGTTAAATTTTTATTTCTCTCTATAGTTAAGGAAAAATAAATAAAAAAAGCTACTCGCTTTATTATGATCAAACTAATAACAATTATCACTTAACAATCCCTGATTATGATCCAAAACTTATACCTTCAAGACAATCTCTTTTTAATTTAACTTAAGGTTGGAATGGTGTTTTTAAATATGAGAAAAAATATATCTTTAGTGGAAAATTGGATTTTTGTGATGAACAAATGCTTAAATAAATTATTCTTAATATTTATTTAAACCCTGCAGTGAACGATTAAGTGTTTTAAATAGATGAATCATATTTTTAAGATTTCGATAGATTTTTGATTGAAAAAAGAATGGAACCTGATTTATCATTATTTACTATTTAACAACCTGGTGAATGGTCATAAAAAAATAATTTTACTTTTGGAGTTTCGATAAATGTTGATCAAAGCGGAATACTTCCTAAGCCATTATAACTTGATTTACAATTTCCTTAAGACGATGTAATGATAAAAAAAGATGATTACTATACTCTTAATATAAATTTCATTAAAAATTTGTATTCTTTAACTTTAGGGAAAAGAATATTTAGCAGATATTTGTATTACTTATACTAAGATGAACATGGCTAATATAAAGTTGCTTTAGCTCCATTATTATAAAAATAATCCTTAAGAAACTCTAAATAAGAATATTGAAAAAATAAAATAATATATATTCATGTATATCCATTTAATAAACTTTATAAAATTTCATTAATAAAATCTTGCTGTTCTCAATGTTTTTAATTTATATTTTAGTTTAGAGTATTTTTATTACTTATTTTCGCATAAATTTAGTTTTTAAGATTAGGTAAAAAAAGTTAAATTTATAATTACAAATCAGAAAAATAATAACCCTGATCTGTTAAATAGTTTAGATCAATTATTTTTCCAAAAGTAAAACTATTAATTAACAAAATATAAATACTTTTATAAATAGTACTTGATAATGGTTTAATTATTTTTTACTAAATATGTTTCAAACGAAATTGTTAAAATCATTATTAAATTGAAGAGATTTCAATTTGAAACTTTTAAATAATAATTTGAAGAGAAAGATTTAGTTTACTTAACTTAATAATTTGCATTCTATGGTAAAAATAAATCAATAAAACATTCTTCAATATTTAATTTCATCACAGCAAAGAATAAAGATACTTACTTACTAATCTTATTTTAAGGTTGACTAAATAAGCAAACTTATAATTTTTATAAAGAGTAACTAACTAACTAACTAACTAACTAACTAACTAACTAACTAACTAACTAACTAACTAACTAACTAACTAACTAACTAACTAACTATTGATTTATAAATAAATCTATGAAGAATAGATTTATTCAAATTTTTTTAATTTTTGATATCGAATTTTTCTTTCTCATTTAAATATATTTTTTTTATAGTAGAACATGAATGAGTAAATTAGAAATTACCTAAAAATTTTAAGACTTTGATAATGAAATGAATAAAAAAGCTACTTTAGTAAATTTAATGATATATTCATTTTCTTATTTGCTTAGAGAGCTTAAAATTAAGCAGCTAGCTCTTATATTATTCTTATATTTTTACTTAGGAATTATTAATGATTATTTAAATTGTTACTATTAATTCTTATAAACAATTACATTCTATAAGTAATTAACTTCTATAAATATAATTATACAATAATATGATGATTTAAATATTTTTATTTGCTTTATTCCTATGGGGACCTTTTATATTTATTTACTAATAGTGATATCATGGAATAAATTTTTGTTTTTATTGGTTATTTCTTAATTTATTACATATATTAGATTTATTAATTTTAAAGTTTACGCTAAAAAATATTTTCAATTACTAAATATTTGAATTTATTAATTAATAGTATGCCATTTATTTAAAGGAAAGATGAAATAAGCCTTGAGAGTTAAAAAAGTTTTCTATAATCGATTGAGATCAAAAGCAAGTATATTTGATATTAACTAATTATTTATGTTTAAATTAAAAATTAGATAAAATCAAAAAAATTTTGATTAGTTAATAATTGATTGAACTTAAATTTAGTTTTAAAAATAAAATTCTTTATTTTTTTTGATTTTTTTAAAATTACATTTTTCCTTATTTCTAGATTAATAGATTTTAATTATAATATTTACAAGCTTATAAATAAGATGTTCTTATAAAATATTTCATATTATTATTTTTTAAATAAATTATATAAAAATAAAGTGAGTTTAAAAATTCAAATAAAAGAAAGAAATGGGTTTGCTTGTTTTACTTTTAAAATCATTAAAAAAAATATTAAATTCAATTTATGATATTAGTATAAAATCATTTTCATTTGAGGTTATATACCATAAAATATTTAGTCTCACACTTTGTAGTTTGCAGAAAAGAGCTGAACTACTAGAGATTAAAAATCAGATATTTGTTTGAGGGGAGCCTCAAAATTCACAACTCAGTTAAAAAAGGGAACTTAAGATAGGTTTATCACTTATTGTTACTTAAAATGGATTTAAATTTATTTTTTATTTTCTTTTACTTTTTTAATTCAATCCATAGAATTTAAACTTACTTATATTGTTTTACATTTATCTGATAAATTTTAATTTTTTAGAAGCAATTAAAAAAACCAGAATCCAAAAATTTGTTCTGTAATCTTAAAATAAAATAGTTACTTTGTTCTGATGTATAACTAATAACTATATTCAAAGATAATACATATTTTTATAAGACATTATAATAAAGTAATTTAGTTGCTTAATCATTTATTAAAATATAATAAATAAATGTATTGAATTTGATACATATTTAAATTAGAATTACTTATTTTATTAAATAATATAAATTTTTTACTATTTAAGTGGATAAATTTATAAATAAATAAATGAAATATAATTTTAATTTCTTAATATCTTTTTAATAATAATTTAATCCTCAATCACATAATTAATATTTGTTTTTGTCTTGAATAAAAATTTCTATTTAGACTGTCTATTTTTAAGGATCATAAGGGAATCAATCCACCAACACATTATAAATAATTACTTAGCTTGATAAAAGTTAGTTATTAATTTCATTTTCTTAAAATATTGATTTTTAAATATTGTTAATTTTTCGCAAAAAAATAATCACGATTTTTAATTTGAGTTTCATGAATATATTTGATCAGAATTTTTTTTAAGTTTATATGTTACACTCTAAATCATTCAATTTTTAAATAAGATACTGTCGTTTCTCTTCAATTAAGATTACATTTAAATTAAACAAATTAATAGTTTTTTAAAGACTTTTTAATATAAATTTACGAAATATTCATTCTAAAGCTTTTCTAGTGTTTATATGTGAAAATTTATGATAAATAAAATTAATTTTATTTATATATTTAAAAAAACTTTATTTTTTCTATAGATCATTTTCTAATATTGAATTATTATTAAAAAAATAATCAAAAATGTTATTTAGAAACATAATTAATTAATTAATAAATTCAAGGTTTATTTTTAATAAAAATACATTTTTCTCATAGTTGATTAAGATTAATTTTAGCTTACAATAAAAAAATAGAAACCTGATTACCTAAGTTACTCAATTTATGTGTGCATTTTGTTTATATTAAGAGAGTAAATATTTAAATATAATCAATATAATTATTAGTTATTTCAAATAACAACAAAACGTTCTTTATTTTTATTGATATGAGTAAGCTCCAATGCCCATCCTTATATAATTTCCCTTTAATTTGTATTCTCATAGAATAATTTAATGATTCTTAATTTTATTTAGAAATATAATCAAGTTTTTTGTATTTTAAAGAATCTATTCGAAATTTATTTGGTTCATTAATTAAATACTATATTGTGAAATTAATAATTTATTTTTCCAAAAATATTAGAAAAACTAAACAAAAAAAATAAATAAATATAATAATTTGAATTACTCAAAACAAGTAAGAAGGCAAACATGAAAACACTCTCATGGAGTTTTCTAAACAAAATAATATTATTTATCTAATCCTACATAGTTTTCACATAAGAGTTTGGAAAGCAAATATTATTTCAATAATTTTTAAATGAAAACTTTGAATTCACTTAGCAATATTTAGATTTGTAAATCAGTTTTAAATATTCTGAGGGTTTTTTTGATTATTAAATAGAAATTCTCAAACAAATAGAACAATATAAATAAAACAACTAGGATATTAATTTATTTTTCTTTGATTTGAATAGGATTTGCAGGTATATTATTTATTTATTAATTATCCTTTTTTATTTCATAAAATTTTATTTAAATAATATTAGTCAAATAAAGCAAAAAAAAAATTTTTAATTTTACATTTTATTTTTTTATTTAAAAAAAATTTCATTAAATACAAAATATTTTTCAATGAAAAGAAGATAAATAAATAAATAAATACTAAAATAAATCTAAAGATAGATAGAAAGAAAAAGATGAATTTTTATTTCATAACAAAAAAAAGTGATTCATTTAAAAAAAATAAATTATTTTATTTTTGCATAATATAATTAACCGATTTTTAAATCAAATGTTCGAATAAATAATAATTTAGCTCTTCCTATTTAATTTTTATTTAATTTATTTTTTATTAGTAATTAAAATATAGATTTAAATAATATCAGCGACATCTTAACAAATTAGTACTAATAAATGTATTGCTTTCAGGAGTTTATAGTTGTTTAATTTAGCATATTTCAAGGAAGCCATCGCTTTTTTATTGCATCCAATCTGATATAAGAACTTAGGTCGAATTTAATAGACTTCAATAAGAATAATTTAATTGCTAACTAAGAATCAAAAAATATGTAAATTAAGATTCAAGCATTGAACATTTTTTATATTTATTTTTTAAATAATTAAAAGTATTAAATCTGAGTTAGTTTACTTTTTTTACTCTTTATACTCAAAAAAATAAGAATTTAAAAAAGAATTTAGAAAATTAGAATGTAAAAATACTGATAAATGTATTTTATATCTATAAAGTCAAAAACAAAATATTAGAATGCTCCCTTCTACTGGTGATCCTTCTACTGATGGAGAATCAAGTGGTTCTGGTACAGGTTCTGGAGGCGCTAGTCAATCTGGTACTACTTGTCCACCTTGTACAGGATCAGCTTGTAATAATAATTGTGCTTTATGCTCAACAGCTAATTAAAATATTTGTATTACTTGTAAAAATAATTTTGCTTTAGTTTCTAGTAATAACTGCTCAACATGCGGCTCAAGTTAATATTTTAAAACTACTACTTAACCTTGTGGGTAATGTCCTCAAAATTGTTCAATTTGTAGTAGCTCTTCTAGTTGTAGCGTATGCAATACTAACTATGAATTGAACTCCTCAAATAATTGTCAAATTTGCAAAATTAATAATGGGTAATTCTATGATTCCTAAAAATTTTAATGTGGAAATTGTCCTAGTAATTGCTTAACGTGCAATAGTTCTAATGATTGTTCTGTATGTTAAAGTGACTATTAAGTAAACTCTTAAAAAAATGGTTGTTAAGCTTGCTTGATAAACTAAGGATAATATTATGATTCTAGTTAGAAAATATGTGGTTAATGTCCTTCTTCGTGTTTGATTTGTATGAGTTCTTAAGATTGCAGTGTATGCTAATAAAATTATTAATTAAACTCCTTAAATAATGGTTGTGAAGCTTGCTTAATAAATTAAGGCTAATACTATGATTCTAATACAAAAACATGCATTAATTGCTTGTAAAATTGTTTGAAATGCACAAATTAATCAAGTTGCATAGTATGTGCTCCTGGATACTATCTTGACTCTAATTAATGTACTAAATGCTCTGGCTCATGTCTTACCTGTAATGGATCTTCTCAAAATAATTGCCTTTCTTGCAGCAGTGAATATTTTTTTTACACAAATAATTCAACATGTCAAAAAACTTGTGATATCATGGGAGGCTTTTTCATAGATTAAGGTAAATGCTCTCCTTGCGATCAATCATGTAAAACTTGTAACGGACCAAATAACTCTCAATGCATTACTTGTGCCACTGGACTTTACAAATATGTAGGAGATAATCTTTGTAAAGCTTGTCCAGCCACATTAGTTTAAACTACAGTTATCAATTGTAATAATTCTTCCTAGCAATGTTTATATAATAACCAAACTAAAAGTTATGAGCTAATTACCATTTGTCTTGCTTGTAATTAAGGATATTCTTTAATTAATAACATTTGTGTAGATAGTTGTTCCCTAATCAGTCAGAATTACTATTTAAATGTAAACACAAATTAGTGCGAATGCTCATTTAGTTTTCCATATAAGCATATTAAACAAAATAATTCAATATTTTGTAGTAGCTTCTAGTAGTTAGGATACTTTTGTGATAATAATAAAATCTGTCATGAGTGCAGTTAGTTAAATTGCTAAACATGCTAAGATTAAAACACCTGCACATTATGTAGCAGTGGATATTATCTTTGGTTGAATGAATGTCTTTAATCTTGTCCATCTTCTAGAAACTTATAAATCTCAAACTCTAAAGCACAATGTGAATGCATCTAAGATTATATCTTAATTAATCCTGACAATATCTGTGTTACAAAATTGATTATTACTTAAATTAATCTCTCTAAAAATTCAGATTTTAACATCATAACTGTTACTTTTAACAGAGTTCCATACCCAAATGAATTAAAAGGACTTAGTATATAATTGGATCCTGGTAAATTGACTTTAAATACAGATTATCAAATAGTATCTCAGCAGTAAGTAAGTAACACTATCACTTTTAATATATCTGTTGAATAAAATAGAAGAGTTAATGAAATAGTAGTTTATTTTGGCAATTAGAAAGAAATATTCAAGATATAGAATGCTATACTCACAACAAATAATTACAACAATTCTTAGCAAAATATGCAGGCAAAAATTGATAGTGCTACAAATGTTAGCAAAGTTCTTGTTTCTGGCAAAGGAAATGGCTATATAGTTATCCTTATCCTAAAATAATTCCAAATTTTATGCTTTTTTTCAAATTTTATTTAATTTTTTGGACCTTTGATTTTATTTAAGCAATTTCTGCCTAAAATGGTATATGTAGGTACAATATTAGCATCTTCATTTATATTCAATTCTATCCCAGATGCTAATTAGCTGAGTGCTAATATTTAGAACGATACTTCTAGTCAAACATAAGTTTCATCTGAACAAAATCTATTGCAAGATTTAGGATTATAAGAAAACTTATACTCTTCCCTTCCTTTACCAAATATATCTTTAATTATTACTATAATTATTGTTGTCCTTTGCTGCTTTGCAAGATGGATTATGAAAGGAAAATAGTATACCATGGAAATAGTTAACTTTTTAATGAATATAGCCTCATCTACTCAACAAGGCTTTATTACACCGTCTTTATTTAGTATTTATTATTGCTTAGCTTACACTTAAGAGAAATATTATGCAGTTATTTAATCGATCATTCATGCTGTTTTTTTTATTTTAATTTACTGTATTTCTTTTAAGAAAGATATCAACTACATTGAAAGCTTTTTACCAAACTTCGCTTTAAACATTAATACAAAAGCAAAAGGATGGAATACTTATCTTTTAGCTAGCTATTTAAAAAAATATATCTCAATAATACTAATTTTAACTATTCCTACTCATCCTTATATTTGCTGCATTATACTTTCTATTAATTTTGGGCTCTTTGGACTATATATCTTATATTTCAGATTTTTCAATAGTATGTTTATTAATATATTTAAAATAGCTTAAGAGTTTTTAATATTTATTACGATGATTTTATTTACAATTTGCATTAAGAAATAATAAGATTTACTAAACTAAGATATTATATCAGATGAGGAATTAAAGAGTGTAGATTAATTTAGCTTATCTGTTATAATAATGCTAGCTACTTGCTTAGTAATGAGCTTCATTTTATTCTTATCTAGACTGGCAATATAGCTTATTCAAATCTTTTAAAAATTAAAAAATTATTTTACAAAAAAAAATTAAAAAGATTTAATAACAGATTCATTAAATTAAATTTTGGATGAAGTTAACTCATCTAAATAATAATCAGTAGTAGTAATAAAATTTCAAAAATAATATGAAGGTAAAAGAAGTAAACAAATATCTTAAAAATTGGATTTTGAATCATGAAAATTGAAAGAAACATGAGTTAACAATCTCTTTTCGCAAATATTAGCCTAATAAAAGAAACAAAAAATTATCTTAAAAATTTATTTTGTATATTGTGTTTTTCTAAAAAAGCTTAAAGAATTTTAATTTTAAATTTTTTAAACACAGTTTGTTTTTTATAAATATGTTGAAGCTGCAGTATTTTTAATTATATTTCATTTATGTATGTAGAATTAAATACTGTAAATCCTCATTAATTAAGGATGGATATATTAATGGCAGAAATTTTGTAAAATAGAAAAATAATAATTTCAAAAATATTTTACCGAATATCAAATAAAAATTTTATTCAGTCTATCCCTAATATATAATAAAAATGATTATCTTTGTTTCACTATTTCCCTAATGTTCTTCTTCAATTAAATTATGGGATAAATATTTAAAAAGTGAAATTATTTTAATTACTTTAATAGGAGTATTGTTTTGGGAAGGCATAGAATTTTTTGGCTTGAAGTGGAGTTATCAATTTATTAGAAATCAAAATATCTTTATAATTGATTGAATTTATCAAAAAAAATATGTTTACAATTAATATTTCATGAAAAATAAATTAATACAATTACTACTTAATCTAATCTTTAATTTCAATAAAATTATTAAATTTTTTAATCTAAATGCATTAATTAAATTAGTCGCTTTAATATTTTCTGTTTATTTTTAAGGAATTGCTACTAATATTCTTTATTTAAATACCAAAAGGAAAGATTTATAGATAAAAATATATAAATAGATTAAAAATTGAGTATAAAAATAAATAAAAATTATATAAAAAACTAAAAAAAGTAAATAGAAGTTGTAATCTACTTTGAAAAGTGAAGTAGAAAGTATTCAAATAAACATATTGCTAATTTTAAATTTAGATTTTTATCAGTAAAATAAAATTTGATTTAATTATTATTTTTGACTAAAAATAGATAAAATATTATATTCTTTAATATAGTTTTTAAGTTAATAAATCTTTTTGAATTAATTTCAAAAGAAAGAATATTTAAATTAAGAAATATGAAGAAACGTTGGTCATTTTAATCTAAAAAAAAATAATAATATTAAAAATTGCTGTCCAAAAAGAGAAAAAAAATTATTAAAATATTTTATTACAATTACTAAATCTGATTGTTAACAAATTACATTTGTTACATACATTTATTGGTTTCAATTTGATTAATTTACATATTTAATTACAATTCTTAATTATTTAATAAAAATTAATACTTTGAATAAGTCAATTAAACAGTAAATAATTTTTTTAGAAAAAATGAAGTTAAATATTACTAAAAAAATCTATTATATGTATTTCATTATTAGTTTTTAAAAATCTTCAAAAATAATTATATCCAAAGCTATTAATTATCTTTTTAATTCGGGGGTTTGATTTAGATAGTAATATTATACAAAACTTTTCTTTCTAAATAATTAAAGCTAATTTTTAGAAAAATTTTCTTAAAAACAATAATCGATTTCCCATAAAATAAAAAAGTATCAAATAAATATAATGTAATAAAAATACCAAATAATATAAATTAATTTGATTAATTTCTGATGTTAAGTTTAAAAATCCAAAATAAAATAAATTACCATTATACTAATTATCGCTTAACTTTTAATAATTTCAGCATTTAATTGGTTGGCAATAAGCTCACTCGAATAAATGAAAAATATCTCTCATTTTTTCATAATAAATTTATAAAAAAGAAAATCAAAATGTTTTGATAATACTTAATATTAATACTTTTTAAAAATCAACTAAAAAAATGATAAAGATTACAATTTTATTAATAATTTTGATTGAAAATTCTTAAAACCTCTATTTACAGAACTTAGTTTCTATAAAATAACAATAAAATCACATCCTAAACATATTTTTTAGTGATTAATCTTAACAAACTATACAAGAATTTACATTAAGTTATAAAGAAAAACTAATTTACGAATATTTAGATTAAATGAATTAGGTATCAATTATGATAAAGTATTTAGTATTTGATTAAAAGTAGTTCAAGCAAAAAGGAATCTTAAAATTTGAAAATCTTTCTATTTTATTAAGGTAAATAGAAATAAAATTTATTTGATAAAATTAAATAAGTATTTCATTAATTTTTTATATTTCTTATTAGTACCACAGACATAAAGGATAATCAAAGTTTTGTAGGATTTAAATTTATTATTAATAATTCTTTAATTCCAGAAGATTTCTACATTGAGAAATAGAATATATTAGATCTTATGCAGAAATCTACTTAAGATTTATCAACTTCGCATGAACTATTTTTAAACAAAGATGAAAAACTACTTTTAGATACAGATTAACTGATTAGTTGCATTAAAGATAAGTAAATTTTATTGCAAATTAATTAAATTTTACTTATCTTTTATATTTTTTAAAAAGAACAAAATGTTAATTTTTCTATCCATTAAGGGATTTCCAAAATAAATCTCTAATCAAAAAGTTGATTTATTTTGGAGATGATTTTACTTTGAATAAATCATAAGATAAAATGCCTAAATAAATGAATAGTATTGTTCATCACTATTTTGGCACGTAAAAAGAAATTAAAAGCTAAAAAATAAGAATATTACTTGATTGCACTCTTGAAGGTTGTAATAATTGTGTAGTAGCTTTAGCCCAAAATGTTTGTAAAGAAGAATGCATACCAGGATATTATTCTATTAAATTTATTTTATTATACAAATGTAAAAAATGCGATTAAAGTTGTTTAGAATGTGATGGAGAAGGACCTAATAAGTGTACATCTTGTAATTAAGATTCATAACTTTATTAAAATTAATGTTGTTAAATAAAAAACGGAGAATTTTATAATTCAAAAACTAATCAATGTGAGAAATGTCCATAAAATTGTTAAATTTGTTATGAACCTAATATTTGCAATTAATGCAAGGCTAACTTTGAATTTGATTAATTAAAATAATGTGTATGTCCTTAGAGTCAATAATACTTTGATGATTAAACCAAATCTTGCTTAGATTGTGATAAATCATGCAAAACTTGCAAATAAACTTCTAAGAGTTGTACTTCATGTTAAGATTTTCAATTTTTAAACACTTAGAGTCTAACATGTTAAAACTCTTGCGATCAAGCTGGATTTTATGCTTTAGAAAAAAATTGTTTACCTTGTGATTCAGCATGCTTAACTTGCTCTATATCTTCTAAAAATTGCACTTCTTGTAAATTTGGCTAATTTTTAAATATTTAGTCTTAAACTTGTATAGATGTGTGCCCTACAAACGGCTTCTATATTGAGAAATAAAAATGCATAACTTGTGATTCTTCATGTAGTACATGCTCAGAATCTTCTAAATGTACAACTTGCGCATAAAATTTATATCGATATGGAGGAGATAATCTTTGCAAACCTTGCCATGAAACTTCTCTTAATCCTGCTATTATTAGTTAGTAAATGTAAAATTGTGCAAAAACTATTCAAAAGTGTTTGTTAAATCTTGAAACAAAAATGTATGAGTTAACTTCAATATGTTAGAAATGTAAAGGTAATTTTGTATTAGCAAATAATAAATGTATTAATCATTGTTCTGACATAGCATAAAATTATGAATATAATAATATTTTATAATAATGCTAATGTTCTTCTTCAAACCCCTACTAGCATAATTAATCTAATAATAATATATTTTGTTATAAATTTTAATTACCTGGCTATTACTGTGACTCAAATAAAATATGCGATCCATGCTTATAACCTCACTGTGAAGTTTGCAATAATCAGTAAATATGCACAATTTGTTTAAATGGCCATTATCTATGGTAGAATGATTGTCTTCAAACTTGTGAATCTAGTAAAGGCTTAGAGCCTTCTTAGTCTAAAAAAGAATGTATTTGCATTTAAGACTATATTTTTTATGCTCCTAGAAAAATTTGTATTTTATAGCTCTAAATAAGCCAAATCTAACTTACAAAGGATATTCAATATAATATTATAACTGTTATTTTTAATAGAGCTCCCTATACAGATGAATTAAAAACAATAAGGTTGATAATTGACCCTCCTAAGCTAATCCAAAGTAAAGATTATACTATCATTTCATAGTAATAAAATGATAATAATATAATATTCTAAGTCTCAGTTTAGCAAAATATTAAAATCAGTTAAATAGTTATTAATTATAATAATAAACAATCCATCTACTAAGTTTAAAATACAATACTAACATCTGATTATGTTAACAATAATTTACAAAATAAACAAAGTGCTATAAATAATGTAAAAAGCTTAGGATAAAGCTTATCTACATAAGAAGGACTTCTTTAATCTATAATTAATATTCTTAAAAACTTTTAAATTTTGTGTTTGCTTTCTAACTTCGTTCAATTATTAGGTCCTCTAATTGTTTTTAAAGAATAATTACCTTAGCCTATATATACTGGAGCCCTTTTAGGAGCATCTTTTATATTTACTGAAATTCCAAGTCCAGATGAACTGAGCACTAATTCAAATACAACCTCAAATGAAGATATTGATAACCATAAGAAGCTTTTATAATAGCTAGGTTTTAAAGATAATATTTATCAAAATTTAGCCCTACCACATTTATTGTTAATTATATCAGTAATTATATCTTTATTATGTCTATTTGCAAGATAGGTTATAGAAGGTAAACAATATACTATAACAGTAGTGAACTTCTTGGTTAATATTATGTCATAATTGCACCAAGGATATATTACTTGTACCTTACTTAGTATATATTACTCTTTAGAATACTCATCTCAAAAATAGTATGCAATAATGCAATTAGTAACTCATGTTATATTTATTATTCTAATAGTAGCAATTATTTTAAAAAAGGATAATTAATATATATAAAACAACACACCGAATTTTGCTTTAAACTTAAATGTAAAAGCAAGAGGATGGAGAAGCTATTTGATAATGAGTTATTTGAAGAAATACATTTGTATAACCTTAATTTATGTATTATACTCAAATCCAAAAGTATGTGGTGCAATCATAGCAGCTAGTTTCATATGCTTTGCTGCATATTTATTATATTACAGATTCTTCATTAATAATTTTTTTATAATTTATAAAATATTTTAAGAGCTTTTGGTTTCCATAGCCTTTATATTATTTATTATCAGTGTGAAAAAGCAGTAAGATATAATAGAACAAGATGTAATTAGTGATGAATAAATGATAAATGTTATTTAATTTAGTTTAATAACTTTGGTATTTCTAATCATTTGTTTAATAGCAAGCTTAATTTTATTTCTGGTAAGAAGTGGAATCTAAATACTTTCATTTGTATAATTTACAAGGAATTACTTTAGAAATAAAAATAAAATAGATGATCAAGGTTTAAATATGATAATAGATCATCTTAACAGTTCGAAAAATTTTCAATTTGAATTATCTAATACTCCTTAATTAAATAATTATTCCTTTAATAAACAAAAGAAAAAATTAAAATCATAACATTCTATTTAAAATGTTTGATTGTATATTTTACTTATTATTGTTTTTCCTGCTAGAGTAAACATATTAATCATTAAATTAATTTTAAAAATATTATTAAATTGAATTTTTTAACTAAAATTTAAAAATAAATATTTCTTTGAAATTTTGATTGTGCTTAAATTTAAGAATAATTTTGATGCTTTATAAATTTGATTCTTACCTAGATACATTTTTACTTTTCCTATTCTAATTTAATAGAATTACATTTAAGGTGAAAAATACAGGAGAAAAAAAGTTTGTGAAAAACATAATTATTTATTTATTGTATTTTGGTTATTTTTTTTTTGTAACTATCTAAAATTTCTACTTTTTTTATAAATGCCTGATTCTGTATTTAACAAAATTTATTAATTTTGATGATTTACATACATAATGAGCGAAATAGCTAAATATCAATAAAAATTATAAAATAAACTAAAGAAAATAATATTAGTTGTAATCTACTTTGATAAGTGAAGTAAAAAATATATAAATAAACAGATTCCTAATTTTAAATTTATCAGTAAAAATAAAATTTGATCATTATTTTTGATTAAAAATAGAAATAGAACAAAAAATAAAATTTTAATCTTTAATGTTTTTAAGTTAGTAAATCTTCTTTTATATTAATTTCAAAAGAAAGAATATTTAATGTAACAAATATGAAGTTAAAATGTTAATTTTAATTTAAATAAAATAATAATATTAATAATTATTGTACAAACAGAAAAAAGGAGTATTAAGATATTTTGTTTCAATTACTAAATCTGTTTATTAGTAAATTATATTTGTTACATACATTTTTTGGTTTTAATTTGATTAATTTACGTATTTTAATTACAATTCTTAATTACTACTTTGAATAAGTAAATTAAACAACAATAACCAAAAAAAGTAATAATTTGTATTTCATTATTATATAATTTTTTTAAAATCTTCAAAAATAATTCCAGTCAAAACTATTAATTTATTATCTTTATAATATGAGGGTTTGTAGATGACGCTACTATACTAAATTTTTTCTATCTCAATATATTATATTAATTTTTATAAAAAATATTAATTCTTTTTAAATTTATTTCTATCAATTTTAAATTCTTTTGAATGTGGAAACATAAAATTTAATTCCTTGATAAATTTAGTATAAAGTATATTAATTAATTAAATAAATAATTTTATTTTCATTTTTATCATATTATATTTTTTATAATTTTTTAATTTTTTATATTATAGACTTAATGACCGTATTCCCTCTTTATTGATTTCGTACGAATGACGAGGGAGGGTTCATATTTATTTGTTCTTAAAGACACCCTCACCACCCTCTCGTATACAAAAAACTTACTTACGAATTACGAGAAAACGAGGGATTACGCATTTTAAATGAAATTAATTATTAATTATTTATGCAAACTTCTATTTTCCATCCGAATTCTTATACGCATTATATTGAGACTACATACAATTTTTTTAATTTGGCTTTTTTGGTATTGATTGGAGTTATCATTTTATTAGAAATAATAAAAAAAAAGTTATTAATTATTTTTTAATTACTATGTAAATATATGAATATTTATTGAATGTTTTTAATAAATTTATAAGAACGTAACTATTAAATAAAAATCAGCAAATATTTATGAGGATGAAAATATTTTGAAAATTATAAAAAGTTGTTTGTTAAATCATTTCAACGTAATCATGAAACTGTTGAGTTGGGAGTTGGGGTTCGACTTTTTTTATTGATTTTATATTATTTTTTAAATAGAAAATAGTAGTTTTCATTTAAAAAGTGTTTAATTTACTTAACTTTGTAATTACTTGAATTTATCAAAAAAATTATGTTTACAGTTAAATTTTTTATGAAAAATAAATTAATACAATGACTACTAAATTAATCTATAATTTCAATAATATTATTAAATTTTTTAGTAAATTTTTATATCATTAATCTAAATGTATTAATTACATTAGTCACATTAATATTTTCTATTTATTTTTTAGGTATTACTACTAATATTTTATTAAATACCAAAAAGGAAAACTACAAAATAAATTCAATCAATATATTTAATATAAAAATAAAATTAGTTACTAAAAAACATATGCTTAAAAGCAATTTTTTTGTTTGATAATAAATTATATATTTAATCAAATGATTAAAATTCTTACATACATCTTTTTTGATTTTGAGTCTTGTTTTTAAGTATTTTAATTACAATATTAACTTAAAAATTGAATAACAAAACATCTATAAATATTAAAAATACTAAAAAGAATAAATAGTGGTTGTAATCTACTTTTATTTATAAGAGAAGTAAAAAATAAACAATTAAACATATTCCTAATTTTTAAATTTAGATTTTAAAAGTAAAAATACAATTTTAATCATTATTTTTGAGCTAGAATAGATAAAGATCAAAAAATAAATAATTTAATCTTTAATATAGCTTTTAAGTTAATAAATCCCCAAAATTTAAAGTAAGAAATATGAAGTTATGATTTTAATTTCATTTTAAATAAAATAATAATATTAATAATTGATGTACAAACTGAGAAAAAAGACTATTAAAATATTTTATTCAATAACTAATTCTGATTATTAATAAATTACATTTGTTACATACATTTATTGGTTTCAATTTGATTGATTTACATATTTTAATTACTATTCTTAATTATTTAATAAAAATTGATACTTTAAATAAGTAAATTAAACAGTAAAGAATTTTTTTAGAAAAAAAAGTTAAATATATATATATATGTATATATATAGTACCCTAAGGTACAGCCTTTTTTAAGGCTACATACACGAATAATAAAAAAGGTGAATTTTTTTACAAAAATTATTTAAAATACTCATCTTAATCAACAGTTTGGACGATATATAAATATTGAAATATACTTTCAATAGATATTATTTTTAGGATGTAATTTACTATAACCGAATTAACCTATCAAAAAAAATCAAAAATATATATTGTAATATAAAATAGCAAATAATATAAATTAATTTGATGAATTTCTGATGTAAAGCTTAAAAATACAAAATAAATAGAACCACCATGAAAATAATAATAGCTTAACTTTTACTAATATTAGTATTTAATTGATTAACAAAAAGATCAATCAAATAAATGAAAAATACCTTGCACTACTTCATAATAAATTTATAAAAAAAAATAAAAAATTTTTGATAATATATTAATAATAAAAACAATAATATTTTTAAAAATCTAGTAATAGAAATGATAAAGATTACAATTTTATTAATAATTTTAATTGAATATACTTTACAATTCTATTTAAAGAACCTAGTTTCTATAAAGGAATAATCAAATCAAATTCTAAACATATTTATAGGTGATTAATCTTAACAAACTATAAATGAACTTACATTAAATTATAAAGAAAAACAAATTTACCAATATTTAGATTAAATGAAATAGTTATAAATTGTGATAAACTATTTAGTATTTGATTAAAAGTAATTTAAGCACAAAAGAACCTTAAAATTTGATAATTTTTCAATTGTATTAAGGTAAAAAGAAATAAAATTTATTGATAAAATTAAATAAATATTTCATTTAATTATTTATATTTCATTTTAGTACTATAGGCATAAAGGATAATCAAAGCTTTATAGGAATTAAATTTATTATTAATAATTCATTAATTCCAGAAGATTTCTATATCGAGTAACAGAATATATTAGATCTTATACAGAAATCTACTTAAGATTTATCAAGTACTCATGAGCTATCTTAAAACAAAGATGAAAAATTACTTCTAAATATTGAGTAAATGATTCATTGCATTAAAAATAAGTAAATTGTTTGCAAATTAATTAAATTTTATTAATCTTTTTTATTTTATAAAAAGAACAAAATGTTAATTTTTGGATCCATTAAAGAGTCTCCAAAATAAATCTTTAATAAATAAATTGGTTTATTTTGGAGAAGATTATACTTTGAATAACTCATAATATAAAATACCTAAATTAATGAATAGTTTCATTCATAACTTTTTTGGCATATAAAAAGATATTAAAAGCTAAAAAATAAGAATATTATTTGGATGCACTCTTGAAGGTTGTAATAAATGTAAAAAAGTTTTTACCCAAAGTTTTTGTGATGAAGAGTGCATTCTAGGATATTATACTGATTCGTAATTTTTAGGAAATTAATGCAAAAAATGTGATTAAAGTTGTTTAGGATGTTATTAAGAAGGACCTAATAGGTGTACATCTTGTAATTAAGATTCATAGCTTTATTAGAATAAATGTTGTAGAATACGTAATGGTGAATTTTACAATTAATAAACGAAGAAATGTGAATAGTGTCCATAAAATTGTTAAATTTGCAATGAATCTAATAATTGCAAGTAATGCATGGCTAATTATGAATTAAATTCATAAAAATAATGTCTATGTCTCTATAGTCAATACTTTGATGATTAAATAAAATCTTGCTTAGATTGTGATAAATCATGCAAAACTTGCAAATAAACTTCTAAAATCTGTACTTCGTGCAAAGAATTTCAATTTTTAAACACTTTGAGTTAAACATGTTAAAGCTCTTGCAATTAAGATGGATTTTATGCTTTAGAAAATAATTGCTTACCTTGTAATTCAGAATGCTTAACTTGTTCTCTATCTTCTAAAAATTGCACTTCTTGTAAATTTGGCTAATAGTTAGATATTTAGTCTTAAACTTGTATAGATGAGTGTCCAACAAACGGCTTTTATATTGAGAAAAAAAAATGCATGCCTTGTGATTCCTCATGTAGTACATGTTCAGAATCTTCTAAATGTACTACTTGCGCTAAGAATTTATATCAATATGGAGGAGATAATCTTTGCAAACCTTGCCATAAAACTTCCCTTAATCCTGCTATTATTTCATAGTAAATGTAAAATTGCGCATAAATTATTCAAAAGTGTTTGTTAAATCCTGAAACATAAACGTATGAGTTAACTTCAATATGTGAGAAATGTAAAGGTAATTTTGTATTAGCAAATAATAAATGTATTAATTAATGTTCTGACATAGCATAAAATTATGAATATAATAATATTTTATAACAATGTTAATGTTCATCTTCAAGCCCCTTCTAGCATAATTAACCTAATAATACTATATTTTGCTACAAATTTTAATTACCTGGCTATTACTGTGACTCAAATAAAAGATGCAATCTATGCTTATAACCTAACTGTTAAGTCTGCACTAATGAGTAAATATGCGCAATTTGTTAAAATGGCCATTATCTATGGTAGAACGATTGTCTTCAAACTTGTGAATCTAGTAAAGGCTTATAGTCTTCTCAGTCTAACAAAGAATGTGTTTGCATTTAAGACTATATTTTTTATGCTCCTAAAAAAATTTGTATTTTATAGCTCTAAATAAGATAAATCTTACTTACTAAAGATACTTAATATAATATTATAACTGTTATTTTTAATGGAGCTTCATATAATGATGAATTAAAAACAATAAGGTTGGAAATCGACCCTCCTAAGCTAATCCAAAATAAAGATTACACAATCGTTTCATAGCAATAAAGTGATAATAATTTAATATTCTAAGTCTCAGTATAACAAAATATTAAAATCAGTTAAATAGTTATTAATTATAATAATAAGTAATCCATCTACTAAGTTTAAAATACAATACTAACATCTGATTATGTTAATAATAATTTATAAAATAAACAAGGGGTTATAGATAATGTTAAAAGCATAGGAAAAAGCTTATCTACATAATAAGGACGTCTTTAATCTATAATGAATTTTCTTAAAAACTTTTAAATTTTGTGTTTGCTTTCTAACTTCGTTCAATTATTAGGACCTCTAATTGTTTTTAAAGAATAATTACCATAGCCTTTATATACAGGAGCCCTTTTAGGAGCATCTTTTATATTTACTGAAATTCCAAACCCAGATGAGCTAAGTATTAATTCAAATACAACCTCAAATGAAGATATCAATAACCATAAACATCTTTTATAATAGCTTGGTATTAAAGATAATATTTATCGAAATTTAGCACTCCCACATTTATTGTTAATTGTATCAGTAATTATATCTTTATTATGCTTATTTGCAAGATAGATCATGGAAGGTAAACAATATACTATAACAGTAGTGAACTTCTTGGTTAACACCATGTCATAACTGCACTAAGGATATATCACTTGTACCTTACTTAGTATATACTACTCTTTGGAATACTCATCTTAAAAATAGTATGCAATAATGCAATTAGTAACTCATGTTATATTCATTATTCTAATAGTAGCAATCATGTTAAAAAAGGATAATTAGTATATTGAAAATAACACACCGAATTTTGCTTTAGACTTAAATGTAAAAGCGAGAGGATGGAGAAGCTTTTTGATAATGAGTTATTTGAAGAAATACATTTGTATAACCTTAATTTATGTATTATACTCAAATCCAATAGTATGTGGTGCAATCATAGCAGCTATTTTCATATGCTTTGCTGCATATTTATTATATTACAGATTCTTCATTAATAAATTTTTTATAATTTATAAAATATTTTAAGAGCTTTTGGTTTCCATAGCCTTTATATTATTTATTATCAGTGTGAAAAAGCAGTAAAATATAATAGAGCAAGATGTAATTAGTGATGAATAAGTGATAAATGTTATTTAATTTAGCTTAATAGTTTTGATATTTTTAACCATTTGTTTAATAACAAGCTCAATTTTATTTCTGGTAAGAAGTGGAATCTAAATATTTTCATTTGTATAATTTATAAGGAATTACTTTAGAAATAAAAAATAATTAAATTAACATGATCAAGGTTTAAATATGATAATAATAGATCGTCTTAACAGTTCTAAAAAATTTCAATTTGAATTATCTAATACTCGTTATTTAAATACTTCTTCCTTAAATAAGCAATAGAAATAATTAAAATCATAAAATTCTATTTAAAATGTTTGATTGTATATTTTACTTATTATTGTGTTTCATACTTGAATAAACATAAATCACTCAATTATCTATTAAGATTTTATAAAATATTACTAAATTAAAAATTCTAAACTAAAATTTAAAAATAAAACTTTCTTTGAAATTTTGTGTATGTTTACATTTAAAATTTATGAATAACTTTGGTCTCTTTTTTTTTGGATTCTTATCTAGATAAATTTTCACTTTCCCTATTCTATCATAGTTCTAATTAATGCTTTTGAATGTGATAACTCATTTATACACAGCTACTTCAACTTGTTCATAAACTTACAACACATTAGGAGGTTATTTTGTGAGTTAAAATACTTGCTCTCATTGTGATAAAACATGTAGTACTTGTAATGGATCTTTTAATACTCAATGTACTACTTTTGAAACTGGATTTTATAAATATGATGAAGATAATCTTTGTAAGGCATGTCCAACTAATTCAAATCAAGCTAAGGAAAGTAATTTTCTAAACTCTTAATATTCATGCCTATATAATAACTAAACAAAAAATTATGAGTTAACTAATATATGCTCTATTTGCATTCAAGATACACTTTAAGAAACAATATTTGCGTAGATAGCTGTTCATTAACTATACTGAATTACAATTATAAATCAAATTCTAGTCAACAGTAATGTTCTAGCTATCCGTATAAACACATTAGAAAAGATCATTCTATTGTTTGTAGTAACTACTAGTAACCAGAATTTATTGTGATATTAATTAAATTTGTTATACATGCAATTAATCTAACTGTTAATCATACCCTAACTAAATATATAAAACCTAGTTCAATTTATCTAAATGTCCATTATATATTTTTAAAAATTTTAATTTTAGATTTTTATTTTTTCTATATTTTTTATATTTTCATTTTTTCATAAAATTAAAATTAGTTATTTGTGTTTGTTTTTACATGCACTCTATATAATTTTTCAAAAACAGTCCAAAAAAAAATTTAAATACTTTTACTAAAATTTTTAGAATTACCTCTATAATTCGCAAAAACCTTGATAACTCGCAGTTAAGAGATTTTTTTCCTAGAATTTTAAGACTCTTACCTCTTACATCGCAACTCATTTGTTTTCCTAGAGGTTTTACTGTATATTTTTTAAATAAATAAAAAAATTTTACTTTACACATTTACTTAGAAAGAGTTTAATTTAGTTAATCTTATAATTACTGGAATTTATCAAAAAAAATTATGTTTACAATTAAATTTTTCATAAAAAATGAATTAATATAATGAATAATCAATCTAATCTTTAATTTCAAAAATATTACTAATATTTTTAGTTTAATAATAATATTCTATAAAATACCAATAAGGGAAAGAATAAAATAAATTCATACAATTATTTTTAATATAAAAGTTAAATTAGTTACTAAAAAAACATATTCTTAAAAGCAAGTTTATAGTTTTACAATGAAATATTTATTAAATCAAATAATTACAATTCTTACATACTTGTTTTTTTGGTGTTGAGTTTATTTTTACTTATTTTAATTTCAACATTTAAATAGCTTAAAAATTGAAGAAAATAAATATTAGTTGTAATCTACTTTGATAAGTGAAATAAATAACTTACAATAAACAGATTCAAAATTTTAAATTTAGATTTTATCAGTAAAAATAAATTTGATCATTATTTTTGAGTAAAAATAGATAAGAAACAAAAAAAAAATTGTAATCTTTAATGTTTTTAAGTTAATTAATCCTCTTTGAATTAAATTCAAAAGAAAGAATATTTACTGTAAGAAATATGAAGTTATGGTGTTAATTTTAATTTAAATAAAATTATAATATTAATAATTGTTGTACAAACAGAAAAAAGGACTATTATGATATTTTGTTTCAATTACTAAATCTGTTTATTAGTAAATTATATTTGTTACTTACATTTTTTGGTTTGAATTTGATTAATTTAAATATTTCAATTGTAATTCTTAATTACTACTTTGAATAAGTAAATTAAACAATAAAGATTTTTTTAAAAAAAATAAGTTAATTATTACCAAAAAAAGTAATAATTTTTATTTATTTAATTATTGGTTTTTAAATATCTTCAAAAATAATTAGAGTCAAAACTATTAATTATCTTTTTAATTTGGGGGTTTATAGATACTAGTACAAAACTAAAATTTTTCTTTCTAAATATTTACAATAACTATTATTTATAGAGTATGTAGTTTACTATAACCTAATTACCCTATCAAAAAAAAATCAAAAATATATATTGTAATAAATTTCATTAATTTATGAAGTAAGGCTTAAGAATCCAAAATAAATTAAACTACAATGAAAATAGTTATAGCTTAACTCTAACTAATTTTAGCATTTAATTGCTTCACAATAAGCTCACTATGATAAATAAAAAGTGCCTAGCATAACTTCATAATAAATTTATTAAAAAAAACAAAATGTTTTGATTATATATTAAATAAAAATAACAATAATAATTTTAAAAATCTAGTAAAAGAAATGATAAAGATTACAACTTTATTAATAATTTTAATTGAATATTCTTTACAATTCTATTAAAAGGACCTAGTTTCTATAAAAGAATAATCAAATCAAATACTAAACATATTTATTAGTGATTAATCTTAACAAACGAAAAATGAATATACATTAAGTTATAAAGAAAAACAAATTTACCTATATTCAGATGAAATTGATTAGTTATAAATCATGATAAAGTATTTAGTATTTGATTAAAATTAAATCAAGCACGAAAAAACCTTAAAATTTGATGATTTTTCTATTGTATTAAGGTAAAAATAAATAAAATTTATTGATAAAATTAAATAAGAATTTCATTTAATTTTTTATATTTCATATTAGTACTACAGACATAAAGGATTAGCAAAGTTTTATAGGAATTAAATTTATTATTAACAATTCTTTAATTCAAGAAGATTTCAATATAGAGAAATAGAATGTATTAGATCTTATACATAAATCTACTTAAGATTTATCAAGTACGCATGAGCTATCTTAAAGCGAAGATGAAAAATTACTTTTAAATTTTGAGTAAATGATTAATTGCATTAAAAATAAGTAAATTTTTTGCAAATTAATTAATTAAATTTTATTACTCTTTTATGTTTTATAAAAAGAACAAAATGCTAATTTTTCGATCCATTAAAAGTTCTCCAAAATAAATCTTTAATCAATAAATTTATTCATTTTGGAGAAGATTTTACTTTGAATAACTCATAAGATAGAATACCTAAATAAATGAATAGTGTCGTTCATCACTTTTTTAGCATGTAAAAAGATATTAAAAGTTAAAAATCAAGAAAATTACTATAATGCGAAGGCTGTAATGATTGTACTACATTTGTTATCCAAACTGTTTGTAATGAAGAATGCATTCTAGGATATTTTCCTAATGAAGTATTTTTTGGAAAGTAATGTAAAAAATGTCATTAAAGTTGTTTAGGATGTGATAAAGAAGGACCTAACGGGTGTACATCTTGTGATTAAGATTCATAGCTTTATTAGAATAAATGTTGTAGAATAAAAAATGGTGAATTTTACAATTAGTAAACGAAAAAATGTGAATAGTGTCCATAAAATTGTTAAATTTGTATTGAACCTAATAATTGCAAGTAATGCATGGTTAACTATGAATTAAACTCATTAAATTAATGTTTATGCCTCTATGGCTAATACTTCGATGATAATACGAAATCTTGCTTAGATTGTGATAAATCATGCAAAACTTGCAAATAAACTTCTAAGAGTTGTACTTCATGTTAAGATTTTCAATTTTTAAACACTTAGAGTCTAACATGTTAAAACTCTTGCGATCAAGCTGGATATTATGCTTTAGAAAAAAATTGTTTGCCTTGTGATTCAGCATGCTTAACTTGCTCTGGATCTTCTAAAAATTGCACTTCTTGTAAATTTGGTTAATTATTAAATATTTAGTCTTAAACTTGTATAGATGAGTGCCCAACAAACGGATTTTATATTGAGAAAAAAAAATGCATACCTTGCGATTCCTCTTGTAGTACATGTTCAGGATCTTCTAAATGTACTACTTGCGCTAAGAATTTTTATTAATATGGAGGAGATAATCTTTGCAAACCTTGCAATAATACTTCCCTTAATCCTGATATTATTACTTATTAAATGTAAAATTGCGCATAAATTATTTAATAGTGTTTGTTAAATCCTCGAACATAAACTTATGAGTTAACTTCAATATGTTAGATATGTAAAAGTAATTTTGTATTAGCAAATAATAAATGTATTAATCAATGTTCTGACATAACATAAAATTATGAATATAATAATATTTTATAATAATGCTAATGTTCTTCTTCAAACCCCTACTAGCATAATTAATCTAATAATAATATATTTTGCTTTTAGCTTTAATTACCTGGCTACAACTGTGACTCAAATAAAATATGCAATCAATGCTTTTAACCTAACTGCTAAGTCTGCGCTAATCTGTAAATATGTACAATTTGTTTAAATGGCTTTTATCTATGGTAGAACGATTGCCTTCAAACTTGTGAATCTAGTAAAGGCTTAGAGTCTTCTCAGTCTAAAAAAGAATGTGTTTGCATTTAAGACTATATTTATTATGCTCCTAAAAAAATTTGTATTTTATAGCTCTAAATAAGCCAAATCCAACTTACAAAAGATACTTAATATAATATTATTAATATTATTTTTAATAGAGCTCCATATAATGCTGAATTAAAAACAATAAGTTTGTAAATCGACCCTCTTAAGCTAATCCAAAATAGAGATTACACAATTATTTCATAGCAATAAAGTGATAATAATTTAATATTCTAAGTCTCATTTTAACAAAATATTAAAATTAGCTAATTAGTAATTAATTATAATAATAAATAGTCCATTTACTAAGTTTAAAATACAATACTAACATCTGATTATGTTAACATTAATTTATAAAATAAACAAAATGCTGTAAATAATGTAAAAAGCTTAGGATAAAGCTTATCTACATAAGAAGGACTTATTTAATCTATAATTAATATTCTTAAAAACTTTTAAATTTTGTGTTTGCTTTCTAACTTCGTTCAATTATTAGGACCTCTAATTGTTTTTAAAGCATAATTACCTTAGCCTTTATATACAGGAGCCCTTTTAGGAGCATCTTTTATTTTTACAGAAATTCCAAGCCCAGATGAGCTAAGTATTAATTCAAATACAACATCAAATGAAGATATTGATAACCATAAGAAGCTTTTATAATAACTTGGTTTTAAAGATAATATTTATCAAAATTTAGCCCTCCCACATTTATTGTTAATTATATCAGTAATTATATCTTTATTGTGTCTATTTGCAAGATAGGTCATAGAAGGTAAGCAATATACTATTAGAATAGTGAACTTCTTGGTTAATATTATGTCATAATTGCACCAAGGATATATTTCTTGCACCTTACTTAGTATATATTACTCTTTAGAATACTCATCTCAAAAATAGTATGCAATAATGCAATTAGTAACTCATGTTATATTCATTATTCTAATAGTAGCAATTATGTTAAAAAAGGATAATTAATATATAGAAAACAACACACCGAATTTTACTTTAAATTTAAATATAAAAGCGAGAGGATGGAGAAGCTATTTGGTGTTGAGTTATTTAAAGAAATACATTTGTATAACCTTAATTTATGTATTATACTCAAATCCAATAGCATGTGGAGCTATCATAGCAGCTATTTTCATGTGCTTTGCTATTTATTTATTTTACTACAGATTCTTCATTAATAATTTTTTTATAATTTATAAAATATTTTAAGAGCTTTTGGTTTCCATAGCCTTTATTTTATTTATTATCAGTGTGAAAAAGCAGTAAGATATTATAGAATAAGATGTAATTAGTGATGAATAAATGATAAATGTTATTTAATTTAGTTTAATAGCTTTGATATTTCTAATAATTTGTTTACTAACAAGCTTGATTTTATTTCTGGTAAGAAGTGGAATCTAAATATATTCTTTTATAAAACTTGCAAGGAATTACTTTAGAAATAAAAATAAAATAGATTTCAATGATCAAGGTTTAAATGTGATAATAGATCATCTTAATAGTTCTAAAATTTTTCAATTTGAATTATCTAATACTCCTTATTTAAATAATAATACCTTTAATAAAAATAAAATAAAATCATAAAATTCTATTTAAAATGTTTGATTGTATATTTTACTTATTATTGTGTATCCTGCTTAATTAGACATAATTAATCATATAATTATCTATCTAAATTTATTTTTAATTCATAAAATTTTAAGACTCTTACCTCGCAACTCCTTCGAATACCTTAACAAGGTTTTACTGTATGTATATTTTTTAAATAAATAAAAGCACTTTTACTTTACACATTTACATATAAAGAGTTTAATTTACTTAACCTTGTTATTGCTGGAATTTATCAAAAAAATTATGTCTACAGTCAAATTTTTAATAAAAAATAAATTAAAACAATCAATAATCAATCTAATCTTTAATTTCAAAAATATTACTAATTTTTTTAGTCGAAATCCATTAATCTTATTAGCCATGTTAGTATTTTCTAATTATTTTTAAGAAATTTCTAATAATATTCTATTAAATACCAATAAGGAAAAAAATAGAATAAATTCATTCAATTATATTTAATATAAAAGTTAAATTAGTTACTAAAAAATATATATATTTACTTTAAAGCAAGTTTAAAGTTTTACAATGAAATATATGTTAAATCAAAATGTTACAATTATTACATACATATTTTTTTGATGTTGAGTTTTATCTTTACATATTTTAATTCATTAACTTTTGAGTAAAAATAGATAAAGAACAAAAAATAAAATTTTAATCTTTAATGATTTTAAGTTAATAAATCCTGCTTGAATTAATTTCAAAACAATAAATATCTAATGTAAGAAATATGAAGTTATGATTTTAATTTTAATTTAAATAAAATAATAAAATTAATAATTGCTGAACAAACAGTAAAAAGGAGTATCAAGATAATTTTTTTCAATTACTAAATCTGATTATTAGTAAATTGCATTTGTTACATACATTTTATGATTTTAATTTGATTAATTTACATATTTTAATTACAAATCTCAATTACTTCTTTGAATAAATAAAGTAAACAATAAAGATTTTTTAAGAAAAAAATAAGTTAATTATTACCAAAAAAGGTAATTATTTGTATTCATTTAATTATTAGTTTTTAAAAGTCTTCAAAAATAATTCCAGTCAAAACTATAAATTATCTTTTTAATTTGGGGGTTTTTAGAAGATGCTACTTTACTAAAAATTTTCTATTTAAAGATTTACAATAAATATTATTTTGAGGGTTTGTAGTTTACTTTAACCGAATTACCCTATCAAAAAAAGTCAAAAATATATATTGTAATATAAAATAGCAAATAATAGAAATTAATTTGATTAATTTCTTATGTAAAGCTTAAAAATCCAAAATAAATTTAATCACCATGATAATAATTATAGCTTAACTTTTACTAATTTTAGCATTTAATTGCTTAACAATAAGCTCACTCAGATAAATGAAAAATGCCTCACATTACTTCATAATAAATTTATTAAAAAAATCAAAATGTTTTGATTATATTTTAAAAAATAATAACAATAATAATTTTAAAAATCTCATCTTAGTAATGATAAAGATTGCAACTTTATTAATAATTTTAATTGAATATTCTTTACAATTCTATTTAAAGAACCTAGTTTCTATAAAAGAATAATCAAATCAAGTTCTAAACATAATTTTAAGTGATTCATCTTAGCAAACTATAAATGAATTTACATTAAGTTATAAAGAAAAACAAATTTACCAATATTTGGATTCTATAAATTAGTTGTAAATTGTTATAAAGTATTTAGTATTTGATTAAAATTAATTCAAGGATGAAAGAATCTTAAGATTTGGTTATTTTTCTATTGTATTAAGGTAATAAAAAATAAATTTATTGATAAAAATTAAAATTATATTTCATTTAATTTTTTATATTTCATATTAGTACAACAGACATAAAGGATAATCAAAGCTTTATTGGAATTAAATTTATTTTTAATAATTCTTTAATTCCAGAAGATTTCTATATTGAGAAATAGAGTTTATTAGATCTTATACAGAAACCTACTTAAGATTTATCAAGTACGCATGAGCTATCTTAAAGCAAAAATGAAAAATTACTTTTAAATATTTAGTAAATGATTAATTGCATTAAAAATAAGTATATTTTTTTTCAAATTAATTTAATTTTATTAATCTTTTATATTTTATAAAAAAGAACAAAATGTTAATTTTTCGATCCATTAAAAAGACTCCAAAATAAATATTTAATCAATAAATTTATTCTTTTTGGAGAAGATTTTAATTTGAATAACTCATAAGATAGAATACCTAAATAAATGAAAAGTGGCGTTCATAACTTTTTTAGCAATTCAAAATATATTAAAAGTTAAAAAATAAGAATACTACAAGAAGAATGCACTCTTGAAGGTTGTAATAAATGTAAAATAGTTATTACCTAAACTGTCTGTGATGAAGAATGTATTCTAGGATATTATACTGATTATTAATTTTTTGGAAAGTATTGTAAAAAATGTGATTAAAGTTGTTTAGGATGTGATTAAGAAGGACCTAATAGGTGTACATCTTGTAAGTAAGGTTCATAACTTTATTTAAATAAATGTTGTAGAATAAATAATGGTGAATTTTACAATTACAAAACAAAGAAATGTGAACAGTGTCCATTAAATTGTTAAATTTGCAATGAACCTAATAGTTGCAAGTAGTGCATGGCTAATTATTAACTTAATTCATTAAAATAATGCCTGTGCCTCTAGAGTTAATATTTTGATAATGAAACAAAATCTTGCTTAGATTGTGATAAATCATGCAAAACTTGCAAATAAACTTCTAAAATATGTACTTCTTGCTAAGAATTTCAATTTTTAAATACTTTGAGTTAAACATGTTAAAACTCTTGCAATTAAGATGGATTTTATGCTTTAGAAAATAATTGCTTACCTTGTGATTCAGCTTGCTTAACTTGCTCTCTATCTTCTAAAAATTGCACTTCTTGTAAATTTGGTTAATTATTAAATATTTAGTCTTAAACTTGTATAGATGAGTGCCCAAAAAACGGCTTTTATATTGAGAAAAAAAAATGTATGCCTTGCGATTCCTCTTGTAGTACATGTTCAGAATCTTCTAAATGTACTACTTGCGCTAATAATTTGTATCAATATGGAGGAGATAATCTTTGCAAACATTGTCATAAAACTTCCCTTAATCCTGCTATTATTACATAGTAAATGTAAAATTGCGCATAAATTATTCAAAAGTGTTTGTTAAATCCTGAAACATAAATTTATGAGTTAACTTCAATATGTTAGAAATGTAAAGGTAATTTTGTATTAGCAAATAATAAATGTATTAATCAATGTTCTGACATAGCATAAAATTATGAATATAATAATATTTTATAATAATGTTAATGTTCATCTTCAAGCCCCTACTAGCATAATTAACCTAATAATAATATATTTTGCTACAAATTTTAATTACCTGGCTACTACTGTGACTCAAATAAAATATGTAATCCATGCTTACAACCTCACTGCTAAGTCTGCACTAATCAGTAAATATGCACAATTTGTTTAAATGACTTTTATCTATGGTAGAACGACTGTCTTCAAACTTGTGAATTTAGTAAAGGTCTAGAGTCTTCTCACTCTAACAATGAGTGTGTTTGCATTAAAGACTATATTTTTTATGCTCCTAAAAAAATTTGTATTTTATAGCTCTAAATAAGCCAAATCTAACTTACAAAAAATACTTAATATAATATTATTAATATTATTTTTAATAGAGCTCCATATAATGATGAATTAAAAACAATAAGTTTGTAAATAGACCCTCCTAAGCTAATCCAAAATAGAGATTACACAATCGTTTCATAGTAATAAAGTGATAATAATTTAATGTTCTAAGTCTCAGTTTAGCAAAATATTAAAATCAGTTAAATAGTTATTAATTATAATAATAAACAATCCATCTACTAAGTTTAAAATACAATACTAACATCAGATTATGTTAATAGTAATTTATAAAATAAACAAGGCGCTATAGATAATGTAAAAAGCTTAGGATAAAGCTTATCTACATAATAAGGACTTCTTTAATCTATAATTAATATTCTTAAAAACTTTTAAATTTTGTGTTTGCTTTCTAACTTCGTTCAATTATTAGGACCTCTAATTGTTTTTAAAGCATAATTACCTTAGCCTTTATATACTGGAGCCCTTTTAGGAGCATCTTTTATATTTACAGAAATTCCAAGCCCAGATGAGCTAAGTATTAATTCAAATACAACCTCAAATGAAGATATTGATAACCATAAGAAGCTTTTATAATAGCTTGGGTTTAAAGATAATATTTATCAAAATTTAGCCCTCCCACATTTATTGTTAATTATATCAGTAATTATATCTTTATTATGTCTATTTGCAAGATAGGTCATGGAAGGTAAACAATATACTATAACAGTAGTGAACTTTTTGGTTAACATTATGTCATAACTGCAACAAGGATATATTACTTGTACATTACTTAGTATATACTACTCATTAGAATACTCATCTCAAAAATAGTATGCAATAATGCAATTAATAATTCATGTTATATTTATTATTCTGATAGTAGCAATTATGTTAAAAAAGGATAATTAATATATAGAAATCAACACACCGAATTTTGCTTTAAACTTAAATGTAAAAGCGAGAGGATGGAGAAGCTATTTGGTGTTGAGTTATTTGAAGAAATACATTTGTATAACCTTAATTTATGTATTATACTCAAATCCAATAGCATGTGGTGCTATAATAGCAGCTATTTTCATATGCTTTGCTATTTATTTATTATACTACAGATTCTTTATAAATAAATATTTTATAATTTATAAAATATTTTAAGAGCTTTTAATTTCAATAGCCTTTATATTATTTGTTATCAGTGTGAAGAAGCAGTAAGATATTATAGAATAAGATGGAATTAGTGATGAATAAATGATAAATGTTATTTAATTTAGTTTAATAGCTTTGATAGTTTTAATAATTTGTTTAATAACAAGTTTAATTTTGTTTATGGTAAGAAGTGGAATCTAAATATTTTATTTTGTATAATTTACAAGGAATTACTTTAGAAATAAAAATAAAATAGATTACACTGATCAAGGTTTAAATATGATAATAGATCATCTTAACTGTTCAAAAATTTCTCAATTTGAATTATCTAATACTCCTTAATCATATAATAACTCGTTTAATAAACAAAAGAAAAAATTACAATCATAAAATTCTATTTAAAATGTTTGATTGTATATTTTATTTATTAATTATTGTGATACCTTCTTGAATATATAAATCATCCAATTATCTATTAAAAATTTTAAATATGTTACTAAATTGAAAAATTTAAACTAAAATTTAAAAATAACGTTGATATCTCATAAATTGGATTCTTACCTCCATAAATTTTAACTTTCACCATTCTAATTTAATAGAATTACAATGTCGGTGAAAATATAATTGAAAAATAACTTTTATGAGGTACTTAAAACTTTTTTATACCATATCATTAACTATTTCTTTGGTGATTATTAAAAGAAAATCCAAATAACACAAATATGATTTTCAACTCCTATGCAAGTGCTATTTCATAAAATTTTATTTTATTCTCATCCAATTATTTCTTCAATTCTAATTTTCCAGCATAATTAAGATAAAACTTTGTATTTGATATTACTATACGATATTAGGTTCTATCAAGAATAATAATTTACTAAACTAAAATATTTTGTAGTATTAAACAGTTTTCTGCCAAAAAATAATTATTATATACTTCCATCCATATTTGTAAATAATCATATAATTGAATATGAGATATTCTTATTTTATTGTACTTTATTTATTATTTAATAGAATTATTATACTTTTTTATTATTTAATAAAATGATAATTAATCAGCCTAAATCAAGCTCAAAACCCCCACCTCATTGTCATCATTGATTTATATTTAATAAATATAATTTTAGTTTTTTATGAAACTCTCTGATTAGTATTATCCTAAACAGTGATTGCAGAATATTTGTAATTTGAAAAAAAATATCTTAATATAATCAAATATATTCTACTAGGCCACTGGAATAAAACAAAAATAATTCCTAATTTCATATTATTTTTAAATTTTCTATCAATTAATTATTGATTAGATTTTTATTTACAAAATTAGTTTTACTTTGTGTTTATTATCAATTTTTTATATTTTAATTCTAAATAATTTTCAATATATAAAACAAGTATTAAATTAAAAGGGAAAACAATTTTTACTATTAAGAGTAAAGTTATGAAAGATTGATTAATTAAGATTTAAAAATTGATCTGAATTTTTAAATTTTGATAGATTTTCAAGAATTTTAAAATTCTTTGAATTAAGTTTCATTCGTTAATGAATGAAAACATAAATTTTATGTTTAATTAAATTTTATTTTTAAATGTAGGAAATGTTTACAAATTTTACCGTAAAACATTGTTAAGGAAAATGAATTGGTTGCGAGGTAAGAGTTTTAAAATTTTGGGATTATTCTCAAATAAAAAATGAATGAAAACCTCAATAAATAGAAAATTTATTGTGAGGTTTTATGGTCTTTATTGAGGATAGTTTTTGTAATTTTTATTAATTTTTTTGAATCCACATGCTATTTAAAATCTAAATAAATAATAATTAATTAGAAATATTAGCATTATAATTTTATTTTAAATTTATAAGAAAATTTATTTTTCTTATTAAAAAAATTATCTAGTTGATCACTCTTTATATCAGTCATCAAACATTTTTAAAATAGCAAATTGTTATATATATTTTTGTTGTAAATAATTTTTATTAATACACAAATTAATTTACAAAAAATATTAATTAATTTTTAGTAGATATTAATGAAACACATAAATATAATATTTATCAAAATATTTTTTTAAAAAGATCTAAATATTTATAAATGTGCATTATTAGTGTAATTAATGAATATTGTTTTTTTTGATTAGTATGGACATATATTACATCCTATTACTAATTATAATTTATTTAAAAGTTTTGTAAAAACAATGATTTTAATTCAGGTGAATTTTGATAAGTTAATAAAAATTCTGGTTTTAGATTATTTTTATCAAAAGATGAGAAAGTTTTCAATCATATGAATTTAACTTGAATCACTTATAAATATATTTTGAATAAATATTATTTTCCAAAATTGTAGAAGACTAATTAAATAACTAATTTTACAAAAATAGACTTTAAGTTTGTAGATTGTCTAAAATATAGCTATTTCATATTAATTTTAACAAAATATATTCTAGTATTTATTATATTACATTTTAAGCTTAAATATATCATTATAGTGAATAATTTAATTTAAATTTCAAATAATTACATTTTTTAAATTTTAAATAAAATATTGGTTACGCTCATTTAATAATCACGCATTCATTGCAATATTGAATTTTTTATGTTACAGAAAGTTATTTGTTTTCAAAAGAAATATTATTATGTTTTTTGTAAAGAAAGTTGGTAATAGATCTATCTGGAAAAATAATTTAAAATATACATTTAATATTTAGAATTTTTAAAAAATGTATATAATTAAAATTTAAGTTATTTAAAAGAAATATTCATAGCATAATTTTTCTACTCTAAAAGGTATTGTAATAAAAACAAATTATTTTCATTTAAATATCTGTAAGTTGTAAATAAAATTCAATTTGTTATCCAATGAACAATTTAATCAATAATTAATTCAATTTGTTAATCATTCATCATAAATTAACAATATTATGATAATTTTTTGTCATTTTATAATTCTTTTAACTTACAGTAAAAAATGATTGGTTTTTCTTGATTTAGTTTTCAATTAATTAATTGAATAAATTATTAAGTTAATAATCTAATTTTTGAAATCTTCCTTTAATAAAAGTAGATGAAAAAGAAATTTTCTAGCCTAAATTAAATTAATAATTTTTTTTTTATGATCTTTTTCAGGTCAATTTTTACTTGAAATTTAATATTATGGTTTTTTTAAACTGTAAAAAATATAATTAATAATTGAATGCTTCTTTTATTGGCTAAATAAATATTAATAATTTTTTTTTTGCAAAAACAAATTAATTAAAAAAAATAAAACAGTATTCACTATCTGTTCCTTTTTTATAGCTGAGCAAATGCCACAGATTAAATATAAAACTTATTTGTGGTATATACTTTTATAAGCTTTGTTATATATAGAATTGAGTCTAACTTAAGTATGTGAATTGGAATAGATATAGAAATTGAATGAGTTTATTAATAATCAGGCCAAAGTGACCAAATAAACTTTATACTTACAAATCCATTTTAAATAATCTGAAAATATAGTATCATACTAAGTTGAAATTCTCAAACCAATAGAAGCTTTTAAAGAAGGGTACTAAAAAAATGTTCTATATTTCAAAGACTAGAGTTAAATTTGTGAGTAAGTATTTATTATTTTAAGCAATCCATTATTAGTATTTTATCTATTTTATAAAAATTTTGTTAATCAATCATATTTGCTGATTCAAACTCTCATGAAAAATTTTAATTCTTTTATAAATTTGCTTTAAATAACAACTTTTTGATTTAATAACTAAATCTTAAATTGACTTTTATTAATACTTAAAGGAGAGTCTTTAATAAATATTATTTTTTTATATTTCTTTTTTTAAAAGAAAGTAAATAAATATATATGCTCATTTCAACCTTTAAATAATTGTGAAATGTAAAAAATATTTGGCAAAAATATTATTGTTTGGATCTAAAATTATTTATTTATTTGAATTTAAAACAAAATAAAATTTACTTTTCTTTTTTATTATCAAATATCAATAAAATAGTTAATTTTTTTTTACTTATTTCAAAGATTTTAATAACTAATTTTATTTTTATTTAGGAATGAAGATTTAAACCTATTTGATATTAGATACTTAACAAAACATCAAACCCCATAAATATATTGCTTTAATGGATTTTTAATTGTGGTATTTAGTTAAAATGAAGAAGTTAATATCAAATAAGCTTTGTTTAATAAATATACATTAAATTTTAAAGTATTTGTAAGCCAAATTTAATCTCTTAACTAAAAATTAGGAGAAAACATGTAAAATATTTTGTTTGTTTTTACTACTTTAAATTTAATATATTAAATAATTAATAGTATAGAATCTGAACTAATTAGTATTTTTGAATAAGCAAATTAAATAGAATTAATATTAGCTCAGCAAAAGATCAAAGAATATTTTAAATGTTCGATTTCTATTTATAGCTCAAATTATATAGGTACTTAATACCTTGATTAAGAAATAAAATTCAGAATGCTTTCAGGAGGGCCACCAGCAGGACCACCAGCAGGACCACCAGGAAAAGGACCTAATTGCAATATAAATAATTGTGCTTAATGCACTGGAGCTGGTCCAAACACTAATTGTACAAATTGTAATGCAAATTTTGCTTTATAATCAAATAAAAGTTGTTAAACATGTGGGGCTGGGCAATTTTTATAATCTACTTCTAGTCCATGTGGTTAATGCTCTGCTAATTGTTAGACTTGTGTTAACTCTTCTAATTGCTAAGTATGCAATAACAACTATGAATTAAACTCTTCAAATAATTGCTAAGCTTGCTAAATAAATAACGGGTAATACTATGACTCTTAGAATACTAAATGTGGTAATTGCCCGATTAATTGCCTGACTTGTAACAGTTCTACTAATTGCTCTGTATGTTAAAGCGGTTATCAAGTAAATTCTTAAAAAAATGGTTGCTAAGCTTGTTTAATAAATTAAGGATAATATTATGATTCTAGTAAATAAACATGCGGTTAATGTCCTTCTTATTGTTTGACTTGTACGAGTTCTTCGGATTGTAGTTTATGCTCATAAAATTATGAATTAAACTCTTCAAAAAATGGTTGCTAAGCTTGCTTAATAAATTAAGGTTAATATTATGACTCATCTACAAAAACATGTATAAGCTGCTTTTAAAATTGTCTCTAATGTACCAACTAGTCAAGCTGCCAAGTTTGTATTACAGGATACTATCCTAATTCTAATTAATGCTCCCAATGTAATAACTCCTGCCTCACTTGCAAAGGACCAAACTCAAACAATTGTCTTTCTTGCAATAATGGGTATTACTTATACACAGATATCACAACTTGTTCATAAACTTGTAACACATAAGGAGGCTATTTTGCAAGTTAAAATACATGCTCTCCTTGTGATAAAACATGTAGTACTTGTAATGGATCTTCTAATACTCAATGTATTATCTGTGTAACTGGACTTTATAAATATGGTGGAAATAATCTCTGTAGGACTTGCCCAACAATTTCAAATCAAGCTGTAGTAAGTAATTGTCAAAGCTCTCAAAAAGAATGCTTATATAACAACTAAACAAAAAATTATGAGTTAACTGATGTGTGCTCTATATGCATTCAAGGATACACTTTAAGTAACAATAATTGTGTAGATAGTTGCTCTTTAATTGCCCAGAATTACTATTATAATCCTAGCTCTAGTTAATGTTAATGTTCTCCTAGCTATCCATATAAGCACATAAGAAAAGACAATTCTATTTTCTGCAGTAACTATCAGTTACCAGGATTTTATTGTGATGTTAACTAAATTTGCTATGCATGCAATCAATCTAATTGTTAAACGTGCCCTAATTAAAATACTTGTACATTATGTAATAGTGGATACTATCTTTGGTTGAATCAGTGTCTTTAGTAATGTCCATCCTCTTAAAATTTATAAATTTCTAGCTCTTAATCATAGTGTGAATGTATTTAAAATTATATTCTTATCATTCCAGACAATATTTGTATTATTAAGTTGAGTATAACTTCTATTAATCTATCTAAAGACTCTCAATACAATGTAATAACAGTTGTTTTTAACAGAGTACCTTATCCAAATGAGACAAATGGGATTAGCATACAACTAGATCCTGGCAAATTAATTTTAAATACAGATTATTAAATTATATCATAACAACTGATCAGCAACACTGTTGTTTTTAATATATCTGTAGAGTAAAATAGAAGAGTTAATCAAATAGTAGTTACTTACAATAATCAACAAACTACATTCTAATTATAAAATGCTATTCTTACTACAAATACTTATAACAATTCTTAGTAAAGTGTTTAGGGAAAAATTGATAGCGCTACAAGCGCTAGCAAGGCTCTTACTTCTGGTTAAGGAAATGGCTATAGCATAATTCTCGTTCTCAAAAAATTCTAAATTTTGTGTTTCCTTTCAAATTTTATTTAATTTTTTGGACCCTTAATTTTATTTAAAAACTACCTACCTCAAATAGTTTATGTCGGAACAATTCTAGCATCTTCATTTATATTTACTTCTATTCCTGATGCTAGTTAATTAAATACAAATAGTTAAAGTGATAGCACAAGTTAAGGCTCAGCTTCCTCTGAGCAGTAGCTTTTATAAGACTTAGGATTACAAGCAAATTTATACTATGCTCTTCCGATACCAAATATATCTTTAATAATATCAGTAATTATAGTCCTTCTTTGCTGCTTTGCTAGATGGGTTATGAAAGGAAAGCAATATACTATGGAAATAGTAAACTTTTTAATCAATTTAGCATCATCTGTTCAATAAGGCTTTATCACTCCTTCTCTATTTAGCATTTATTACTGCCTAGCATTTACATAAGAGAAATATATTGCTATTATTTAATTGCTTATCCATGCATCCTTTTTTGTTTTAATTTACTATTTTTCTTTTAAAAGAGATGTAAATTATATCGAAAGTTATTTACCCAATTTTGCTTTAAATATTAACACAAAGGCAAAGGGATGGAATACATATTTATTTGCTAGCTACATAAAAAAATATGTTATCATTTTACTAATTTTAACTATTCCCACTCACCCTATTGCTTGTTGTATAATTCTATCAATTATTTTTGGATGCTTTGGATTATACATTTTATATTTTAGATTTTTTAACAGTAAATTTATCAATATATACAAAATAATTTAAGAGTTTTTAATCTCTGTTTCAGTAATTCTGTTTATGATATGCATTAAGAAACAATAGGATATTTTAAACTAAGATGCAATATCTGATAATGATCTAAAAAGTATAGATGAATTTAGCTTTATAGTAATAATAATGCTAGTAATTTGTTTAATGATGAGTTTCATCTTGTTCTTAGTAAGATTAACAATCTAACTAGTAGAAATTTTTTAAAAACTAAAAAAGTATTTAACCAAAAAAAATGAATAAGAGCAGCTTACTGAATCGCTTGATTAAATATTGGACTAATTTAACTCATTTCAGTAAAAAAAAGTGGTTTTTAACAAAGTTCTAGTAAAAAAAGAAAGTTTAAACTTTAAAGAATAATCATAAAAAATTGATTTCGAATAATGAAATGATATTTAGAATTTAAATATTCAAAGATCATTTTTTGTATATAAATATTAAATAATTTAACAAATTTATAACTTTAAAAATTATGAATAAATTTAATTCATAAATTATAAAAAAAATATCATAAAAATAAATTTATTTACTTTGTAATCTAAATGTTTTCTAAAATTGGAATTTTAAAATAAAATTTATCAAATAACTAATTTTAATTAACTATATATATATCTATAGAAATGCTACTTAGTAAATTGAAAATTTTTTCATGGTATATACTTCTTTAAAGTGACATATTTGCTGAATTATATACTAGTTATGCATGCGATTTGTTTTTAAAAAATAGACTTTAAGCTTTTAATATAGCTTTTTCATATTAGTTATCAAAACAAGAGTATAGTATATATAATATAATTTTTTAAGCGCTTAAATATATCATTATAATTTAATAATGAGTAATTAAATTTCAATTTCAAATTATTAATTACATTCTTAAAATTTAATAAAAAGTATTGGTTACACTCTTTTAATAATAACACACGAATTATGTAATTGTAAGGTATTTGTATTCAAAAGAAAAAACATTACGCTTTTTGCAAAGAAATTTGGTAATAAATATATGGAAAAATAATTTGGGACAAATCATTTATTATTGGGAAAATAATTTAAAAAATATATAACTTAAAATTTAAAATATACATAGCATAATTTTTCTTCTCAAAAAGTATTAAAGAGAAAAAAAATGATTTGATTTAAATATCTGTAAGTTGTAATTAAAATTCAGTCTGTTATCCAATTAATAATTAGTTCGATTTATTAATGATTCATCATAACTTTATAATATCCTGATAATGTTTTGTCATTATATAATTATATTTTTAACTTACAGTCAAAAATAATTAGTTTTTCTTGATTTAGATTACAAATCATTAAATTGGTATTCTAATTTTTGAAATTTATCTTTTATAAAAGTAAATGAAAAAGAAATTTTCTAACCTTAATTGAATTAATAATTTTTTTTGAGTGTTCTTTTAATGGGTCAATTTTTACTAGATCTATTTAATACATTCTGCTTTTTTAAACTGTAAAAAATATTATTAATAATTGAATGTTTCTTTTATTGAATAAATAAGTATAATTAATTTTTTTTGCAAAAACAATACAATTAAAAAGCAATAAAACATATTTGATTCGGACTATTTGCAAATGCCGCAGATTAAATATAAAACTTATTTATGGTACATAATTTTATAAGCTTTGTTGTATATAGAATTGAGTCTAACTTAACTATGCGAATTTGAATAGATACAAAAAATGAACGAGTTTATTAATAATCAGACTATATTGGCCAAATAAACTTTAAATTTGCAAATCCATTTGAAATAATCTGAAAATATAGTTACCTACTAAGTTGAAATTCTCAAACCAATAGAAGTTTTTAAAGAAGGAAACTAACTAAATGTTTTATATTTCAAAGACTAAAGCTAAATTTGTGAGTAAGTATTATTATTTTAAACAATCCATAATTAATATTTTATTAATTAAAAAAATTATATTAATCAATAATATTCATTTTTTCAAACTCTAATGAAAAATGTTTATCTTTTATAATTTGCTTAAAATAACAACTTTTTGATCAAAAAACTAAAACTAAAACTTAAATTGACTTAATAATACCTAAAGGATATTCTTTGATAAAAATATTTTTTATTTTTCTTCTTCCAAAAGGAAAGTAAAAATATATCTTCATTTCAAACTTTAAATAAATGTGTAATGAAACAAATTTTTGGTAAAAATATGATTATTTGGATTTAAAATTATTTATTAATTTGAATTTAAAACATAATAAAAAATGTTTTTCTTTTTTTTATAATAAAATTAAACACAAAACGTTTTCTACTTTGCTTATTTGAAAGTTTATTTTAATAATTAATTTTATTTTTATTAGGAAAGAAGATTTAAATCTATTTGATGTTAGATACTTAGAAAAATATCAAAGCCCATAAATTTATTGTCTTAAAGGATTTTTAATTTTAGTATTTCGTCAACATCAAGAAGTTAGCATTGAATAAGCTTTGTTTAATAACTATACATTAAATTTTAAATTATTTGTCAGCCAAATTTAATATCCTAACAAAATATTAGAAGAAAAAATGTAATATATTTCTGTTAATTACTTTAAATTTTATATATCAAATAATTAATAGTATAGAAACTGAACTAATTAGTATTTTTGATTAAACAAATTAAATAGAATAAATATTAGCTCATCAAAAAATCAAAAAATATTTATAATGTTTAATTTCTATTTACAGTTCAAATTATAGTGGTACTTAAAATAATAATTAAGAAATAAAATTTAGAATGCTCCTTGTACCACCTGGACCAATGTCTGAATGCAGTATAAGCAATTGTGCTTAATGCTCTGGACATGTTCCAAATACTATTTGCATAAATTGCGATTCAAATTTTGCTTTATAAACAAGCACAAGTTGTTAAACATGTGGAGATGGGCTATTTTTTTAATCTATTTCTAGTCCATGTGGTTAATGCTCTGCTAATTGTAAGACTTGTATTAGCTCTTCTAGCTGCTAAGAATGCGATGAAAACTATGAATTAGACTCATCAAATAATTGCCAACCTTGTTTAGTAAGCTAAGGTTATTATTATGACTCATCTACAAAAACATGTATAAAATGCTTTTAAAATTGTCTCTAATGTACCAACTAATCAAGTTGTCAAGTTTGTAATACAGGATACTTCCCTAGTTCTAATTAGTGCTCCCAATGTGATAACTCGTGTCTCACTTGTAAAGGATCGAGTTCAAACAATTGTCTTTCTTGCAAAGACGGGTATTACTTTTACACAGATACCACAACTTGTTCATAAACTTGCAACATACAAGGAGGTTATTTTGCTACTTAAAATACTTGCTCTCCTTGTAATAAAACATGTAGTACCTGTAATGGATTATCTAATACTCAATGTATTACTTGTGCAACTGGACTTTATAAATATGGTGGAGATAATCTTTGTAAGGTATGCCCAACTAATTCAAATCAAGGTAAAGTAAGTAATTGTCAAAGCTCTAAATAACAATGCCTATATAACAACTAAACAAAAAATTATGAGTTAACTGATGTATGCTCTATTTGCAATCAAGGATACACTTTAAGTAACAATACTTGTGTATAAATTTGTCCTTTGACTACTCAGAATTAATATTAAAATGCAAGTTCTAGTTAATGTTAATGTTCTCCTAGCTTTCCATATAAGCATATAACAAAAGATAATTCTATTTTTTGCAGTAACTAATAGTAGCCAGGATTTTATTGTGATATTAACTAAATTTGTTATACATGTAATTAATCTAACTGTTAGACATGCCCTAACTAAAAAACTTGTACATTATGTAATAGTGGTTACTATCTCTGGTTGAATAAGTGTTTTTAATAATGTCCATCCTAACAAAATTTACAGATTTCTAGCTCTTAAACATAGTGTGAATGTATTTAAAATTATATTCTTATCATCCCAGACAATATTTGTATTATTAAGTTGAGTATAACTTCTATTAATATCACTAAAGATTCTCAATACAATGTGATAACAGTTATTTTTAATAGAGTACCTTATCCAAACGAAACAAATGGGATTAACATAGAGTTAGACCCTGGTAAATTAATTTTAAATACAGACTATTAAATTATATCATAACAACTAATCAGCAACAGTGTTGTTTTTAATATATCTGTAGAATAAAATAGAAGAGTTAATCAAATAGTTGTTTCTTACAGCAATCAATAAACTACATTCTAATTATAAAATACTATTTTCACTACAAGTACTTATAACAATTCTTAGCAAAGTGTTTAGGGAAAAATTAATAGCGCTATGAGCATTAGCAAGGATCTTACTTCTGGCTAAGGAAATGGTTACAGCATAATTCTCATTCTCAAAAAATTCTAAATTTTGTGTTTCCTTTCAAATTTTATTTAGGTTTTTGGACCCTTAATTTTATTTAAAAACTACCTACCTCAAATAGTTTATGTCGGAACAATTCTAGCATCTTCATTTATATTTACTTCTATTCCCGATGCTAATTAATTAGATGTAAATAGCTAAACTGATAATATAAGTTAAGGCTCAGCTTCATCTGAGCAGTAGCTTTTATAAGACTTAGGATTGTAAGCAAATTTATACTATGCTCTTCCCATACCAAATATATCTTTAATAATATCAGTTGTTATAGTCCTTCTTTGTTGCTTTGCTAGATGGGTTATGAAAGGAAAGCAATATACTATGGAAATAGTAAACTTTTTAATAAATTTAGCATCATCTGTTCAATAAGGCTTTATTACTCCCTCTCTATTTAGCATTTATTACTGCCTAGCATACACATAAGAGAAATATTCTGCTGTTATTTAACTGATTATCCATGCAAGCTTTTTTGTTTTAATTTACTGTTTTTCTTTTAAAAGAACTGCAAATTATATCGAAAGCTATTTACCCAATTTTGCTATAAATATTAACACAAAGGCAAAGGGATGGAATACTTATTTATTTGCAAGCTACATAAAAAAATATGCTATTGTTTTGCTAATTTTAACTATTCCCACTCATCCTTTTGTTTGTTGCATAATTCTATCACTTATTTTTGGATGCTTTGGATTATACATCTTATATTTTAGATTTTTTAACAGTAAATTTATCAATTTATACAAAATAATTTAAGAGTTTTTAATCTTCGTTACAATAATTCTGCTTATAATATGCTTTAAGAAGTAATAGGATATTTTAAATTAAGATGCAATATCTGATAAGGATCTAAAAAGTGTAGATCAATTTAGTTTGATAGTAATAATAATGCTAGTAGTTTGTTTAATGATGAGCTTTATCTTGTTCTTAATAAGATTAATAATCTCAATAGTAGAAATTTTATATAAACTAAAATAATATTTGACAAAAAGAAACGAATAAGAGTAAAGTACTGAATCGCTTGATTAAATATTAGAATAAGTTAACTCATTTTAATAAAAATAAGAGCTATTTAACAAAGTTCAAGTAAGGAAAAAAAATTTAAACATAAAATGACAACCATAAAAAAATTGATTTCGAATAATGAAATAATATTCGGAATTTAAATATTCAAATATAATATTTTTATTATTATATTAATAATTTAACAAATTTATAGCTTTAAAAATTATTATAAATATAATTCATAAATTAGAAAAAAGTAGATAATATAAATATATTTCCTTAGTAATTCTAAAGTTTTTTTTATAATTAGAAATTTAAAATAAAATTTAATGAAATGATTATAATAAAGGAAATTTTTATTTATTAGAATTTAGACATCTAAAAATTTGATTTTTAATTTTTACTCAATATAGCACAAAAAAATAACTTAATAGTATTTTAGATTAATAATTTTTATTTTTTATCTTTTATTGACTAAATGTCCTCTAAATTAAGCTTATTTAATCAAAAAGATATTTTTCTTTAAATATTTTGATTTGATAACAAGATATATTTTGTCTGAATATCCAATATATTTTTTAATTTATTATCTTTCTTAAATTTACTATTAATAAATAGCTTAATGTGCATACTTGAATGTCAAAAATGACGATTATCAATATTTTGATTGATAAATACAATAATTTTGTAAAAATATTTTGTTCATATTAATCCTTTATTAAATGGATATATTGACCTAGAATTTAATTATCTGTAAGGAATAAATTAATAAAGATTTATTTTTTTAGTTTAGTATACTCTTCTGGAGGGTTTTTGAGTGTTTTTATAGGTGACGTGTAGGGTTATCGGTTTTGGTTTTTGAAAAATACAGTAAAAAAAATAGAGAGTTGAAAATATAATTTTAAAATAATTTTTTTAAATTTTACATGGTGTAAACATATATACCTTATAACTAGTTTATAAAAAATGATTGAATATTTGAATCTTGTTTTTATTCTCAACTTGATTTATTTAAATAAGATAATAATAATTAAAAGAAAAAAATCTTTAGTTTATAACTAATAAAATTCGAAAATATTTGGGATCTTTTATTTATTCATTCAAGAGCTTGCAGTGAATTATTTAATTTCAGGTAGATTTTGATTTATAAAAAAATAATTAAATAATTCAATAATTGGATGTTAATAAATTAACAAAATAAAATTCAAACTCAATTATTATTAGCTGAGTATCTTGTAAACTTATTTCAAATATCTATTTATAGTTTAGTAAGTAAAATAGAATATAAACTTACAAAATATTAAAGAATAATCAAATTAATTCTTATTTTAATTGATAAATTAGAAATTTATCTTCTTTATCAATTCATAGAATCATGGTAGATGTATATTTGATGTGTATGACTTTAATTTAAATAATAAATTAATATTCATTTACTATTTCTTTATCACATAATATATATGTTTTTGAAAATCTTATGTTACAGTTTATACTTTTTTATGAAAATAATTCCTTTCAATAACTGAAATATCCTTTAACTTGATTTAAAAATTTATTTTTTTTAATATATGTAATTTTTTAATGAAACCTTTAGTATTATAATATTATAAAAAATTTTTTTTTATGTATCACCGATTATGGTTGTCATTTGCTACTTTCAGAAAAAATTTATTATTGTTATTAATTATTAATTTATTACTAAAATAGAGCCAGCTTGCAGATTATTTAGATTTTTAATCATTCATTTAATTAATTTTTTTATAAAAAATACAAAATAAATTAATATTTTCGTATGTAAATCAACCTTTTTATTGTTTTCCTTAACTTACAGAGAAAAATCTATTTACTTTTTACCATATTTTTTTGTTTACAAATATAAAAAAGCAATAAGTCCTTAAAAATATAAATAAGGTAATGCTTTATTGAATAATTATAATTAAATATTTAGTTTAATCGAAATTCAACTTTTGTAAATATATTTCACCATAACTTCTCACTTACAAATATATTTTTTACTAGTAATTAAATAAGATTGTTTTTTTAATCTGAATATAAAATGTATGGAATTTTTCTACTAATTTACAAAACAAAAACTTTTATGGATAGTTCATTGATGAATTAAGTTATATTTGAAATAAATTAAATCAAAATATCAAATATTATTAAACAATTAATTCGCTATTTATCATTAAAAATGTTACAGAGTAAATTGAGAATTTACTCATGGTGCATATCTCTTTAAATTGTCATATATGCATAATTATATGCTAGTTATGCATGCGATTTCTCATAAATGAATTAACTGCATGAATTTATTAGTAATAACTCGAAAATAGCTAAATAAACCTTAGATTTATATATCCATTAGGAGCAATTAGAAAACATGGTAGCTTATTAGGTTGAAATTCTCTAAAAAATTTTAGGTTTTACTGAAAAAAATCAACTAAATATTTTATATTTTGAAGATTAAAGCTAAAACTGTAGGTAAATATTATTTTTTTATACTTTAATAATGGAATAATGAATAAGTTCTATTTTAAAATTATTTAGAAGAAGTATTTATTTTATTTATATACATAAGAAGTGAATTTTTATTATTCCTTTTTTCTTATTTTATCTATATTAATTACTTTCTAATCCATCCGAAAGGTTTTTCTCAATCTTATAATCAGTTGAAAATTAATAATAAAAACAATATTAATTACTAACAAGCTAATTATAGAAAAACTTTAGAAATGTTTTTAAGTTTTTAGTTGATAATAACATAAAATTCTTTCTACTAATAAATATTAATTTATTTAATCTAAAATCCTTAATTTTTTTTCAATAAAAATTATTTTCCAAAATAAAAAAATAAAGTTTTTAAGATGCTAAATTTAATTTATTAATTTTAAAATTAATTTTAATTTTAACTTTTTTTATTTTTAATTAGCAATGAAAGTTAATCTAGTTTTATTGGTATCTATTAAAACCAAGAACAATAAATCTATTGTTATAAGGGATTTTTTATTGTTGTGTTTAAAAATCCATAAAAAGATGAGAGCAATTTTATTTAAACTTTGTTTAAAAATTGTACAATTAACATAATGATGGTATCTGAAAACTATAATTTAATTTAAAACAAAGGCTTAGAGCAAAACAAGTAAAATAAATATAAAATATTTTCTTTTTTCTTAATTAATAAATATTTAAACTATAAAAAGAATTTAAATTGAGCTGATTAGCATTTTTGACTTTGTTGATTAAAATGAATTAATGTTAGCTCTTTAAAAAGTGATAGAATATTTATAATGTTAGATTTCTTCAAATAATAATAATTACTTTAGGAACTTAAATTACTTTATTAAAAAAAATAAAATTAGAATACTTCCTTAATGTGATGTAAATAATTGTTCTAAATGTGCTCCTGGTTAGAAAAACACATGTTCTGATTGCAAAAAAGATTTTGCTTTAGTCTCTACTTCAAGCTGTTCAAAATGCGGATCTGGTTAATAATTTTAATCTACTTCTTAACCTTGTATTTAATGTCCTTTTTATTGCACTACTTGCAATAACTCTTCTACTTGCACTGAATGCAATCCTAACTATTAATTAGATTCTTCTAAAAACTGTCAGCCTTGCAAACTTACTAATGGAGAGTACTATGATTCTAAATAGAAGAAATGTGGTAGTTGTCCTACTTATTGCTAATAATGCAGCAGTTCTTCAAATTGTTCTGTATGTTAACCAGGCTATTCGTTAAACTCTTAAAAAAATGGTTGCTAAATTTGTTAAACAAATTAAGGTTAGTTTATTGATCCCAGTAATTAAACATGCGGTCAATGTTCTTCTTAGTGCTTAAAATGTACTAGCCCTACAAATTGTACTGAATGTTAAGCTAATTATTAAGTAAATGCTTCAAATAATACTTGTTAAGCTTGTTAAATAAGTTAAGGCTAATATTATGATTCTTCTGCTAAAAAATGCACCAATTGTTTTTTAAATTGTTTATAATGTACCAACTCATCAAATTGTCAATTATGTAAACCTGGATACTATCCTAACTCCAATTAATGCTCTCAATGTAATAACTAGTGTCTGACTTGCAATGGACCAAATTAAAATAATTGCCTTTCTTGTAATAGTGGACTCTATTTATACACAAATAATTCAACATGTTAACCTACTTGTAATACAGCAGGAGGCTATTTCATAAATTAAAATACATGCTCCCCATGTGATTAAACTTGTGCTACTTGTAACGGATCTTCTAGTACTCAATGCATTACTTGTGCAACTGGATATTACAAATACGGTGCAGATAATCTTTGTAAAACATGCCCACCTAATTCTACTTAAACTGTACTAAGCAATTGCCAAAGCTCTTCATTGCAATGCCTCCTTAATAACCAAACAAAAAAATATGAATTAACTAATGTATGTTCTGTTTGCAACTAAGGATACACTTTAAGTAACAATATTTGCATAGATAGCTGCTCTCTAATTACCTAGAATTACTATTATCATTTAAGTACTAATTAATGTAAATGTTCTTCTAGCTATTTGTACAAGCACATAAGAAAAGACAATTCTGTATTTTGTAGTAATCAATAGTAACCAGGATATTATTGTGATACCGATTAAATCTGTAATGTGTGCAAATAACTAAATTGTTAAACATGCCCTGACTAAAATACTTGTACATTATGTAATAATGGATATTATCTCTGGCTAAATCAGTGCCTTTAGTCATGTTCTTCCTCTCAAAATTTGCAAATTTCTAGCTCTTAATCACAGTGTGAATGTGCTTAAAATTATATTCTTATCACCCCAGACAATATTTGTGTTATTAAGTTGAGTATAACTTCAATTAATCTCTCTAAAGATTCTCAATACAATGTGATAACAGTTATTTTTAATAGAGTACCTTATCCAAATGAAACAAATGGGATTAGTATACAATTAGATCCTGGCAAATTAATTTTGAATACAGATTATCGAATTGTATCATAACAACTGATTAGTAACACAGTTGTTTTTAATATATCTGTCGAATAAAATAGAAGAGTTAATTAAATAGTAGTCTCTTACAATAATCAACAAACTACATTCTAATTATAAAATGCTATTCTCACTACAAGTACTTATAACAATTCTCAGCAAAGTGTTTAGGGAAAAATTGATAGTGCTTCAAGCGCTAGCAAGGCTCTTACTTCTGGTTAAGGAAATGGCTATAGCATAATTCTCATACTCAAAAAATTCTAAATTTTGTGTTTCCTTTCAAATTTTATTTAATTTTTTGGACCATTAGTTTTATTTAAAAACTATCTACCTCAAATAGTTTATGTAGGAACAATTCTAGCATCTTCATTTATATTTACTTCTATCCCTGATGCTAGTTAATTAGATGCAAATAGTTAAAGTGATAGCACAAGTTAAGGCTCAACTTCATCTGAGCAGTAGCTTTTGTAAGACTTAGGATTGTAAGCAAATTTATACTATGCTCTTCCCATACCAAATATATCTTTAATAACATCAGTTGTAATAGTCCTTCTTTGCTGCTTTGCTAGATGGGTTATGAAAGGAAAGCAGTATACTATGGAAATAGTAAACTTTTTAATCAATGTAGCATCATCTGTTCAATAAGGCTTTATTACTCCCTCTCTATTTAGCATTTATTACTGCCTAGCATATACATAAGAGAAATATTTTGCTGTTATTTAATTGCTTATCCATGCAGCCTTTTTTGTTTTAATTTACTGTTTTTCTTTTAAAAAAGATGTAAATTATATTGAAAGTTATTTACCCAATTTTGCTTTAAATATTAACACAAAGGCAAAGGGATGGAGTACTTATTTATTTGCAAGCTACATAAAAAAGTATACTATCATTTTACTTATTTTAATGATTCCCAGCCATCCTTACGTTTGTTGCATAGTCATATCAATTACTTTTGGGTGCTTTGGATTATACATTTTATATTTTAGATTTTTTAACAGTAAATTTATCAATATTTACAAAATAATTTAAGAGTTTTTCATCTCTGTTACAGTAATTCTGTTTATGGTTTGCATAAAGAAGTAATAAGATATTTTAAACTAAGATACAATATCTGATGATGACTTGAAGAAAGTAGATTAATTTAGCTTAATAGTAATAATTATGCTTGCAATCTGTTTAATGATGAGTTTCTTCTTATTCTTAATTAGATTGGTAATCTAACTTGTAGAAATTTTTTAAAAACTAAAAAATTATTTGACAAAAAAAAATGAAAAAGAATAGCTAACTGAGTCATTTGATTAAATCTTGGAATAATTTAACTCATCTAAATAAAATTTAGTTTTTTATAACAAAACAAAAGTAAGAAGAGAAAGTTTGAACTAAAAAGAGCAACCCTAAAAAATAGATTTAGAATAATGAAACGATGATTCCTAAATTTAGATACAAACAATAAATTTAAAATAATTTCTTTATAAAAATTTACCAATTTAAAAAATTTATTACTTTCTATATAAAAAAGCATTAAAAAATTTAACAAAGCTACTTTATAAAATTAACTTTTATTAACAAATAAAAATATGTATTAAAATGTAAGTTTAGGATATTAGTAATAAAAAATTTAAATAAAATATAATTTAATAAATTTGAAATGAATATTAAGTAAGGGTGTTATAATTTTACTTTTTAATTAATTTTGCAGATTAAAAAATTAATTTATATTATTAATCACATTTTATTCATTTAATTTTTTAAAAGCTTACTAAAGTTGTTAAAATTAAAATAAATTCAAAAATTTATAAATTATTTTTTTATATAATAGTAATCCTCTTTAATTAATATCTTTCACATCATATCATTTTTGTGAAATAAATTCGAATTAATTTTAGGAAAAATATTGAATTTTTATTAAAAAAATTTTAAACCCTTGTTTTTAATTCACAGAAATTAATTTTAGATTATGAAAAAGAACAGCATCAATTATTTAAAAAATAATTTCAATACTTTTTTTATTTACTAATTAAAAGAAATTACCATTTTTTAAAGATAAATTTTACATTTTAGAACCTACTTAAATTAAACATATAATAAGAATATATTAATTAAATAAAAAATCCAAAATGATTTTTCAAATCTTTCATATTCTTTTTTTATTGTATTAAAGTTGTATGTTTGAATATAAATTAATTTAAGTAAACTCCTTTATAGATATAAAAGCTTATTCTAAAATAATCACAACCAGCTGCCTTATACGCTAAATAATTATTTCAGTATTAATAACGATTATTTTAGAAAACAAATTCAGAATTATTTTAAAATAGGTTATTTTTACTAATTTCATTCCAGTTATTACAAAGTTTATTAAATAATACAGCTTTTCATCATTAATTTATTTATTTTATTATAGAAAAATATATATTTTATTAAGAACTTACTTGATAAATTATTTTTCTATAAATCTAAAGATAATTATTGCAAGTATAATTTACTTCCTAAATTTATCTAAACTATAATAACTCCTTAAAAAAAATTATCTCTTTCATAATTGCTTAAAAAATAAATAAATGAGCAAATAATTAATTATTTTTGTAAATTTTTAAAATTTAATGAATTTAAGAGTATGAAAGATTGTATGGATGGAGAGATAAAAATATATTCCTTTAAAAAATAAATTATATAATTAAGTAAATTCTTTTGATGGTATGAAGAAGCTTGTTTCTAATAAAAATTTTTATTATACTAGCAGCTTACTGGTTTTGAATTAAAAATTCTTTATTGCGCTGATAAATTCAATCATTTTCTTGAATTACTTTTTCTACTTGAATTATTAAAAATAAATTCGTAAATGATAAATTTTCCTTTTATAATAATTTAATTAATAAGTAGAAGTTAAAATTTTAGAAAATAAAATAAAAAGAGATATTATTAATTGACTTTAAATATACAAACTATTATAATTGATGGGTTTTGCTAATCTTGACATTTTTTCATAACATTTCTACTTTAATATTGAAAAAAAACAGATAAAGAAGAGCACGCTAATTGGATTAATTTCCACTGTAGTCGTTTTAATTGCTGCAGCAACCTACTATATATATTTGCTCGATTTATACATAAATAATGAAATAGATCCTATCTATAGATCTCAGAATGTCATAACTTCAGAAAGAATAGATATCAATCTAGAAGATAACCTTATAGCATTTAGATATGAATATGACTACAACAAAGGCATAGATTTATTGGAAGCTTAAAACAATAAGACATACTTGGTAAATTATGCTTATTTCTACTACTCTGATAGATTTAGTAATTAGCAAGTAACTTTGGATGTAATTGAATGCACAGACTCTAACTTAATTGGGTTTCACTGCATTGATTTTTCAAATCTTAAGAATTACACTTTAACTCTAAGTAATATTGAAAGTATTTACTCTTATATAGGAATTATGACTTATGGATGCTTAGACTTAGACAGTGTTAAAACTACAATTCCTTCAAATTGCGCTTCTTAATAAGAAATTGATTAAATAATAAATGGTATGAATTCAGGTTTGAGGTTAAAATTACTATCATCCTAGTTTAACACTTCTAAGAAGCAAATGTAAGTTACCTACAGAAACTAATTCATTTATACCGCAGCTAATCAACTTATTTAAACAAACATAAAGACTTAGAAATAGGTAACTACAGTAAAGGAAGGAATGCTCATTTTATAATCTACAAATTATTCTTCACCCATCTAATACGATGTCTTCTTGCAAAGCTATGATAGGTAGTATAGCATTACAAATATCAATTGCTCTGGATATAGCTTTGTTCTAATAAATGTTGATGAAATTGTCTAGGAGATCATTGTTCAGTTTCAGACTATTCCAGAAATTATGGCTCTAGGAAATAGTATCTTAACACTTTTAATGTTCATAGGAGTTTTAGGAAAGTTTTATTCTTTCGACTCTATAAGAAAAGATTTTTTTATGCTAATCATGCAAAATTTATTTTAACAAAATTACATGAAAATTTTAAAGTCTTCGAAACCACAAGTTGAAGAGAAGTAAGAAAATTTTAAAGTGCCTTAAGTCAAAGCTAATAACGATACTAGCATTTAAAAAGAGAAATTAGATATAAGTGAATAAAAAGGAGAAGCTGATTATTTTAAAAATAGAAACTACTAATATTCCAGAACAACTAAGACAAAGATAGAAATAGATTTTCAATAAATAAAACAAAGTTTTAAAGAAAGAAATTTTTATGAAAAGTTGAGAAACTCAAATGTTTCTACACCAAGAGAAGCAAACACTCCTATAGGTAGGTATAAACTAGATAAGTATATGCAGAATTTTAAGGAATTATGCAGCCAAAAATATTCATAAATGATTTACTAAAATATTTTCAAGACAAGGTAAATTAATTCCTTTACAATTAAAAATAATTTATTTACTGATCAAATAAAAAAGGTTCCGTAAAAAGGAAGAATACCTTTAAAGTCAAGGACTTAGTAAGTAGTCTCAGAAATTTATAGAAGACTAATTAGTTAAAGACTTGAATATTTTTTAGCTCTATAAGGACATTTTATTTTTAAAAAAGGCTATTATGATCCTACTGGATAAATAGTAATTAGCCGCACTAAAACTTGTTGGATGCTCATAAAAATTTTTAGAAACTTAAAAGGATAATATAGATAGCGGTATAAGCTTTCAATGTAAATAAAACAAAATTCAATAAATTTTAACTTCCTTTTATAAACTATTTTGATTTTTAAAAAGCAAACGATTGTAAATTGAGCCATTTCGAGGAGTAATATGCTGTTCTAATATCTGAAGATCTTTAATTATAGAGTATCTAACAATTCATCTAAAAGTGCAAATCTGAAAAGTATATAAATGAGATTGATAAAAGAATATTATCTTCGATATCTTGATTATCAAATAAAAATATTTAATATTTATTCAGTTTTTTTAATTTTTATGATAATTTTTTTATGTTTATATTATAATTTTTTTATGAATTATATTTAATCACCTTAAAAATTTTATTTTCAAATTGTTATTTGAATAATTAATTAATATTTTGGTTCCTTTAAATAAATAAAAAATATTAAACCCTGATTTTTTATTCATAGAAATTAGTTATGAAAAAAAACAGTATCAATTCTTTAAAAAATAATTTTAATACTTTTTTTATTTATTAATTAAGCAAATTATCATTGTTAGTTTTTAAGATAAATTTTACATTTTACAAGTTAAGTAAATTAAAAATATAATAAAAAATTTTTAATTAAATAAAAAATCCAAAATGATTTTCAAATCTTTCATTTTCTTTTTCTATTGTATTAAAGTTGTATTTTTGAATAAAAATTAATATTTTATATTAATATATTAAGTTATATTAAGTGAGTGTAAATTATTTTTACCACGAAATAATTAATTTAAGTAAATTCCTTTGTATAAATAAAACCTTATGCTAAAATACGCACAACCAGCCTTAAATGCTAAAGAATTCTTTCAGTAATAATAACGATTATTTTACAAAATAAATTCAGAATTGTTTTTAAATAAGTTCTTTTTACTAATTTCATTCTAGTAATTGCAAACCTTATTATTAATAATACAACTATCATCATTAGTTTATTTATAAAAAAATATGTATTTTATTATGAACTTACTTGATTAATTATTTTTCTATAAATATTAAGAAAATTATTGCAAATATTGTTTACTTCCTAAATAAATTTATCTAAACTATAATAACTCCTTCAATGATCAATTCTCTCTTTCATAATTGCTTAAAAATAAATAAATGAGTAATTAATTCTCTTTGTAAATTATTTAAATTTAATGAATTTAACTATGAAAGATTGTATGGAGGGAGAGATAAAAAATATATTTCTTTAATAAATGAAACATATAATTTAGTAAATTGTTTTGATGGTACGATGATGACTCTTTTATTTTTTTATTATACATGCAGCTTTACTGATTTTAAATTTAAATTTCTTTAGGCATTTATAAATTCAATAAATTATTTATTTAAATTCCTTATTGTACTTGAATTATTAAAAAAAAAAAAATTTGTTAATGATAAATTTTTCTTTTATAATAAATTAATTAATTAGTAGAAGTTCAATAATTAAGAAAATAAAATAAAAAGAGATATAATTAATTGATCTTAAATATACAAGCTAATTTAATTAATGGGTTTTGATAATCTTGACATTTTTTCATAGCATTTCTACTTTAATGTTGAAAAAAAAAAGATAAAGAAGAGCACGCTAATTGGATTAATTTCCACTGTAGTCGTTTTGGTTACTGCAGCAGCCTACTATATATATTTGTTGAATTTATACATAAAAAACGAAATAGATCCTATCTATAGATCTCAGAATGTCATAACTTCAGAAAGAATAGATATTAACCTTGATGATAATCTTGTAGCATTTAGATATGAATACGACTATAACAAAGGCATAGATTTATTGGAAGCTTAAAACAATAAGACATACTTGGTAAATTATGCCTTTTTCTACTACTCTGATAGTTTTGGTAATTAGCAAGTAACTTTGGATGTAATTGAATGCACAGATGCTAACTTAATTGGGTTTCACTGCATTGATTTTTCAAATCTTAAGAATTACACTTTAACTCTAAGTACTATTGAAAGCATTTACTCTTATATAGGAATTATTACTTATGGATGTTTAGACTTAGACAGTTATAAAACTACAATTCCTACAAATTGCGCTTCTTAATAAGAAATTGATTAAATAATAAATTCTATGAATTCAGGTATGAGGTTGAAATTGCTTTCATCCTAGTTTAACACTTCTAAGAAGCAAATGTAAGTTACCTACAGAAACTAATTCACTTTTACATCAGCTAATCAACTTATTTAAACAAACGTAAAGACTTAGAAATAGGTAACTACAGTAAAGGAAGGAATGCTCATTTTATAATCTACAAACTATTCTTCACCTATCTAATATAATGTCTTCTTGTAAAGCTATGATAGACAATATAGCATTTCAAATATTGATTTTTCTGGATATAGCTTTGTCCTAATAAATGTAGATGAAATTGTCTAATAAACCATTGTTCAGTTTCAGACTATTCCAGAAATTATGGTTCTAGGAAATAGTATTTTAACCCTTTTAATGTTCATAGGAGTTTTAGGAAAGTTTTATTCTTTTGATTCTATAAGAAAAGATTTTTTTATGCTAATCATGCAAAATTTATTTTAACAAAATTACATGAAAATTTTAAAGTCTTTGAAAATACAAGTTGAAGAGAAATAAGAAAATAATAAAACACCTGAGATCAAAGCTAATAACAATAATGGCACTGAATAAGAGAAATTAGATATGAATGAATAAAAAGGAGAATCTGATTATTTTAAAAGTACACAATACTAATAATCCAGAACAATTAAGACAAAGTTACAAATAGATTTTCAATAAATAAAATAAAGTTTAAGAGAAAATTATTTTTATAATAAAATAAGAAACTCAAATGTTTCTACATCAAGAGAAGCAAACACTGCTGTAGGTAGGTATAAATTAGATAAACATATGCAGAATTTTAAGGCAATATGCAGCTAAAAATATTCATAAATAATTTACAAAAATATTTTCAAGACAAGGTAAATTAATTCGTTTACAATTAAAAATAATTAATTTATTGATCAAATAAAAAAGGTTCCGTAAAAAGGAAGAATACCTTTAAAGTCAAGGACTTAGTAAGTAGTCTCAGAAATTTATAGAAGACTAATTAGTTAAAGACTTGAATATTTTTTAGTTCTATAAGGACATTTTATTTTTAAAAAAGGCTATTATGATCCTACTGGATAAATAGTAATTAGCCGCACTAAAACTTGTTGGATGCTCATAAAATTTTTTAGAAGCTTAAAAGGATAATATAGATAGCGGTTTAAGCTTTCAATGTAAATAAAACAAAATTCAATAAATTTTAACTTCCTCTTTTTAATTATTTTGGTTATAAAAAAGCAAACGAAAACAAATTGAGTCATTTTGAGGAGTAATATGCTATTCTAATATCTGAAGATCTTTAATTATAGAATATTTAATAATTTATCTAAAAGTGCCAATCTGAAAAGTGTATAAATGAGATTGATAAAAGAATACTATCTTCGATATCTTGATTATCAAATAAAAATATTTAATGTTTATTCAGTTATTTTAATTTTATGATAATTTTTTTATGAGTCTTACTTTAATATTAACTTTTTGGTGAATATTTCTGAATATAATCTAAAAATTATTACTTTTCTTTGTTTGTTTTTTAATTTTTTAAAATTTAACTCTTTATAATTTATTTATTTTTTGAATATTTATCAAAAATAATTTTTATAAAAATTTTTTATGAACTATATATATTTAATCACCTTAAAAAGTAAATTTTTTAATTAAAATTATTATTTAAAAACTTTAATTAATAATTTGATTCTAATTAATTAAATTTTGATAAATTACTTTTAAATAGCCTTAAAAAAAAAAAAATGATATTGTAGAATAAATATTATGATAACCTTTAAAATGTAATATTTTATTTTTTAGCAATAATCCTTTAATTTATTTTAATAAATAAAAAAGTTTTTAAACTCTTCTCTTTATACTCATTCTATTCTCCATATCGATCTAAAGTAATTTAAATTTATTACTATAAATCTTAATTTATTCATCTTTATTTATCAAATTTAAAATATTTTTTTTGGAATTAATATTCTGGCTGGTCTACATTCTTATTTATTAAAGTGAATATATTTTATTAACTATTTTATATTCATAAATTAATTAATATGATTGTCTTTAATATTTTTAAAGTTCCAATAAAATTGGCGATGATGGAGTATCAAGCTTAGGCTCTGCATTATAAAAATGTGATAATCTCTCAAATTTGACACTTAGTCTTAAGTAAAAACAGTTTATTTATTTTAGATTATGATATTTTTTAATAAAAAATAGAATTTAAAAAAAAACTATTTTAATTTATTTATTTATTTATTAGCTTTTATTTTATTTATTTACTTTACTATTATTATTATTTTCCTTTATTTGTGATAATTTTAATTAATTTCTAAATATTTAACTTTAGTTAGAAATATTTCTTATTTTGTTAAATTTTTCTTTTTACAAACAAACAAACAAATTAACTAACTAATAATATTTTCTTAAATATTTGAAAAGTGGAAATTAAATTGGCTATCAAGGCACATTAAGCATATGTTCTGCTTTAGAACAGTGTACTTAGCTATCTAATTTGACAATTTATCTTGGGTAAAAATAGTTTATTTATTTTCATGTGATTTTTTTAATATAAAAATGAAATTAAAATAATAAAACTCATTTATTTGATTTGATTATTTATTAACTTTTTGTTTAATTTTTACTTTTATTATTGGATTATAAATATATATTTTGTTTTTCTTAATTTTGCTCATTTTTTAACTTTCTGATTTTTATTTGATTATTAAATTATTTACTATCATTTCAAATATTTATTTCATTTTATACTTCAAACTTGTTTTATTTTCTTCAATTTCTAAAAAAGTTGGAATAGAATCTAGGATGAAGATGCATCTAACTTAGGTTTTGCTCTAGCAAAGTGCTCTAATATCTCAAATCTCGCACTTTATCTACAGTAAAAATATTTTATTTTATATTATTTTATTTATTTATTATTTATTTTACTTGCTTTTTTAATTGGTTGTGATTATATTTTCTTTTAATTTAGCTCATTATTTGATTTTTTACTTAAGTAATTATTTAATTCTTTGTTGTTTCATATCTTTATGTGTTTTTTTCTTTCTCATTAACTAATTATATTTTCTTCAATAATTAAATAGTTCCAACAAAATAAGTGATGAAGGTGTGTCAAGCTTTTCTTTTGATATAGCAAATTTCCCTAATATTTCAAGTTTGGCACTTAGTTTTGGGTAAAAATAGTTTTATTTGTTTTAGATTGTGATTCTTTTAATAAAAAAATAAATTTAAAATTGCAAAAATATTTTAAATTTTTTATTAAATTTAATTGCTTTTTTATTTTGATTGCTCATTTTTTCTCTTAATTAGTTCTAACTAGCTAATTAAATTTTATTCTATATTTAAAAAGTGATAATTACATCAGTGCAAAAGGTGCATTAGGTTTAAGTCATGCTATAGCAAAGTGCACTAATCTCTCAAACTTGACACTTGATCTTTGGTAAAAAACATTATTATAATAAATTTAGATATTTTTTAATATAAAAATTAATTTATAACATTAAAGCTAATTTAATTTATTTATTTATTAGCTTTTTTTTATTTTATTGATTTTGCCTTTTGTTCTCTTAATTTTATTTACTTTTTAATTTTCAATTTTTTCTTTGATTATTGTTATATTCTCTTACATTGTAACTTGCGATTAGCAAAAATTAAAGAATTTAGAATAAATATGCCTGTTTTTGATAACCTTTGTGATTTAGGAGGTAGAAAGAAATAATAAGTTTTAAATATTTTTTCTAAAACCAATCTAAATTAATTAATGACCTCTACAAGGTTTAAAGAAGTATCGATTAGCTAACCCCTCTTCCTAGTTTCATTTTTTACTTATTTTTATGTTTTCTTAAATGGGAATACAGCTTTATATATAGAATCAGTTTTAAATTTTTATTGCTTGATATGTTTTCTACTTTTTTTCAATTAAGTAATTATTTTTTGTTAAATATTTAAAAGTGGAAATTAAATTTGTGATGAAGGTTCATCAGGATTAAGTTTTGTTTTAGCAAAATGCACAAATCTTTCAAATTTAACACTTTATCTTAGGTAAATACTTTTTATTTGTTTGAATATAATATTGATGTGTTTTAAAATATAATGAATTAAATATAATAAAACTTTTTAAATTTTTTTATTCTTTTTTTAATTGATTATTTATTTTATTTGGTTGTGCAATTTTCTCTTTAAATTTTAACTTTTGCTTAATTATATTTTCTACAATCTTTAAAAAGTTCAAATAGAATTGGTTCGAAAGGTGCATCAGACTTAGGTTTTGCTTTAGTAACCTTCGCTAATCTCTAAAATTTAACACTTTATCTTAGGTAAAAAGAGTTTATTTATTTTAGATTGTGACATTATTTAATATAAAAAGGAATTAAAAAATAAAACTATTTTTACTTATTTATTAGTTTTTTATATTTTTTCTATCTCTATTAATTTAACTCATTTTTAAATCTTGAACATATGCTTTTATTATTACATCATAAATATTCGTAATTATTCTTCAATAATTCCATCTATATAATTGTTTTTATTATCTTCAACATATATAAAGTTAGAATAAAATTGGTGATGAAGGTGCATCAAATTTAGGTTTTGCTTTATCAAAGTGCACTAATCTCTTAAATTTGACACTTAGTCTTGGGTAAAAGCAGTTTTTTATTTTGGGTTATGATATTATTACATATAAAAATGAATTTAAATTAATAAAACTCTTTTAATTTACTTAATAGTTTATTCTTTGAGTTATTTATTTTTATTATGATTTTTTATTTTTTTAAATTTTTTTATAAATTTCACTTTTAAAAAATTTAATTTCTATTAATAGATACAACTAAATCAATGAATCCAAATAAATGAAAGTTAATAAAAGATGTATTAAATCTAAAAGATTAGTTGTCTTTGAAAATTAATGATTCTTAATAAATGATGAAATAGAATAAGTAAATTAAAGATATATTTTAATAATTAGATATAATATATTTTATTTTATAATTTCATATTTTGCAATAAAATATTGTAAAAGATAACATATCTTACCTTTTAATACAAAAATTTACTATTTTTTAATTAATAATATGGTAAGAGATATTTATTCAAAATTTCTTACATTTATGCAAGTTTTTTAATAGTATAAAATCTATGTTATTACATATATATATTTATTTTTTAAAATTACTTTAAATAATTATATAAACCTATTTGAAATTATTTATTATCATGATTACAAATTTTGATTTCTGAATTTAGCGATAAATTGGCAAAATTTTAAATAAAGTAAATCAGCTTTTGTTCTGAATTAGTTTCAAATCATTTTTATTTGAAAATAAAGCAAAAAAAAAAATTAGTTGATTATTTTATCATTAAATTTAGTAATTATTAAGTTAGTAGAAGTAATACTAAAAATTAAAAACTTGAGAAAACAAAGGGATTCTAAATTTTTTTAGCAATTATTATGGGCTTTTCTTAGTTTGATATATTTTCACAAAATTTCTTCTTCAATATTGATAAAAACTAGATTAAATAGAGTACATCTATTGGAATTATTTCAAGCCTGATAGTTTTAACAATTGCTGCTTCCTATTATATTTATCTACTTAATTTATATTTCACAAATTAAATAGATCCCATTTATAGATCTCAGAACATTATCACTGAAGAAATGATAGATATCAGTTTAGACTCAAATCTTGTAGGATTTAGATATGAGTATGATACTAATAAGAGCATAGACTTATTGTAAGCTTAGAATAATAAAACTTATATTGTTTAAATTGCTTAGTTTTATTATGCTGATGGCTAAAATAACTCATAGGTAGTTCTAGATATTGTAAAATGCACAAATCCTAATTTTATTGGCTATTATTGCATAGACTTTTCTAGTATTTAGAATTAGACTTTGACTCTAAGCACTGCTTAAGATATTTTATCTTATGTAGCAATAATTTTTTATGGATGCTTAGATCTTGATATGTACAAGACTACTATTCCAAATAATTGTGCAAGTCAAAGTGAAATTGATTAAGTCATGAATAGCTTTAGTTCTGGAGTCAGACTAAAACTATTTACATCTTAGTTTAATACGGTGACAAGGCAAGCATAGGTGAAATACAGAAATTAATTTATTTATACTTCAGCAGATCAACTTGTTTAGACAATTCTTAAGGCATAAAAGTAAGTAACATCAGTTAAATAAGGACTTTTGATATAAAATTCAACAGAATTTTCTTCACCGATTCAATATAATCCATTTTAATAGACATACGATAGGTAGTATAGCATTAAAAATTTAAATTATTCAGGTTACAGTTATGTTTAAATCTAAATGGATGAAATTATGGAAGTAATCAAAATATAATACCCTACAATTCCTTAAATTTTAGCTCTTGGAAATAGTATTTTGACACTTTTAATGTTTGTTGGAGTTTTAGGAAAGGTTTGTTCTGCTAATTCAATAAAAAATAATTTTTTTGTACTTCTAATGCAAAATCTATTTTAAGAGAGTTACATGTAAATCTTGAAAATTAACAAATTAATACAAAACAAATAAAATACATTTAATGAAGAATAAATAAAAAGTCTAAGAAATAATTTTACTTAAAAAGTTGAATTTGAGTTAAGTGAATATAAAGAGGAAAATGAAACCATCTAGAGTAATAAATACAGACCTTAAATGATAAAAACAAAATAGTTTGTTGATTCATAAAATCTAAAATAAGATTTAAAAAATCAATTTGCCTATCAAAATTTAAGAAGATCAACTATCAATTCTCCAAGAGAAATAAAAAGTTTTCAAGAAAGATTGAATTTGAGTAAACATTTATAGAACTTTAAATATATATTCAATCAAAAATTTTCAAAAATAATTCATATGAACATTTTCAAAACCAAGTAAATTAAAATTCCTATTGAAATAAATAATTTTTTTTAATAAAAAAAGGTGTTATAAAAAAAAAGATTATTTGTTAAGTAAAGGACTAGATTAATACACTAAAAAATTTATTGAAGACTAAATAAACAAAGATTTGAACATATTCGAAATTTATAAAGATATCATATTTTTGAAAAAGGCAATAATGATCTTATTGGATAAACAATAACTTGCTGCCATTAAGCTTGTAGGATGTTCTTAAGATTTTTTAGGTATCTAAAAGCATGCTGTGAACGCATTATAATAATTTTAAAGTAAAAAAAAAAAATATTATTTTATTTTATTCTATTAATTACTTATATTTAAACTAACATTAAATATCAAAAAAAGTAAATGAAAAAAAAATGAGCCATTTTGAAGAGTAATTTGCAAATTCTATTTCTGAAGAGCTTTAATACTAGAACATATAGTTATTTCTATTAAAATGTTAAAATTAAAATAATATCAATGAAATAGATAAAAGAATATTATCTTCTTTTTATTGAATAAGTTTTGATTACAAAACTATAAAATTAATATTAATTTTAGTGATTAATTTGTATTTATTTTATAATAATATTAATAAAAACATTTCTTTTTTGAAATATTTATCCTTATTTTTATTTTATAAGAAGATATGAATATCTTAAAATTTTAAATAATTTAAAAAAATGATAAAATGTAGATTTACTAAAATTAATAAAAACCCACTTTAACAAAATAATTTGTCAATTAAAAAGCCATCATCAAGAAAATGCAAAAATTTCTTATTGTATTAATTAAATAGATATTTTTTTAATGGAGATTGAAAGAATATTAAAAAATATAATGTTTTAGAATAGTAATTTATATTTAACAATTATGAAGCTTACAAAATAATCAATTTTTATTATTTTTACACTTTTATTCTTGTTTAAATTTATTATTTTACTTTTAAATAATTTGACAAATCAATATTACTAAGAAAAAATTAGATGAGTTTGTTGATATTTTATTATTCATTTTATGTTATTTAAATTTATTATTCATAAGTTAGTTTTTGATAAATTATAGAAGTAATATTAAAGCAAAAATATTTTAAAAAGTGTATTTTACTTTAAATTATTGACAGGTTTTAGTTGTTTAGATATCTTTTCACAACATTTCTACTTTAATGTTGATAAATAGAATATTTAAAAAAGTACATAGATTGGAACGGTTTCTACTTTTATTGTCATTGTTACTGCTTCTTCCTACTATATAAATATTCTTAATTTATACATCAATAATTAAATAGATCCCATTTACAGATCTCAGAGCATCATAACTTAGGAAAGAATAGAGATAAACTTAAATTCTAATTTATTTGGATTCAGATATTTATTAAATGCCAATATAAGCTTAGATTAATTAAAATCTCAAAATAATAAAACTTACTTATTTAACTATGCATTATTCTATTATTCTGATAACTAAAATAATACATATATAAATCTTGATATAATAAAATATACAGATCCTAATTTAAGTGATTATTATTGTTTAGACTTTACCAAACTGCAAAATAATACTTTGGCTCTTAGTGTAGTTGATAATATTTACTCTTATATAGCAACTATTACTTATGGATGCTTAGACCTTGATACTATCAAAATTTCTATCCCAAATGACTGTGCAACTTAAAGTGAAATTGATTAAGTTAGAAATGGTTATAATTCAGGAATTAGACTTAAATTATTTACATCTGAATTTTATTCCAGTACAAAGAGTGAATAAGTCAAATACAGAAATTATTATTCATTCACTTAGGCAAATCAAATTGCTTTTACAACATTTAGGATATAAAAATAAGATACTATAGTAAATTAAGGAATTTTAATATAATAACAGTCACAATTTACTTCGCCTATCCAATATAATTCCTTTTACTAAAATTTTGATAGGTAATATAGTATTCAAAATAACATTTAGTCTGGTTATATATTTGTTAAAATAGAAATGGATGAAATTATTTAATAGATATAGATTAACTTTCCAACTATCTCTGAAATATTAGCTCTTGGAAACAGTATTTTGACTGTTTTAATATTCATTGGAATGTTCGTAAGATTTTCTTCTTTTAAAAAAATAAGAAATGATTTTTTTATACTTTTAATGAACAATTTATTTTAAGAAAATTATATGTACATTTTAAAAATTAACAAACTTATTGATAAAAAAGTTATTAATTAAGAAAAAAATAAATCTTCAATAAAAAAAATCCTAATATTTAAAAACAATGGTTAGATGATTACTAATATAAAGATGATATTGACAACTTTGTAAATTAAAGGTATAAGTCTTCGAGAATAAAAACAAAGAAATTGAGCAATAAAAAACTAAATCAGAAATAAAAAATAATTTTGCTAATTAGAATTTAGTAATTTCTAATAAAAAATCATCATAATAAATCAAATAATAAAAAGAAAAACCTAATTTGAAAAAAGAATCATATAATTTTAAGGCTATTTTAACCAAAAGTTTTCATAGGTCATTTATAAAAATTTATTCAAAATCAAGTAAGTTAACTTTTATTTTCCTTATTAATAATTATTGGCTTTTAAAAAAGGTAAAAAAAGGAGATATTAGAATATTTAAAATTCTTTAAAAATGTTAAAATGAGTCGGACATGAATGAAGTAGATAAAATAATATTATCTTCAATTTATTGAGTATCTTATAATTAAAAGTTAAAATTTATTTCTTTTAATATCTTAAAATAAAAATTTAAATTACATATTAATTAATAATAAGTAAGTAATTTCAAATAATAAAACATTTTTTTTAAAAGAATTTTTTTATAATTTATTTTTAATTTGTAAAAAAAATTTTATTTTAGAAATTATTATATTAATTTTGATAAGTCTTGGGCAATAATGAAAAATAAAAATTACATATCCTACATTTTAATACAAGTATTTAACGTTTTTTTAATTTGACAGACAGATAAAAAGTAATGCTAGAGATATATTTATATTTTTGTTGTTGTATTTTTTACTTTATTCAAATTTTTTAATGATAGAGAAATGTTATTACATAACATTTTTAAAAATTACATAAATAATTTTTTAAATCTATATGAAATTACTTATATTTGTAATTAATAATTTCACTATTTAAATACAGCTATAAATTCGCTAAAATTTAAATAAAGTAAATGAGCATTTTTATGAATTACTTTCTTATCATTTTTATATTGAAAATAAAGCAAAAATAAAATTTTTTTAATTATTTTACGATTAAATTTAGTAATTATTAATTTAGTAGAAGTAATTCTAAAAATTAAAAACTTGAGCAGACAGACAAAGAGATTAAAAATTTTTTAGCTATTTGATGGGTTTTTCTTAGTTTGATATATTTTCTCAAAGTTTCTCCTTCAATATTGATAAAAACTAGGTAAGATAGAGCACATCTATTGGAATTATTTCAAGTCTAATAGTTTTAACAATTGCTGCTTCCTATTATGTTTATCTACTTGATTTATATTTCACCAATTAAATAGATCCAATTTATAGATCTCAGAGCATTATCAATGATGAAATAGTAGATATCACCTTGGATTCAAATCTTGTAGGATTTAGATATGAGTATGATACTAATAAGAGCATAGACTTATTGTAAGCTTAGAATAATAAAACTTATATTGTTTAAATTGCTTAGTTTTATTATGCTGATGAATAAAATAGCTTTTAGGTAGATCTAGATATTGTTAAATGCACAGATCCTAATTTAATTGGCTATTATTGCATAGACTTTTCTAGCATTTAGAATTAGACTTTAATTCTAAGCACCTCTGAAAATATTTTATCTCATATAGCAATAAATATTTACGGATGCTTAGATCTTGATATGTACAAGACTACTATTCCAAATAACTGTGCAAGTCAAAGTGAAATTGATTATATCATGAATTGCTTCAATTCTGGAGTCAGACTAAAACTATTTACATCTTAGTTTAATACTACGACAAAACAAGCATAAGTAAAATACAGAAATTAATTTATTTATACTTCAGCAGATCAACTTGTTTAGACAATTCTTAAGGCATAAAAGTAAGTGACATCAGTTAAATAAGGATTTTTGATATAAAATTCAACAGAATTTTCTTCACCAATTCAATATAATCCATTTTAATAGACATACGATAGGTAGTATAGCATTAGAAGTTTAAATTATTCAGGTTATAGTTATGTTTAGATAAAAATGGATGAAATTATGGATGTAATCAAAATATAATACCCTACAATTCCTTAAATTTTAGCTCTTGGAAATAGTATTTTGACACTTTTAATGTTTGCTGGAATTCTAGGAAAAACTTATTCTACTAATTCGATAAAAAATAACTTTTTTGTACTTCTAATGCAAAATCTATTTTAAGAGAGCTACATGTAAATCTTGAAAATTAATAAATTAATACAAAACAAATAAAATACATCTAATGAAGAATAAATAAAAAGTAAAAAAAGTAATTTTACTTAAAAAGTTGAATTTGAGTTAAGTGAATATAAAGAGGAAAATGAAACCATTCAGAGTAATAAAAATAGACCTTAAAGAAGAAAAACAAAGTAGCTTTTTGACCCTTAAAATCTAAAATTAGATTTAAAAAATCAAAATACCTATCTAAATTTAAGATGTTCAACCATTAATTCTCCAAAAGAAATAAAAATTTTGCAAGAAAAATTGAATTTGAGAAAACTTTTATAGAACTTTAAAGATATATTCAATCAAAAATTTTCAAAAACAATTCATTAGAACATTTTCAAAACCAAGTAAATTTAAAATTCTTATTTATAAAATTAATAATTTTTCTAAAAAAAGGTGTTGTAAAAAAAATGATTATTTATTAAGTAAAGGACTAGATTAATACACTAAAAAATTTATTGAAGACTAAATAAACAAAGATTTGAACATATTCGAAATTTATAAAGATATCATATTTTTGAAAAAGGCAATAATGATCTTGTTGGATAAACAATAACTTGCTGCCATTAAGCTTGTAGGTTGTTCTTAAAGTTTTTTAGGTATCTAAAAGCATAATATGAACACATTATAACAATTTGAAAGTAAATTATAAAAAATTATTTTATATTATTATTTTAGCTATTTATAATCAAACTAACATTACATATTAAAAAAAGCTAATGATTAAAAAATGAGTCATTTTGAAGAGTAATTTGCAAATTCTATTTCTGAAGAGCTTTAATACTAGAACATAAAGCTATTTCTATTAAAATGTCAAAATGAACAGAATATGAATGAATTAGATAAAAGAATATTATCTTCTTTATATTGAATAAAATTTTTTGATTAATAAACTATAAAATTAATTTTTATTTTATTGTTAAGTTTGTATTCCTTTTAAAACAATCTCTTTCTTTAAAATATTTATCCTTATTTTTAATTTATAAGAAGACATGAATATCTTGTGAATTTAAATAATTTAAAAAAATGGTATAATGTAATTTCTAGATAATAAAAGTAAACAAAAACCCTGATTTTTATGATTTTGGTTGGTATTAATTTCTTACATTTTTGCAAATTTTTTATTACATATATATACTTTTTTAAATAATTTTATAAAGTATTTGAAATTATTTATTTTCTTGATTACAAATTTTGGTTTCTGAATATAACTATAAATTGCCAAAAATTTAAATAAAGTAAATTAGCTTTTGTCATCTGAATTATTTTTTATCATTTTTATTTGAAAATAAAGCAAAAACAAAAGTTAATATATTTTTTTATGATTAAATTTAGTAATTATTAAGTTAGTAGAAGTAATTCTAAAAATTAAAAACTTGAGCAGACAAATAAATTAAAAATTTTTTTAGCTATTTGATGGGCTTTTCTTAGTTTGATATATTTTCACAAAATTTTTTCTTCAATATTCATAAAAACAAGATTAAATAGAGTACATCTATTGGAATTATTTCAAGTCTAATAGTTTTAACAATTGCTGCTTCCTATTATATTTATCTACTTGATTTATATTTCTCAAATTAAATAGATCCCATTTATATAGATCTCAGAACATTATCAGTGATGAAATAATAGATATCACCCTAAACTCAAATCTTGTAGGATTTAGATATGAGTATGATACTAATAAGAGCATAGACTTATTGTAAGCTTAGAATAATAAAACTTATATTGTTTAAATTGCTTAGTTTTATTATGCTGATGAATAAAATAGCTTTTAGGTAGTTCTAGATATTGTAAAATGCACAGATTATAATTTAATTGGCTATTATTGCATAGACTTTTCTAGCATTTAAAATTAGACTTTGACTTTAAGCACTGCTTAAAATATTTTATCTTATGTTGAAATAAATATTTACGGATGCTTAGATCTTGATATATACAAAACTACTATTCCAAATAACTGTGCAAGTCAAAGCGAAATTGATTAAGTCATTAATAACTTCAATTCTGGAGTCAGACTAAAACTATTTACATCTTAGTTTAATACTACGACAAAACAAGCATAGGTGAAATACAGAAATTAATTAATTTACACTTCAGCAGATCAACTTGTTTAGACAATTCTTAAGGCATAAAAGTAAGTAACATCAGTTAAGTAAGGATTTTTGATATAAAATTCAATAGAATTTTCTTCACCGATCCAATATAATCCATTTTAATAGACATACGATAGATAGTATAGCATTACAAATTTAAACTATTCAGGTTACAGTTACGTTTAAATCTAAATGGATGAAATTATGGAAGTAATCAAAATATAATACCCTACAATTCCTTAAATATTAGCTCTTGGAAATAGTATTTTGACACTTTTAATGTTCGTTGGAGTTTTAGGAAAGGTTTGTTCTGCTAATTCAATAAAAAATAATTTTTTTGTACTACTACTGCAGAATCTATTTTAAGAGAGTTACTTGTAAATCTTGAAAATTAACAAATTAATACAAAACAAATAAAATACATTTAATGAAGAATAAATAAAAAGTCAAAGAATTAATTTTACTTAAAAAGTTGAATTTCATCTAAGTGAATATAAAGAAGAAAATGAAACCATTTAGACTAATAACTATAGACCTTAAATGATAAAAACAAAATAGTTTGTTGATTCATAAAATCTAAAATAAGATTTAAAAAATCAATTTGCCTATCAAAATTTAAGAATTTCAACCGTTAATTCTCCAATAAAAAGTTTGCAAGAAAGATTGAATTTGAGTAAAAATTTATAGAACTTTAAAGATATATTCAATCAAAAATTTTCAAAAATAATTCATATGAACATTTTCAAAACCAAGTAAATTAAAATTCCTATTGAAATAAATAATTTTTTTTTATAAAAAAAGGTGTTATAAAAAAAAAGATTATTTGTTAAGTAAAGGACTAGATTAATACACTAAAAAATTTATTGAAGACTAAATAAACAAAGATTTGAACATATTCGAAATTTATAAAGATATCATATTTTTGAAAAAGGCAATAATGATCTTATTGGATAAACAATAACTTGCTGCCATTAAGCTCGTAGGATTTTCTTAAGGTTTTTTAGGTATCTAAAACCATACTGTGAACACATTATAATAATTTCAAAGTAAATTATAAAAAATTATTATATTTTATTCTATAAATTACTTAAAATTAAACTAACTTTACATATCAAAAAAAGTAAATGAAAAAAAAATGAGCCATTTTGAAGAGTAATTTGCAAATTCTATTTCTGAAGTGCTTTAATACTAGAACATATAGTTATTTCTTTAAAAGTGTTAAAATTAAAGTAATATCAATGAAATAGATAAAAGAATATTAACTTCTTTTTATTGAATAAGTTTTGGTTGCAAAATTATAAAATAAATGCTTATTTGTTTTTGTTTGATTAATTTGTATTTATTTTATAATAATATTAATTTTTTGAAATATTTATCCTTATTTTTATTTTATAAAAAAAATGAATATCTTGAAATTTTAAATAATAAAAAATTAATGCTATGAATTTTTTTGTGATTTAAGAAAAACCCACCGTTGCTTAAAAATTTGTTAATTAAAAGACTATCATCAAGAAAATCCAAACCCTAATTTTTGATCATTTTGGTTGTCATTAAATTATTAATGCAAAAATTTCTTATGGTAATAACTAAATAGAGCTAATTAAAGAGAATTGAAAGAATATTAAAAAATATAATGTATTCGAATAATATTTTTATACTTAACAATAATTCAATTTACAAAATTATTATTTATATACTTGTATTCTTGTTCAAATTTCTATTTTATTTTAAAATAATTTAACAAATAGATAGTACAAAATAAAAATTAGATGAATTTGTTGATATTTTATAATTCATTTTATTTTATTAAATTTATTATACATTAACTAATTATAGATAAATTAGTAGAAGTAATATTAAAGCAAAAGATTTTTAAAAGTGTATTTTACTTAAATTATTGATGGGTTTTAGTTGTTTAGATATCTTTTCACAGCATTTTTACTTTAATGTAGAAAAATAGAATATTAAAAAAAGTACATGGATTGGAGCTGTTTCTACTTTTATAGTCATTGTTACTGCTTCATCTTATTATATATATCTTCTCAATTTATATGTCAATAATTAAATAGATCCCATTTACAGATCTCAGAGCATCATCACTTAAGAAAAAACAGAATTAAAATTAAACTCTAATTTGTTTGGATTCAAATATGTATTAGATGGCAATATAAGCTTAGATTAATTACAGTCTAAAAATAATAAAACATACTTAGTTAACTATGCATTTTTCTATTATTCTAATGATTAAAATTATACATATATAAATCTTGATATAATAAAATGCACAGATCCTATTTTAATTGATTATTATTGTTTAGACTTTTCTAAACTGTAAAATAATACTTTGGCTCTTAGTGTAGTTGATAATATTTACTCTTATATAGCAATTGTTACTTATGGATGCTTAGATATTGATGCTAAAAAAACTTCTATTCCAAATAACTGTGCTACTTAAAGTGAAATCGATTAAGTTATAAATGGATATAGTTCTGGAATTAGATTTAAATTGTTTACATCTCAATTTAATACTAGTACAAAGAGTGAATAAGTCAAATACAGAAATTCTTATTCATTTACTTAAGCAAATCAAATCTCTTTTACAACATTTAAAATATAAAAATAAGAAACTGTAGTAAATTAAGGAATTTTAATATAATAACAGTCACAATTTTCTTCGCCTATTCAGTATAATTCCTTTTACTAAAATTTTGATAGGCAATATAGTATTCAAAATAACATTTAGTCTGGTTATATCTTTGTTAAAATAGAAATGGATGAAATTATTTAATAGATTAAGATTAAATTTCCAACTATCCCTGAAATATTAGCTCTTGGAAATAGTATTTTAACTGTTTTAATGTTCATTGGAATATTTGGAAGATTTTCTTCTTTTAAAAAAATAAGGAATGATTTTTTTATGCTTTTAATGTAGAATTTATTTTAAGAAAATTATTTGCACATTTTAAAAATTAACAAGCTTGTTGATAATAAATTTATTAATTAAGAAAAAAAATAAATCTTAGATAAAAAAAATCATATTATTTAAAAAGAATAGCTAGAGAATAGAGAATATTAAGATGACGATGATAGAAACTTTGTAAATCAAAATTACAAGTCTCAGAGAATAAAAACAAAGCTATAAATTGATTAATAGAAAACAATATCAGAAATAAAAAGCAATTTTGCTTATCAGAATTTAGTAATTTCAAATTAGAGTTCACAATAATAAATCAAATTATAATAAGAAAAACCTAATTTGAAAAAAGAATCATATAATTTTAAGGCTATTATTAACCAAAAGTTTTCATAGGCTATTTATAAAAATTTATTCAAAACCAAGTAAATTAACTTTATTTTCCTTAATTGATTGATATTAATCGAATTTAAAAAAAGGTGCCTGAAAAAGTCAGAATATTTACTTAGCTAAGGACTAGACAAATATACTAAAAATTTCATAGAGGAACTGTTAGTTAAAGATTTGAATATTTTCTAGGTCTATAAAGATATTTTATTTTTAAAAAAAGCAATAATGATTTTATTAGATAATCAATAACTTGCAGCTATACGGCTTATAGGTTGCTCATAGAGTTTCTTAAATTTCTAAAATGAGAGTATATAAAGCATAACGACATCTTCATGTAAATTTTTAAAAAGGATTAAAGAGTTAAATTTACTATCATTTTAAATTTATCGAAATTTTTTTTTATAAAAAGAAAATGACAATAAAACAAGTCACTTGAAAAGTAGTTTGCTC